CCCCCCACAACGCTCACAACCGATAGCGAAACTCCTTATTCTCCCGATCCGTCAGATCCAACAACCAACTATCCTCCTTCGTCTCCACGGCCCCCTCCACCATCAGCGCCTCCCTCTTCTGATTCACCCTCACATAGTAATAGCGCAAACACAGCGCCAGGCCGACGGTCAACGCACACGTGGCGATAATCGCCACCTTCGCAGGCAGGAATCCGGGGGCGTCCGCGTCCTGGAACGTCAGGGGCCCGATGATGTTCCCCAGACAGAAACTCATGAGCAGCACGGCGTTCATGGTGACCTTCTTGGTGTGGCCCGCGTAGTTGGCCGCCACCCAGCTGTACAGCAGCGTCAGCACCGCGAGCGTGCAGTTGATCATGTACACGCCGACCAGCTTGCCGACGCGGTTGGCCTCGGGCAGAAAGGACATGAGGCACGCGCCCAGGATGGAGGGCAGCATCAGGCCGACGATGTTGAGGCCCCGCTGGTCGTACTTGCCGGCGAGGACCGAGGCCGAGAGCACGGCGATGCAGCCGACGGCGCCGCTGGGGATGCTGAGCAACGCGGTCGTCTTGGAGCTGAAGCCGAAGCCGCGGATCAGGGTGGCTTGGTAGCTGCTGACGGCGCCGTTGGGCACGTTGCTCGCGATGGTGGTGATGCTGATGAGCCAGGTCTGCGGGTCGCGCAGGCACTCCAGGGCCTGGGTGGGCTTGAAGTGCTTGTTCTCAATGCCTGTCTGGTTGGCGCGCAGGCGCTCGATGGCGACGATTTTCTCCGCGTGGCTGAGCCGCGTGCAGCTCATGGGGTTGTCCGGGAGGAAGAGGACGACGAGGATGCCGACGGCGATGGTGACGATGCCGATGACGAGGAACATGACTTGCCACGAGCGGAAGCGGCCGTTGGTGTCCGGGTAGTGCTGGAAGCCGAATGAGATGACGGCGCCGACCATGATGCCCGTGCCGGTGCCGAGGTACCAGATGGCGGTGCGGACGGGCTGTTCGCCCTGCCGTTTGTACCACATGGTCGTGATGAGGATCAGGGAGGGTGCCACAGCGGCTTCGAAGGCGCCGAGCAGGAGTCGCGTGGCGATCAGACCGGCGTAGTTGGAGCACGCTGCGGTTACGCTGACCATGGCGCCCCACAGGATCACCATCGTGCCCAGGTATTTGGCGGTGGGGAACCGCTGCATCAGCCAGCCGTGGGGAAGCTCGCATGCCAGATAGCTGACGTAGAAGAGCATGGCCAGGGTGCTGAACTGCGACGTCGTGATGTTGGTGTCTTCACGCAGGCCCATGACCGCCGCGTAGTTGATGAGCGTCTTGTCCAGGTACTGCAAGAAATAGCAGCCGAACATCAGAGGCATGATCATCCAGTCGATCTTTCGGAGCAGGGCCTTCTCGTCCACGGCCTGGGAGTCGCTCTCGGCGAGGTTGGAGCGCAGGAACGCGAGAGCTGCATCGCCGTCACGTGGAGCTGTTGCTGCCGCCTTCATCGAGTGCACTTCGGCCTTCTCCTCAGTAGGCGAGACGCTGGCGTCAATGGGTTCCTTTGCGCTCATCGTTGGGCAGTGTCTGTTCAGCGTATGGCAGATACAGGAGTGGTGGTAACGGAGGCGAGCTATGTGAGGGGAGCAAAGTGACAGCCTTTCTCCATGGTAGCGCGTCCCTTGTACTCATACATCCTGCTCCCAACGGCACGAGTTTGTACATCTCCCGAATGAATCATGACGCTTAACGACGCCGCCCGTATGGAGCGCCGAGCACGTCGTATCAGCCGGCATCGAAGAGATGATTGGCGCGGGCGATTTTCAGATTGATACTCTTATCAGCTCGTGGCTTTAGCGAGCTCGATTTCGCACTTGGCCACTGTGAGCGGAGCAGACGCACCTCGGTGTTCCTGGCGCTGGAACAGCAGCGCTGGCACTCGAAGGTAGGAATATGGGGGTTGATTGTTCAGCCGATGCGCTGAGAAGTACTAATGGCGAGCAGATCCTCAAAGATAAGAGAAGCTTGAAGTTGAACTGTGTTGGGGAGGACGCCACAGGGGTCCACAGCCTTGCTGCCAAGCGCTCCCTTCTCCGTAGGGACTATCGCTCGAAAAGGAAGGTCCGAGATAGTGGGATCGGGAGTTGTGGCGGCTCTGGAGGATATCCCATATTGGTCTGGTCGAGCTTGTTGTGTTGCTGTCTCTGATACGTTTACCTTGGTTGGAGAACGTGCTGTTGCATTGTACCGCTTCGAATGAGCATGAAAAGGCCCAAGATTGCGAACGCTGACGAGTCAAAGTGTTGATTTATAATGACACGAGGCAGCAAAGTGAGCAAGCTCGACAAGACGTATGAGCGGCAGTTGCGGATGAGACTGGAGGATAGTCAGGGATGGGTGCGGCACGAGGTGCAGGCTGAGTGTTGGGGGGACGGAATCAGACGATGGCACGGGACATACAGTCCCAGCCGTCGAGTTCGTGCCGGTAGTAATCAGAGGATACGTTTCTCGGACTGGGTAGAGATCTTCATCCACGTGCCTAAATAAGCTCACAGCAGAAGCGAAATCAAACTCCGGAACGCCTGGATGCCTCGTGCCAATATACGCCAAGACTGTTGGCATTCAACGGCAAACTATCACGCCAGACTCTTATATGTTCCCCATGTCCCACTGTCGATCTGAGCGCGTAATACCCAACCACAGAAACCTCTTATGCATTGTGTCTCAGATCCTGCTCTCCAATTTACCTGTGACAGCTCTCCGGGCTGTCCGGCTGACGGGCATTAGGTATATACGGTAACTCCGCAAAGCCCGCGGTGTCGATCCGGATTCCAAGGTATAGGCTTTCGGGATTCGCGTTCGCATGATATGCTCTGGTGAGAGACTGCAATGTCCGACGTACTTCTGCCTATAAAGCTGATACCTTGGTACTCCAGCGTCTCGAATCCCAGTCGAAGACGATCGTGGTGGCTGTCGTATTTCGGTGATCTTGAAGCGCTGCAGACTTCCTGAAGCTACGTTCAAGCACCATGTCAAAGGTTCTCGTCACAGGTGAGGTCCTGTCCGATAATGAAAGCTGCATGGAGTGCTGTGATTATATATCAGTGACTAATAGTAGCCCCTAGGAGGCACTGGCTTCATTGCCGGCCACACCATCCAGCAACTATTGCAGAAAGGGTGCGTATCAAGGCTAAAAACCGTTGTATCTATGCTAAAGGTGTCCATCAGGTACAAGGTAGTGACCACAGTCCGAAGCGATGACAAAGGTGACAAGCTACTCAACGCCCATGCACCGTGGTCGAAGAACAACTTATCCTACACCATCGTCAAGGACGTTACGCAAAAGGGAGCATTCGATGAGGTATGTATTCCCGTCCTGCAGCTGGTTTATGCCATATCTCTAGCTAAATCTAACCTATCTTCAGGCCATCAAAACCACACCTGACCTCGATTACGTGATTCACACCGCCTCTCCCTACCACTACGACGTCTCCGATCCGGTCGCCAATTTCCTCGAGCCCGCCATCACGGGCACTACCTCGATCCTGCAGGCTCTGCATGCACATTCTACCACTATTAAACGTGTCGTGCTACTGTCGTCCTTCGCCGCAATGCGCAATGACGCCAACCCGCCGCCTGCCTATGACGAAAGCTCCTGGAACCCCGTGACTTGGGATGAGGCTGCGACCAACACCAAGAAGACGTACCAAGGCAGCAAGGTAAGCCCGTCCCACCGCACTCACATGGTGCAGCAGCAGCGACTGCCTTACCGAATCCGTATCCCATCCCCTCAAAATCACAGACTGAGTCGCTAACCCATTCTCCCTCAGACCCTCTCGGAACGCGCCGCATGGGACTTCATCCGGGAGCAAAAGCCCCAGTTCGACCTCGTCGCCATCAACCCAACCCTCGTTTTCGGGCCTATTGCCCCGCACCTCAGGCGCGCCGACCTCCCTGCGGGCCTCAACACCAGCAACCAGCGCATTTTCAATATGCTCTCCGGCGCGATGCATGACGGGCTCGAACCCACGGGTTTCTACACCTTCGTGGACGTGCGTGACGTTGCGGCGGCACACGTGGCAGCCTTGGAGCTGCCGAGGGTTGCTGCGCGGCAGGAGAGCAGGTGTTTGATGATCGCGGGGCATTTCTCGAACGTGGAGATTGCGCGCGTGGTGCAGGAGATGATGGGGAAGGACGAGCGAATGAAGGCGCTACCGGAGACGCTGCCAGAGAAGGATGATTTGCCGCCGCTGGATCAGAGGTATCGATGGGATTGTAGCCGGAGTCAGGACATGTTTGGGGTGAGGTACCGGGGACTCGAGGAGTGCGTGAGGAATACGGTGGAGAGCTTGAGGCGGGGACTTGCTGAGTAGGCTCAACTCTTAGCTCGACGGAGATATTGTGAGGACTCGTGGCTTCCGGTGTCCGTAGAAGTTTTGACTGTATCAATACCCTGATGTGGAAGAGTATGATCTGTCACACGTATTTATCGGTCGAAGTCCTGGTAGGGACAGAGGACGGTCTGGTTTTCGTCGGCCAAGCAAAGCTGTCGACTCTCACTGGTTCCGGGAACACCATATCCTGTCAAGTCGGGACTGACATCTATAGAGTCATACTCGGCCAACAATTTCCGGACCTTCCCGGTTGCCGCATCGCGATTTTCCTTCGTATTCAACAGTTGATCAAGCACCCATTTAGGTTGGATGGCAATTACAGGCACGGACATCTGCCGACTGTAGCGCTTCCCGTGAGAGGGCGTCAGCATAACAGGGAATATCGGCTCGTTGGCGTAGCAGAAGGTCCATTCGGATGACTCCGTCTTGGAAGGAATGGCTGCAGGCCAAGGTGATGGGTCGACAATACGCAGACCACGAAGCACACCCCAGAACTTGCTGTTGTGTTCTTCGATGGAGATGGGGCGAGTAGAAGGAGCTGCGAAGATGGCTAAGCTGGTATTCGAACCGAGGGAGCGGGCGATGGCGAGATACTCTTGTAACGCAGGTCCTACCAGCCGGATGTTCTGTGGCTCAGATGGATCATCAGATTGCAGGAAGACGTAGCGATGCTCGCCAGAGCGAAAGCCCATGGTTGCGTAGATACAGGGGAAGGTCTTGAGATTGGACCCCCTCGCAAGCACTTTTGCCTTGAAATCTTCGAAGGCAAGCCGTTGCCAGGACGAGGGCTCAAAGTGGCTAACAACTTCTTCCCTGGTGAACAAGCCGTGGTATCCTTGCCGGCGTATGTCCTCGGCAGGCACGATGGTCCGACTTTTCTCAAGCTCGGTTGTCGTTGATGCCTGCCTGATGCGGGTGATGATCCTCGAAACGCCTTCTAAAATGTTGACAGGTTCATACCCTGGCTTCTGTATGCGATTGCTGCGCAAGAGACCAACGAATATCCCAGCAACAAAGGCCACGAGGAGGAGAGTAGTGATCATGGCGTCGGCGATGCGAGTAGAACAGTAGTCGCGGCATGCCGACCACAGCTTGTAGGGTCTGAATTATATCAACCGGTGCAGTCGTTCGGGATTGTGTCGGAGAGTCTAACCCGTTAGGCTACTCGACGGGAGGAAGATGGTGCTCGACGTCATGATCTGATGCTGTCCTACACAACCAAGCAAGATTTCCATATTGTTTCCATCTTCTCCGGCCCAGCTCCAGGTCTTGTGCACCGTCTTGTGAGTGATGACGCCTGGGAAATGATGATGGCGCCATGAGCTGAAACGAACGACTTGGCAGCTGGCTACCCCGGATTAGACGGGTATGACATCCGGCGGAGCATCACCCCGTAATGAATCAGTGTAGTAAATTAGGAACGATGAGACCATTATAGAACCATCGAGATGAGAAGCTATACGGAGTACTGTCAAAAACTTGATGACATCGGCTTTGATGAAATGTTCAAGCCTGATGCAGAAGCGCAGGAGCTGAGTCGAAATAAGCTCGCCGCCATCTGTAATTTACAATACCAAAACAGTACGTCATCTACACTGATATGAGCCTAGACATGTCAACTCCGTCGTGCAGCATCATATTGATGGGTGGTACTACTATACGCACCACTTTCGCTATTTCATGCTGTCCTACAATTACAATACTACTGGCAGGTCGCTTGTCCCAATCAAGGTCTGTCTGAGAAGCTGTGATTGTTGAGTAAAGCCCCCAATTTTCACACCACATGACTACGACTCACATATGGTCCGCAACCTTTACAAGTTCCACCGGCATGACTCAGACCATTCAGATCGAGCCGCGTACCGGGACCGCCTTTCTGCTGGATAAGGGACAGCGTCTAACAGTGATCGATCCCACGGGTGTACAGGTGTCTGATCTGGTCGCCTTCAACCGGCACGACCCACGTGAAGTCATCTCCAACGGCCGCACCTTTGACTACGCCAGCAAGCTGTATCTTAGCACCGGAGACCCGATCTACTCCAACCGCAGCAACGTTCTTCTCAGAATCATTGAAGACACATGCGGCAAACACGACTTTCTGCTCACCCCGTGCTCCAAAGACACGTTCCGCATCATATACGGAGACAAAGAACCCCACCAAGGCTGCTTTGGCAATTTGACCAACGCATTGAAAGCTTACGGCATTGGGCCTGATCAGATTCCTTGCGCCTTCAACTGCTTTATGAATGTTCCGATCGGCCAAGACGGTACATTTACTGTCCAACCCCCGAGCAGCAAACCCGGAGATCATATCGATTTCATTGCTGAGGAAGACCTGATCATAGGCATGACCGCTTGTTCAGCGCTGCAGTCCAATGGCGGCAGCTTCAAGCCCATCCAGTATCGTATCAGTTGAGCACCCTACACCATCTGATGGCGAATCTACAGCCTTGACCTCCTCCTCGATCCATATGTCATCGTCTTTCATGTACGAGGCGCATCGGGAACACTTTCGCGACCCTGGTACTAGCTGTGGTGGCAACAGTCTGCTGCTTCACGCTTGGTTGTCCGTGGAGCGGGGTGAGGACACGCCGGGAAGGAGTCTCCGGCCGCAAAGGAGGGGGGAGTTTGCGAGGCAAGACGATATGCATCTGAGCGAAGTGTGAAGGACCACTGAATGCAACGGCCAAAATGTTGCAGAAGACATGAGTGAGCTACGACAAGGCGATGGACATTTATCGAGCGAAACATTGCACGAAGCCCCCGCCAATCCCAGCGTGTAATGGAGCAGCGGGACGGTACGGAGGGCAGCACGAGGTTGAGCGTTATGTCTAGGGAGACAGTGAGCGGCATAGACAGACGATATTGTTGTTCGAGACGCAATAGTCTGTGACTTGGACGTATCCGTGCGTGCGAATTTGACCTCCACGACATGGCAGCGTCTCAAGCAAACTCAGAAGCTACTGTCCGTAGCCGACGTATGTGAGCCGGCCCCTTTTCCTCCATGTCAGGTCCTCAAGAATACGGCTAAAACAAGTCTTTGTTTGTTGTCATCAAGGAGTGGAACTCCCTGCCTCCACTAGTTGGTCTCAAAGACCGTCTAGATCTCGGAAGCCATGCTGCCTGTATCCAGAACTAGTGTCTAGCCCATAACTCCAATCAAGCCAGTTTCGGCAATCCCATAGCCATCTCATGGCGCAATCAGAGCCAAACATCAACACCTTTCCATCTCTGCCCTTTGTCGAGCTAAAGCTCATCCTCACGCACCAACACCTCCCGATTCAGATGCTCCGGCGCCGCGCTCTGGATCCCCGCCAAATGCAGCGTCAACTCCAAATCGCCCAGCAAACTCTTCAGCACGTGCTGCACGCCGCCCTCGCCACCCAGCGCCAGTCCGTACACATAGGGCCTCCCCACCAAGCACATCTTCGCGCCCAGCGCCATCGCCTTGGCGATATCGGCACCGCACCGCACCCCCGAGTCAAAGAAGATGTCGAGTTTATCGCCAACGGCATCGACGATGCCCGGCAGGCACCTTAGCGAAGCCACGCCGCCATCGACCTGCCTGCCGCCGTGGTTGCTGACGACGATGCCCTGGACGCCGGCGTCGACGCAGCGGCGCGCGTCCGCCACGCTCTGGATGCCTTTCAGGACGATGGGCCCGTCCCAGTGTTCTTGCAGGAATTTGAGATCGTCCCAGCCGTGGCTGTAGGTGGGGAAGACGGTGCGCGTCCACTCGGCGGCGGCGCGGTGCATGTCGTCCTCGATCTCGACGCCGTGCGTGGCTTTGAAGCGCGCCCGAAACACCGGGTCCGAGAAGCCAATGGCCACGCCGATGTTGTCGGAGCGGAGGAAGGGGTTGTATCTGCGGGTGCCGCGTTAGCTCGGGGGCTTAGAGGGAGGAATGACTGCAAACAAGACGAAGAGGCAAACTTACCCGTTATCCATGTCCGAAGGCCGCCAGCCCAGAATATACGTATCCAGCGTAACAAACAGTGCCGAAAACCCAGCCTTCTTCGCCCGACCGAGTATCGACGCCGTGATCTCGTTGTCCTTCTCCGCCGGCCAATACAGCTGAAACCAGCGCGTCCCTCCATCACCATTCGCCTCCGCCACATCCTCAATGCTCGTACTACTTGCCGTGCTCATCACATACGGCACATTCTCCTTCTTGGCCGCCCGCGCGCTCGCCAGCTCCCCCTCGGGGTTGAAGATGCGCTGCACGCCCACCGGCGCCACCGCAATGGGGAACGGCACCCTCACGCCCAACACCGTGGTCGCCAGCTCCGGCAATCCCCGCGTCCTGACCAGCCGAGCTGGCACGATGGACCATTTCGCAAACGCCTCGCGGTTCTTGCGGTTGGTCTCCCCGGTCCCGGCGTTGCCGACCACGTAACCCGTAGCTTCGGCGGACATGCGCTCTTGCGCCGCGGGCTCCCAGCTGGAGGGCTTGAAGGAGAAGGGCGGGCGGGAGAATTCCAGGCCGCGGCGGTAGACGCTGTTTTCGTATTCGATGGGGTTGGCCGGTGCTGGTGGTGCGGCTTGGTCGCTCGCGCGGTGCGCCACGTTGGATGAGGCGCGGTAGGCCATTTTCTGGTGGTGCGTGGGTGTGGGAAAGGGAAAGGGAAAGGGGAGTTTCGATTGTTATACCACGGTGCTTGTATATATATATATATGTGTGTGTGTGTGTGTGTGTGTGTGTGTGTGTGTGTGTGTGTGTGTGTGTGTGTGTGTGTGTGTGTGTGTGTGTGTGTGTGAAGTGCAATGCAATGAGTGTTTCGCTTACCTCTTCTACGCCGATTTGAGTTATAGATGAGCTCATGGTCGTGCATGTAGCTCAACGTCATGGTACACAGCCGCGGCGGGCCGGAAGACACGTTTTCTGTCTCGCTGGTTTGCCCGAAGCCGTGGTCTTCAAGAGCTCATCTGCAGGTCCACCTATCGAGGCTCGCTTGGCGTTGCCATGCTTGTAGCAGTGTTCGTATGCGTAGGATTGCCTGCGGAGGCCGAGAAGGTGTGGTCTAGTGGGACTGGCTGATCGGGGCGCCAGAGCCACATGTGCAGGCCTACGTACAGACACCCTGGCTCGCCCGGTTGGAAAAAGCTTTCCAAGCAAAGCTTGAGCTTGAGTCAATCCTCGGATCGGTGAACGCAGTCCAATTGGCACCCAGGCGACAGGCTTAAGGCCCCAGCACAACCCAGCCATCGATGCAAGGGTATGGCCGCTCGATATCAGTACATAGCTCTGGAACGATCGATCAATGGATGGCTACGATGACATGTCATCCGTGGCACGGATCTCTGCAACTGCGATAACAGGAAGTAGTTCGATGCACGGTCAATACTATAACAGATTTGCCGAGTCTTCGCAGGCAGTGAACGCCTGTCCTCACGATTCAATCAGTGCCTTCGCTAGCACAACGTACCGAGACAGCCATTACAGGAGGTATCGGAAACCCCTCGCCCTGGACGTGTCCCGCCCTTTGCCTTCCTCGTCCCCACTTGCCACAACCCCTTCGGCCATATCCAGCTCGCGGTTCAACTTCTTCAGGATCAAGCGGAAAATGGTGGCCACGATGATGGACATCAGCGCCGTGCCAGCGTTGACGCCCATGGCTATGCCGTACCTGGGGGCGGAGAAAGCCGGATACATGAACGGGCCGTACACGCTGCTGCAGTTGGCGCAGGCATTGCACAGAGCCAGTGTCGCAGCTCGCTTCGCCGGTGGGCGCGGGATCGTGTTGGCAGCCCAGGTCAAGCCGAGAGTGAATGCGGTGTAGACGCCGGGCAACATGATCATCATCGCAAAGTATCGTGCTGGCAGGTTGACGGCTGCAGCGGAGATGATGAAGCCAGCGATTGAGACCCAGACGGGTAGCGTGAAGTGGAAATATCGCTCACCAGTGCGGTCCGCGTTGAGCGAGACGCCAAGCGCCACGATGCACGATAGTAGATACGGTGGGGCCGTTAGAAGGAGAGTGTTGGTCCGATTATATCCGAGTGTTGAGACCACGGAGGGAAAGTAGGAGTTGATCGTCCCAGACGAGACAACACCGAACACAAGCGGAATGAGAACGTAGGTCTTGTAGTCGCCGAGACACTGCTTGAGACCAACGAAGAGGCTTTCTTCCTCGGAGGAGACCCAATCTTCCTCACCGACATCGACGAATAGTCGGTATGTGGCGAGTGCCCGCTCCTGGTCCGATAACCATTTCGTGTTGATCGGGAAGTCGGGAAGGATCAAGACTACGCCGAAGGCGATCACCACAGTAATGGCGCCCTTATTTTCTTAGCTGTTGTTGAGAAGTAGCTCATGACAACTTACCTCAATGATGAAGAGCCATCTCCACGCCGCCAATCCAAGGGCACTGCAGCAGCAGTCAGTTCTAATCTTACGATGGCCATGCTTCATACGTACCCGTCAAGGTCATGGGTGATTCCAGCAGCAATCAAGCCGCTGAAAGCACCAGATATAAGAGAGCCACAGTACAGCAGAGCTGTCCTAAATGCCAACTCTTTCCTGGTATACCAGGTCGTCAAGCACACCTACGCCAGTTTAATAAACATCTGATGACAAGTAGTTGAACATACCATGCACCCTGGAAAGTATGCCGCCTCAACGAACCCAAGAAGGAACCGAGCTGCCACCAGGCCTCCGAAGTTGTGAACTGCGCCTGCAGCGCCGCAAAGCACGCCCTGATTCCTCTGTCAGATAGAGACCAATCAGTCGTTATGATGTGTGAACTTACCCAAACAATCATGCATGCTGGCAAATACAGAGACGGACGCCCGATCTTGTTCAAGAATAGATTGGACGGCACCTGCATGAGAATATAGCTAGGCAGAGTCAGCGTGCCATACACGCATCAAGTTCTTGCGATGCAAAACTAACCCCACGAATAGAATGCTAACGCAAGTCTGGAATTCCGAGTCTGTGAGGTCAAGGTCTTCCACGATGCCGGAGATCCTGGCAGCGGCAATGGCGTTGCTGGGCAGAGCATCAGCTGCATAGACTTGTACAATACATCCAAGCATACCGGTCGAGGTAGTTCATGATGTACATCAGGATCAGGGGGGCCATCAAGCGCACGTCGAGCTTGCGGACAAGCTTGCGAGAGGCCGCTTCCATCTGTTCATCGCTGAGATCACGCAATATATCCGGCTTAGCTCTTGCCATGTGGCCTTCCTTGACGCTAGCTTGCGGACCACTATTGCTAGTTGGAACGGATTTGATGTCGTGCATAGACATGTCTTTGTTGCTGTCGGACCAGGACATCGTATGCATACTTGCTTGCAGATGACTATAGGGCTGGGCAACAGGACGTGGTGCGCTGGAGTGGACTGACGTTGGGGAGGGCACTGCCTTATATCTACCGAGACTATCAGCCAGGCCGGCGGGCCAAAGCCACGTTATCTCTCCGCAGTCGTAGTATCAAATGGAGATCTGGGGTAATCCGGACCACAATGCGCGTTCTTCGGCCGCTAGCGTTAGACCCCGAGAATGGAGATACAATCGGCCAATCAAGATACGACCTCACGCCGGTCTCATGGCCCATATCCGGCCCAGTAGAGTAGTGGCCGAGCGATGAAGATCGAGCATATGGATTCCGATAACAACGGCGGCCGGCGATTGAAGGGAAACTGCTCCGAAGTCGCATTTTGCGCGCAGCATAGGCCAGGTATATAAAGCACTTCTTTGCAAGCTGCAGAGACCCGGCAATCACGCAAGTCTAGCTAGTGCAATGTCTGAGCTGATTAATCCTTCGGTAATTGTGGTGGGAGGTGGTGCCTTTGGCACCTCGACGGCCTACCACCTATCAAAACGTGGGTACGGTCGAGTCAAAGTTCTCGATCGTTTTGCCGCGCCATCAAAAGATGCTGCTGCGACCGATCTGAACAAGATCGTAAGATTCGATTATCCGAACCCATTATATACCAAGCTCGGGTTGGAGGCGATGCAGGTGTGGAAAGAGCCAGGCAATTTGTTGTCTGGCATGTTCCGTCATACTGGATGGATCATGGCCGCCCACGACATGACTCAGGAGTTTCTCAAGTCCGCCCATGATGCGAGTCAGCGGGCTGGTAAGACCGGAGTACGATACATGGAAACCGAAGAAGTCAAGCGGACATGGCCTCAGTTCACTGGGGATTTTGAGGGCTGGACCAATCTATGGAGCCCGGAAGCCGGCTGGGTGAGTACCTCGTCGATATAGCGTTGCTTTTTGCTGACTTACGAAGGTGCCTTCGGGTCAGGCGTTACTTCGACTCGCAACGGCAGCGCAAGCCAATGGCGTGGAGTATGTGACGGGAGATCGAGGTTGGGTGCAGAGACTGCTCTTCGACGACAAAGGCTCATGCATCGGAGCGCTGAGCAAGAGCGGGGAAGCACATCTGGCAGACGTGGTAGTGCTGTGCACTGGAGCTAACACTGCTGCCCTAATCGATGCAAAGGCGGAGATAGTCGCACGCTCGCACTGCGTGGGTGTAATCCAGCTAACGCCCGAAGAGGCGCAACGATACAAGAACTTGCCCATCGTGGATGACTTTGAGCAAGGTAAGTGGTTGCTCAATCCCTTCAGGCATCATCTGATGACAGTGATAGGCATATTATTCCCGCCAGATGAGAACGACTTGCTTAAGTTGTGTAGCTGCCGCTTCATCACCAACTACTACAACTCCAAGGTGGCAGGTGCTTCGTTAGGACACTCACATGAAGACTTTCCTGAAGACGGCGTACCTCGACAGATAGAAGAAGAGATGCGGGAGTTCGTTCGAGACCAGATCCCGGAGCTCGCTGATAGAGAATGGGTTTCAACGCGGATGTGTTGGGACGGCGACACCAAGGACGTCAACTTTCGAATCTGCCCATCACCAACCAATGCCAATCTCTTCATAGGCACTGCAGGGTCAGGACATGGATTCAAGTTCATGCCGGTAATTGGCAAGTATATTGTGGACATGATGGAGGGCAAGCTCAGTCAAGACTATGTCGATCTGTGGAAGTGGCGGTTCGGTGCAACGCCCCCAAAGACGGGCAAAGAGCCACACCCATGGCCAGCCCGAGACTTGGGCGAGCTTGACGGATGGAGGGGACGAAATAGACGCGTCTTCAAGCATTCGAGGAAGCAGTCTGAAGTAGCGCGTCTCTGAGATGTCGATGAATAGAGGTGGATAGAGCTAGTCTACGTTGGGCATAGTGCAATGTAGTGCCAAGCCATGGCTCTTTTGACGACGATGAGATGATAAATTGGAACTGGACCAATTGATCGCTGTGTAAAGACAGCCGAGATGCAACGTGTTGACCCGGTTCACTCTCCGATATAATACTGGCAAACTCCACCAATGATGGCCAGACCGTGCATAGCCCTGCAGTGGTCACAAGAGTTCGTTTTGTTCTCAGTTTCTTCTCGAAAACGACCTGTGACATCGCCCGTGCAGCCGCTTCCCGCCCGCACATCTTCGATCGTAGGCAATGGCAACTGATAAACGCAAGACAGTTGCGTGTCAGAGATGTCACAAGAAGAAAGTGAGATGCACAGGAGGTACGTTCAACGAGCGCAGTCGACCCACCGAGGCCTGACAGCTTACCAGGCTCGCCCTGCCAGAATTGCTCTAGGGCTGCAGCAACCTGTACCTACCCTTTGCGTGACCGAAACGTCGTTGTCTCTGAGGCATACCTAGCGAGTTTGCATGCTCATGCCTACTCGCAATCTCAGACACCTTTCCCACAAACTCCCAACTCCACCAATCTAGTGATTGATGCACAACCCGGTGGGCCACCAGAGCCCGTTGCAGACGGTAGTCGGCGGGGTGCAGCAAATCCGGTGCTGAAGGACTCTACAGCGGAAGCATTTGTGTCGGGCCTAAAGAAGCTTACTGGTCAACGCCGAGACAGTACCACTGCGAGACAAGGCCCGGATGACATGGGGCAATCGAGCGACCATACCGGGGATGACAACGACGACGACGATGATCCTCATTACGACTATGTTCCCCTCAATTTTGATAGCACGGCTTCAAGGGTCACGATCAAACTCCCACCATACCCTTATGCATTGGAGCTTGTCAGTCAATTTGAGACCTACATCGGCTTCGAGTACCACTGGTACTTGCTTCGCCCTTTCCACGAGGCTGTGGAGTCAACGTACAGGGCTCCGCTGGCAGCCGACTCTCGAGATCGCATTTGGCTTTGCAAGCTGCTAACTGTGCTAGCGCTAGGTGAATCATACAACTCATATCATGCTCCTTCCATCGAAGTTACGGACGGAGGACTTCAGCAGTCTGCTACCTCTCATGCGTCCCAACCAGCTTCCTTGCCTGGGGCCGATTTCTTCGAGCAGGCTCTCAATCTCTTTAAAATCCCTTCGGAAATGCCCACAATCGCCCACGTAGAGGCTCTGAACCTCATAGTAAGCCTGGCCATGGGACACTATCCAGCTGCTGATTGGTATTCCTACAGGCCTTTTATTGCTACTCCTTGAACAGGCGCAAAACGGCTTACACCTACACCGGACTGAGCATCAGGATTGCTACCGCGCTCATGTTACACAAGCCGGTAGGCACCAGATCGGCAGCTGCTGCCGAACACTCAAAGCGGCTGTGGTGGACGTGCTTACTGATGGACAACATGACCTCTTCTGAAGTGGGCGTGAAACCCACCCTGCGATTCAACGAGGCAGAACTGCCACTGCCGGCCGATAACCTTTTGCCGATGGATGCGCAAGGGGACTTCAACGACCCTGCTATCTTCACTGCGCATCTTAAGCTCTGCAATATCAGAAATGACATCCATGAGACCGCCGGTCGGTTGCAGCAGCATGATTTTGCCAACTATCATCAAGCCGTCCAGCACCCACTGCGGTTGCTCCAACAGTGGCTAGTGGAAATGCCGGACGAATACTCCTTCGGCTTCAACGACGGCATGCCCGCAGAAATGTTGAGTCTAACATCCATGAGATCGCTCACATCGCTCTACCTACGCTATCATCAGGGTTACATCCTGCTCATTCGACCTATATTCTTTAAGCTGCTCGCCATCGCCCTCGGGAAAGACACCGACGAAACCCCTCTAGACAGCCTCATCAACTTCAGCAGCTCCGGCCTCGAGGCAGCCAAATGCAACATGCGAATCCTGATGGGTCTGTCTCACGTGGACAGAATTGCCAAATATGGCTTCTGGGAGTCCTTGCACCTCTTCTCCGCCATCAACGTCTTCTCACTCGCCCGCCTCGCGCACACACTGCGGCCCTTCAGCCTCTACCAGACAGAAGATGACCTCGCCCTGTATGCCTCTGCAAAGAGTCTGTTGCACGACATGGCTGCCCACGGCAATGCGGCTTCCAAAGGTCACGTCAAGCTGATCGAAGAAATCGAGCGACTGCTGGACGCTGTCTCGTCGCAGCCTACAACTGCCTTGGACAGTCAGTTGACGGTAACCATGGCTGACTTGGAGCAGGACATCTTCCAGTGGATTGAGAGCATTGATAACATAGACCAATATCCAAGCTGATCGGTTTCGGATGCGGAGATTTTGATAATTGTACATACGAAAGCTAGCCAACCAGGAGTCCAAGATCTGTAAACGCAGGAGTTCACAATGGAGTAGATAACGGGACGTCGCTCCGAACGGCGCAAGGCAACCTCGGTTGCCTTTCGGGAACATTTTTGTCCGCCCAGAACGGAGCACCAGTATTTCCTCTTCTATCATGCAAAGAACACTACGCTGAAACTCATGATTAGCAGCCAAACGCATCCCTCGCGCGCCTGTCTTTCCCACTACAAAACTTGAGTTGAGTAGCATACCCTTTGACGTTTCCCTGGAGGCGACCGCGGCACACGCTGCTGCGATGATGCCATCTCCGCGCGCGGGCCAAAACTCCAGCTTTCTTCGCCTTTCTCCTCGGACGTTCTCCTCGCTTCCTCCACCTCACTGCTCAGCGGGCATGCCTTATCAGCACCTCCATCAATTCCACGCCCATAACCACGATATATAAACACGCAGGTGACATCCAGATTCGGTGCATTTCTCTTTTCGTCCTGGACAATATATCAAAGCTCACACTTTCACCCCGCAGCGCGCCGTTAAACACGAGCGCCGCTAGGTTTCCGTCCCCCGCGGAGACGTCACGATTTGCCTTACGCCATGGTGTCCATCAGGTGCGGCTGGCGCGGCAATCCGTGACACATAGTATGCGCCCTTATTCGCGATCCGTTCGAATGTTTCTGAGCGCATTTGGCGCGCAAAGGCTTCTGACGTGTTTGTTCCTGATGCCTATGCGACGGGCCGCGTAGAGGAGACGGGGCGTCGAGTCGAGCGGTGCGTGGTCGTGCAGGCGAAGAGCGAGGGGGCCCGAGTTATGCGGAAGATGTAGGTAGCCCTTGGACCATTTCGTGTCTTTCTCGGTGAGCAGTGGTAACTACGGCGAAGGTGAGATTCTTTTGGATTTCTTTGCACTTGCGTTTCCTGTCCTGTGAGCTAGCAATGCATTCTTGCTGTTGCTGTTGTTGAAATCTCTGATTCCCCTGCGCGTCTCCAATGCGTGTCCAATGGCGGTCATGGACGACTCAAGCACTTCGTCCTCGAGACCTCCACTGAGCGTTCGCGACCAACATCACAACCATCACCACCACCACACAGAGCAGAATGGCAACAACACTCTCCAGAACCGTGGCTGGCGACGCCTGATCCGCAACGCCTCGCCACAGCTCTTCACAATAACGATGGGCAGCGGCATCGCCGCTCTCCTCTTCACACAGTTCCCCTACCCGGCCACCTGGCTGTACCGACTGTCCATCGCGTGCTTCGCACTGCACGTCATCCTCGTGCTGCTCCTGAGCCTGCTGAGCCTCCTCCGGTACACTCTATACCCATCTCTATGGACGACGATGCTCCACCACCCGACCGAATCTCTCTATCTGGGCGCCTTCCCCGTCTCGCTACTCAGCCTCTCGAACCTGTTGGCCTCACTCTGTGCTGGCCCGTGGGGGCGCTGGGCCGCGTACACCGCATGGGGACTGTGGATGCTGGGATCCGTCCTCGCGGTGGCTACGACGGCGCACATACCACTGTTACACTTCCCTTCCCCTTCGACAGCCCCATCAACACCACGACCCCCACCACTCTCCACTGTAACGCCCGCCCACCTCCTCCCGGCCATCGCCGCCATCGTCGCCGCCAACACCGCCGCGCCCATCGCCTCCGCCCTGCCACCGTCCCCTAACCACAGCCATGCGACCTCTACCATCATCGCCGGCTACGTCCTCTGGGGGATCGGCGTCCCCACCTCCCTCCTCCTCCTGACACTATACTTCGCGCGCCTGCTGCTGCATGGCCGCCTCCCCTCAGGAGCGCAGGCTGTCATCGCCTTCATCACCATCGGGCCCTTGAACATGGGTGCCTCGGGCATCGTGCAGCTGGGCAGCGTGGCTGTCACTGTCTTCCCTCCCACCACGACCGGGACCGGGACTGGGACTGGGACTGGAAAATCACTCGATGCCAACACGCTGCAGGCCGTGGGCATACTCGTCGCGCTCGTGCTGTGGGGGTGGGGCCTAGTGTGGCTGTGGTGGGCGGTGGGGAATGTTTCGCGCGAGGCGTTGCGCAGCAGACGCAGCTCCCCTCAAAACGTCCATCTCGACGATGACGACGAAAATGATGATGATGTTGATGATGGCGGCCCCAGCGGCAACAGCGGCCGCGTTCATTTCAACATGACCTACTGGGCCAGTATCTTCCCGCTGGGCACCCTAGCACTGAGCTCAGGCCGCCTGGCGCAGTCCCCCCTGCTGCCGGGCGGAATGGCATTCTTCCGCGTCGTGTGTGCGGCAATCAGCGCGCTAGTGTGGCTTGTATTCGTGGGCGTGGGCGGGTGGTCGATTTGGGATCTGTGGGAGAGGGGTGGGAGGGGGGTTTTCGTTAGCGCTGTTGTTGCAGATCTGGAGGGACGTGAGAGGGAGAGTGAGGTGGACAGCGAGAGGGATTTCGAGGGTGGTGGTGCGGGGGAAGAGGGGAATGGAAATGGGAAAAGAGAAGGACAGGGAGAAGGAGAGACGGAGACGGAGGAAGAGGCCCGCACGCTAACGAACGAGGAGAGCCATGAGATGAGGATGAGGAGGAAGAAGGGAGAGTGAGGAGGTCGTCGAGCTGATCAGAGAGAGGGAGAAGGAGAAGGAGGATCTCAGAATGAGGCAGAGTCAGAGCCAGAGCCAGAAGGATATATTGCAAAGGTGGATAGGTAAGAGAGATAGCCGGGATGGGCGTCTTCAGATGATGCGGGTTCGGTATCAAACCTGCACAGCAAAGTCTAGTAGTCTACTCCAGCCCAAGCCAGTCCACCGGCCTCACACACAAACAAATGCCGTCTTTGCAGCGAAAACACCAAAACGAATGACTTGATTTCCTCGTACTGCACTACCTATGTATGGCCATTGCTATTTTCCAGACGAGACTCTGAACTAGACTAACTGACTGACTGACTGTTTGAATTTCCAGTATGATGTGTGCGATGCATGCATGTATCCACGCCTGGTAACATCGGCTCTTGACTGAAATTGAGATCATCAGAAGTGACAAAGATAAATGAATGAGTGTTGAGGTTTTCTGCAGAAAGGACGCGCAAAATTTGGCCCAAAGTCAGCCCTGATCGTGTCAATGTCGGACCACGATCCATACTGGAATCAGCGACCGCAGCCACGACAGCTGGATAGCTGGTGCCAAAGTGTCGTATTGTGGTGCTGCCACCGTTGTGGCTTGCGTGCCATGTAATGAATGTGTAGGCTGTCGCTTTACGCAGCCTGTTCCTCCACCTCCATCTTCTGTCGCCGTGCTTGAGGTCGAACCCTTTCGCTGTGCATAGGATGTCGCCTGGCTTGTCCGTATCTGTGGTGGCTAATCCGAGGAAACTCGCCTCAGCGTAAAGGTAGCGCTTGTCTCGACTCCATCGATATATGTCGAAAGGAATTGGACTACACTCGAGCCGTACGACCGTTTAGATCTGGTTACGTCGACAAACCCTTGATTGTGGATGTAGACCTTGATTGAAACTGCTCTCGCACTTGAGAATGGTTTGATGAATGTTCTGCCGCAGCCTCTTTGTGCTGCCGCTTTCGTCGCGACTAAGGAACGAAGAGTCGGCCACGGCCTCGGGTAGAACCTCCACGCTCCATGCCACCTCGACCACGATAGTGTCCACCGCGAGAAGGACCAGTGGGAGCGAACCCACCTCGAGGGCCATTCGGGGCTCGATTCGGGCCAAACTGGCCCACGTGGTTTCCGACATTGTTGGACACATTTGCAAGCTGACCACCACCACGACCGAAACCACCACGATCAAAAGAATCAGGGTCTATTTCCTCGATCGGAATCTTGGGTTTCGTAGCACTCGTTGGGGTCTGCGCCGCGTTGTTGCTAAAAGATGGACGAGGGGAGCGAGGCTGGTGTTTATTGCGCATGCTGGCACGCCCGTTGGCGGTGGCGCGCGTAGCACCTCGGCCTCTGGGTTTAAAGACAACTTCTTCTTCCTCGCTTTCGTCTTCATAGCTGAAAAGGGTCTTGGGCTCAACTTCGACTTCGGTCAAGTTTGAAGAGCTGCGCTGCTTTTTACTTGCTTTGGTCTGTTCTGGAGAGACAGCTTCCATACCGATGGCACTCCGCATCTGATGGATTGTCTTGGTCGGGACTTTGAAGTCACGGGCCAAGTGCTGTGTATCTGCGGAGTTGGTGAGGAAGAAAACCTCGGAGTTGCCGTGTTGTTTCTCATGCACGTACCAGACCACAGGGTTGAGTAAGACCTTCAGGATAGGAGGAACTGGGCTCCTGTCGGCAGAGGCCATGGTAGCAGCACGGACCTCGGGGCTAGTCTTGGAGCTCTGTGGCTCGGAAGAAGATGGTGAGATCGGAGGCGTCGAGGCTGGCGAAGCGGCCTGCACAGAACCAGTAAAGTTGAGCTTGTCGAGAAGCATCTGCGACAGGGCGCCTCCAGAGGATCGCTTAGTCGCAGTATCTGTGACCGACTGCTTCTCGGTATCTTTTTCTTCGGCAGTCTTACGAGAACGCGACTCCGTCAGATCTTCTTTGTAGTGAGCCTCGACCTCTTGCCAAGTCGCATATTGCTCGTCGGGGCCCTGAATGATGACAGGTTCATTGGGCAGGTCGCTCTTGCCCGAGGTCATCTTGTCGAGGAATTTGACAGCCTTGCGAGCATTCTGGCCAATCTGGGAGGCGTCTTTCTTCAAGACATGCAGACGCTCGAGGGCTGGAGGGTTAGCGAATTTCTGCTTTTATTGCGACCCAGATGCTGTGACATACTGTAGAGAGGGATGACAAGAGTGATGGCGCCGCGCGCTACCCAAGTCTCGATCTCGGTAATGTTGGCCGTGAGGGCGGTGTCGTCCACAATGCAGTGGAAGGGCTTTGTAGAGGACATTCTCGTGGCTGGTGGAGTGGAGATTTCGTTCGAGCGAAGATGTTAAGGAATCATGTAGTTGGCGCACGTATGTCGTAGCTGTTGGCTACAAAGCCTGTTTCTGCAATCGCAAAGAGTCAGCGAAGAAGCCACGTAGTCCTGTAGGAGGCGCTGCAAGTGACAGTGCTTTGAGGTGCGGGTGAAGAGATCGCTGGCGGCTGGTTGCTGGATGCGCCATACCGTTTGATGAAGTAGGACACAGTAGATAATGGCTCATTGTGTTATGGATAGGCAGCAAAGCTTTGCTGACTGGACAGAAGATGGCTTGCTCGTCGATACATAACAAACACCGAGGGTGTGTGGTGATTGTGCAGGTGGTAGTCAGTAGGTGGTTGAGTTTGTGCCGTAGTGGGTGGCGGGGCTCCGGGTACGACAAGGCCAAACGAGACGAGAATGTCAGTGCCTTCCCCGTCTCCGATGGGCCCCATAAGATCAGACGGGCACTGCGATTCAGCTTACGACGCTACACGAAGTCTGCCTTAATGGTGCAACTCAGTCTGCGTTGGATTCATATTCAGACACCCGCTTGCGCCGTCGCTAGTATGCTCCGAATAAAGCCCTACGAAGTGCGCAACCACGACGCGGCCAAGCTTGTATCCTGCTGCTCCCACAATGTGACCCTTTTGCACCTAGCTCTCCTTCGTCTTGATGAGACCCGAGGTCGGCGACACTCGCGACGCCCACTCACTGCTCATTGAATTAGTAACATTACACGCCAAAGGGTCCACGGTCACTTACGTCCAACTGCCATCGTACAGTCTGCGATCATCAGACTTGCCGAAACCTGACTCCTTCAGAGCTGCTTCAATGATTGCCGCCGTCACGCCACTGCCGCAGGTCGAGATGGTAGGCTTATCCTTGGAAAGACCCTTGGATTCGAAGACTTTGTACAACTCTTCTTTCGGGAGCAGCTGTTTGGTCTCCGGGTCCAGGAGTTCCTGAAAAGGCACACTCGTGCTGCCGGGCATGTGACCGCTTTTCAGGCCCTCTCGTGGCTCAGGTGCAATGCCCTCCCATCTGGGCGTCGGTCGGGCGTCCAAGATCTGAATCTCCTCTGCGCCCTCCTTGCCGTGATCGTACCCAATCGTCTTCATTTCGGCATACTTGACCACCATGTCTGTGTTGTAGCTCGGCTCAGGATACTTGGTAATGTTAGGAACCTCGGGCGGGCCCTCTTCGATGGGATAGCCCTCCTTGCACCACTGCCGGAAGTTATCGAGCACATGCACTCTCGGGTGACCGTAGACTCGAAGCGTCCACGCCACTCGCGGTGCAGAAAACAGCCCTAGCTCCTCTGTGTCATACACCACCAGCTCATCGTCCTTACGAATGCCCATATTCGACATGGCCTCCGCGAAGGTGTCGCACGTAGGTAGCATATGGGGGTACGGGCTCTCATGGTCCTTCACACCATCAATATCGAAGAACCGCGCCTTCGGTATCCGTTTCTTGTTAAAGGAATCTATGCCCTTCCGGCCCTCTGGGTCATTTGGCATGAACCAAGCTGCGCAAATAGGGATGACTCTGGGAGAAGTACTGATGGTCGAAGGGGCATTCTTCTTCAGTGCCTCGTCGACTTCGGCCGGCGAGACAATGTAGCTTGATAAGCTATACATTCTGGCGTGGGCGTATGATCGGGAGGAGTGAAAGAGGTTTTGGGGGGGCCGGTAGAAGCCAGGCCGACGCAGTATGGCCAAAGCCATGGCGCTAAAAGGGCTGATAGAACGTCTTGTGTGAAGATGGCCGTCGGATATGGACTTCGTACCGAGGGGTTGCGCCGGTCTGCGGAAGTGTTGGAGAAGCCCAGCACCTTAGTTAATCGAGTTGATGCGGCTGCGCATTTCGTGACTTGTGTCTCCGTACCAGATGATCGCAAGTCTGACCCGGGCGCTAATGAGAACCTGTAGTATGGCTTGCAGCTTATGGTGCAGTCCCAGAATGAATGAAGTAGGCTGCGTGGGGGTTGGTGATGGCGGATACGGATAGCTTTCAAACTTCAGGCGGGAGCTCTGACATGTGGCTCCCCCACGGAATTAAGTAGTGCCATTCCGCAAGGCAAGGAAGCGCGTCTTGCCGCCTTGTCTCTATTGTTCTTGTCAACACTAGGCAGTATGCCCTCGCCTCATGTCAAAGTCACTTCACAAATCAACCTTCACTGCTCGTGCTCTTGCGTAGACTCGGCTCCTTCGAGGTGACCTTTCCGAGGTCCCGCTGACCGAATTTCCTGACAGAAAAGAGAACGACCCATCTCTCCACTGCACAATGAAAGCCACCATCCACTCCGCCACCCTGATCGCAACCTGGAGCTGGTCGCATCCACTCTCACACGACGAAGTATGCGGCATCTGCCGCGTCGCCTTCGACGGCACGTGCCCGACCTGCAAATTTCCCGGCGACGAGTGCCCGCTCCTGATCGGCAAATGCCAGCACGCCTTCCACATGCACTGCCTGTTGATGTGGGTGCAGCAGGAGAGCTCCCGCGGCCTATGTCCGATGTGTCGGCAGAAGTTTGAGTGGCGCCGTGGAGAGAATCTAGCAGCGGCCAGAGGTGGTATGGTGGGTACGGGGATGGTCGTCGAGGGAGAGGGAAGGGAGCGGCAGGATCGCCAGCCGGGTGGGAATGCGGGCGGAGGCACTGGTGCTTGAAGGTCACCCATAACGGTGACTTGAGACGGGAGGCTACATGTTTACGACTTCTATTACGATACCATCGGACGCGAGGCACGTGCGACAAAAGTAAGGCGTTAGGATTTAGCAAGGGCGAGTGTCGGCCGGGATGCTCTCACCGTTGAGACCCTCTTGTTTGACTATTATTATTCGCAGTCTATTCGCAAACGCAGTCTCATAATGTCCTGTCATGTCATATCATCGTGAACCGGCTCTCAGCTCTTCCGGCGCCTCCATCTCTGTGCGCCGACTCGCTTCCAGTACCAGCCTGACGTCCTCCAGCCCGCGCTCGAACCTCTCAATCATCTCCTCAACGGTCTCGTCTTCCTGCTTGACTTCTGGCGGCGTGCCACTTCTGCCTTCGATACGCAACATCAACCCTTCGTCTTCGCCCTCGGCCATCGTGGGCGCCTTGCTGATTCCCGTACGCAGAACCTGCCAGTCGGCACTCATGCTGTACGCGTTTACGACGTCGTATCCGCTCGATGACGCCCCTCCAACGTTGCCACTAGCGGTGCCTTCCACGCTAGCAGCAACACCCGCGTGGGCAGTCGTAGAAGGCTGCACGTCAAGCACGACATAATGCTCCTTCACGCCCTCCTTGGCAGGCGGCAGATACCGGCTATCCGGCCCATGCTCATTGCTCACGGGTGGGCCTCGCGACGCTGCTGGCTCAGACCCTTCCGGCCCTGGCTCTTGGTGCTGCTCTAAACTCCTCAACGCCGCCTCTGTAACGATGTCCGCGTCGTCATCCGCGAATATATAGTGCACGGCCGGATGAAAGTGTTCGTGCGTAACTGCGTCTTCGATCAACGTAAAGAAAGGCTGGAAGGGCTCTGCTGTCGCTGTTTGCACTTGTTGTTGCTGCTGCGGGTCGTGCGACCGATGCGTGGAGCTACCAACTCCAGAGCGAGCGCTCGCAGTGTCCACTATCTCTGCAACATCTCTTGGGCTGGAATAGCTTCCACTGATAACCGGCTCATCGAGGTGAGGGCTCGGCAGGAGACTACGCGCAGACGGGTTGCGGGAGCCGCTAGTGCGTCGCAGTGAGGATTTGGAGGGCGACGAAGAGTGGGGCGACGGCGCGGGGGCAGTTTTAGATAGGGACATGGGCGATGTGATGGACTACATGGCTGTGATGAAGGAGGCTCGACGTATGTTGGAGTTGGGTGGTTGCAGGCTGCAAGGCGTCGAGCCCGTGGTGCGGATCACGGCTCGCGGCTCGGAGATGGACCTAAGTTTCGCCGAGGAGGCTCCGCTTGGCTTCAGGCAGTGAATGAAAGTTAATGATACGTAGGCATGGTACAGAGTGTATGTAGATCAAGTTCGTCGTTGCTGTCTCGGTGCCCCAATTTCTATCAACGAACATTTCTATGCCCACTTGCGACTTCTAAACCATCATTTGCCCACAGTGCTGACCGTCGGACATATCATCGTCACTGCTGGGGACTATTCCGCAAACGACGGCCACCACCAACACCGACACTCTGGTTGAGATTCTCTACTCCACCAACAGCCGCAGCCCGATTTCTCGTTAACCTCGCCGGTACTTTCTCAGATCCCAGCACTGCTCCAGCGGTCGCATGCCTCTTAAGCGGTGGCTGGCCAGGCCCAGTACTTCTCGACAAATTAACAGTCTGGCTCTCACCCGCAGCCACGTTCACGTTGATCTCCTTAAGACTCAACCCTCGGATTGGCTCTGTCATGTTCTCGAGCAGCGGTCGGTCCTGATCCGTGTATACCTTGGCCTTCGCCGGACTCCGAGGTTTGCTTGGTGACTTTCTCGGTGACCCCTGCTTTCTAGGCGAGCGACCGGGAGTGCGAGCCGTTGAGGGCTCTGTAATGGGGTCTGGAAGACCACGCATACGCGCAATAATGGTCTGGTGGTTTGATGTCGCAGGCAGCTCATTTGGGTATGTCCACTCTCTCTTCTGCGGTGTCGCACCGGTGGGTACGTAGTCTTGCATCATGTTGCTGTCAAGCTGCTCCTGAATCGTCTGCAAAGCCTCCTTTGCCTCCGCTTCAAAGGCGTCGGTGCAGTCAAGAACTTCCGCAGTGGACGACTCGGTTTCGTTGTGAAGGACCTGAAGGTCTGTGTCACGTTGCTGGATGGTGTCGGCAACCTCGGACTGCAACTGGGCGACTTCAAGTTGGAATTGAAGCAGTCCAGCGATATGATCGTCGTGCGACTGATCATTCTGTGTTCGTGCTCGGGTGACGAACTCGTCCAACGCCGACATCTGACTTGACATTTCTCCGACCTGGGCATCTACGATTTTAACGGTCTCGCCGTGCACAGCCTTTGTTGAATTTTGAATGGCAGTGTTCTTCGCTCCAATGGCCTAGCAGTTGTTAGTAGAAGGCTTCGCAGCAAGTTACTTCACTTACAGTCCAGTCCTGCTTCATCTTCCTCCTCAGCTCATCTCTTGACATTGTGACTTTGTCCAGCAGCACATCAGCTTGGGTGTCCCAGATGTCCATCCCAGTCGAGTACTCCTTGTCTGCTTCTTCAAATGCATCGGTGGAAGCGTCCAAGGAGGCTTTGGTCTGGGCAACGGTAGTACTCAGGCGCTGATCTTGCCTCGCTGATGACGATTCTATTAGTGCAAACATCTGATCTTTCAGAACCTGCCGTTCATCTAACGCGATCTTCCGCTCCTCTTCTAGCGAGGCTTCAAGATGAGAAACGGCAGCTCGGGAAGACTCAATGTTCCTGCGGTTGGCATCCTGCAAAGCCTTTCTCAGACGATCATTTTCCTCGCGCTGGCTGGCAAGCTGCTTGGTCATATCCTCAAACAATGTCTTGAAATCTTTGCCGAGCGTGCTGTAGGAGGCGTGGAGCTGAGTATGGAACTGCTCAAGCTCCTCGATCACCTCACCAGAGATTTTCGCGGCTGCGGCGTTGAGACCTTGCAGGCCTTCGCCAACCCTATCCTTGACTTCGTCGCGTAGCTCTTTGATCTCCTCGAGGACATTGTTCATTCCATCTCTTGAGGCCGATGACTGCTCCTCAACTGATTTCTGCGATCTTTCCAACTCGGTGGTTTTGCTGGCAAGCATGTCTTTGCAACCTTGAAGCTTCATTCTGTCTTCCGAGATGAATGATTGAATCCTGCTCGTTGTCTTCGACATCAGATCGGTGTGCTCTGACTGAAAAACACCAAGACGTTCTTCGATGGCCGTTGACAGCTCCTTTACACCTTCCGAGGATGATTGCCAGAGCTGGCGGTTCTGCCGGTGTAGCTCGGATCTGCGGCGCAGCTTTGAGTGCACTCCATCAAGGTCTCGGACAGAGTTGTTGACAGTTGAGAGCAGCTGTGTGCCAATCGTCTTAAGGCGGCCTTCGGTCTCCTGATGCGCCTTTCGAAGGGCCGTTTCATCCTCGAGGTGTTCTTTGGTCGAGCTAAGTACAGCCTCAGTCTTGAAAAGGACATCATTGGTGCTGTCAAGAGCAGCTCGGGTCGTGTCGTTGTCGCGTTTGAGATTGGTGAAGGTGTTTGTCAGATTGAACAACTCCTGCACTTTGTTGCGCAGACTCGTCTCCATCGTCTCTATGCGTGCCTTCTGCTCTTCTGTGAGGATTCGTCGCGACTCGCTCTCGACTGTGATCTCTTCGTACTGCTCGTTTGAAAGGTAGACACCATTTCGCTGCCGGGTGGCGATCAGCTCGCTCTTCAGTTTCTCAATCTCTGTGGTGAATTCTTTGAGAAGTGTCTTTTTTGAGATCATGGAATTGATCTGGGGCTTGTTGCGGATATTCTTTGCTCGGAAGGCATAGTCTAGTGTTGAGATGGTCTCCTCGAGGTTACTTTTGGCTGGCGAGACAGTGGCAATGATGCACGTTTTCGTCCTTCCGCCGAGAGAATCTTGTAGCAGCCGTGTCAACTTCGACTCCCGATATGGGATATGAGAGCTCTTGTCCACAAGGGCATTGATAACCCGACCGAGCGTGAGTAGACTCTTGTTGATGAGACCGGCTTCAGCAGCCCGCTTGTTCTCGGCACCACTTCGTTGAATATTTTCGCTGCCAGCTAGATCGACCAGGTTGAGCTTCCCTGAGCAGATGTAGTCCTCTCCAGCTTCATTTGATTTCTTGATGTACGTCGTGATTGTGAAGACAGTATGACTCCGAGAACTAAGGTCGTTGCATTTAGTCGCGGCGACTTGTCGACGATGGCTGCCTTGCAGAAGCAGTTTGATGCCAGCAGTCGCACTCTTAATATGAGATTCCTCCATACCTTGCACGAGAGTCGAACTGTGACTCTTGCGGTTCGCATCATCGTAGATTTTGAGCTTTGTACTATCGTCTGCAGCCAGTAAATCTCGCAGCTCTTCATTGTACAGCTCGATAAAGGAGCATTTCACTGAGCATTCAACTTCGTCGGCTTCAAGCCTTCGGAATAGGGAGTATAGTGTTCGTGGGATGATGCCAGCCTCGTCAGACAGTAGGCCGAGTGTGTCGGTCATGTCGCCGGACATGGTGTAAGTCTTTCCAGTGCCAGTCTGTCCGTATGCGAAGATAGTGCAGTTGAACCCCGACATCATTTCGTTGAGTATGGGCGCGACAACGTCTTCGAAGACAATAGCTTGATCGGCAGCAGGCGAAAACACCTTATCGAAATGGTAGGTCTTGTTGCTAATGGCGTTCGGCCCCATGGACAAATCGACATTGGTGCCTTTGACACCGGTTGTTGATACTACCACGCCGCTGTTCTCTTTAACTTCTCGGTCGCTCCGGCCTCGACACCGAACAACGACGTGAATATTAGTCTCTTCGCCTCCATCGTGGTCAAAGTCGCGCTCTTTTCGTTTAGTTCCAGACATGGTGGACGTGTTGGACTCGGCAGGCGAAGGAGCGCGTCCAATGCGTGAGGTATTCATGGCAGATGCAGGGCGTTGAGGTGGGCGCATCGTGTTATTGCGCGACTGCGCAGGGCGCTGAGACGCTCCTAGTCGGCCGCTCATATTTTTATCGCTGCCGGATATTGCGGTGCGCAGACGTTCATCTGTAGAGTGAGAAGTCGGATCGGGCAGATTGCGGGAGGAAAATGGTGCAGTGGGCTATGACCAGGATGTTGGTGATGCACAATGCCGGGTGTGGGCGGCCGGGGTGCTGCACCGCGGCAAACGTAAACAGCCCCGTTGCTATGTGCCAAGGCTATCTCACACTCCACTTTCTCAGCCTCGTGGTATGGCCTGGTGCACCTGACCGACCAGCACAGACGACAGCCCATCACAAGAACTACGTGTAGCGACGAATGTGGCGTTGAAGAAGCCCTCAACCGGTCGTTGATGTTTTCTCGACGCCAGTAAATGCGCCAGCCACCATGTCACAGCCCACCAGCGCCGTACAACCAGGCCGCAGCCTCGGTTGGATAACGCTTGGCTCATCTCTGCACAGCATTGTCTCCAGAGTCAAGTCGCTGCCACAGACCTATCCCAAGATTGATTTGTCATACTCGTCTTCTCAGCCTCTGGTCCAACCTGTGATCCTGAATCTGCCTGCGAATGGCTTGCGTCTTCGCTTTGACGGACCAGATCAACGCTTACGGCTGATTGAAGTGTTGGACTTCTCTGCCTCATCCATCACCTACAAGAGTACAGATCTCGTGAAGCGCTCCAAATCGTCTGACGACGACCAAGTATCAGGCCTGTCCTCCCAGCGCCCGACTTTCAAGCACATCTACAATCGCCTCTTCGGACCAGCTTACGAAGGCGAATACCTCCCTCCCGATCCAGGCCACTCCATAGGTACATATACCCTCTCATATCCTGGTCTGGCCTTCACATTTCCGGTCCAGCATAAGTCATGGTCAGACAAAGCAGACTTCGTGTCCATTCTGTCTTCTGTAGCGACAGGTCCTGCCATCTCAATGGCTATCTTTTCCGGTCCCTCATGGCCTGAGGCACGCTCGATCCTATTCAACAAGGTCGCCGCCCAGCCACGATCAACTTCTGTGAATGGCAAAGCCTCAGATGGTTTGCCCGACGACATCGATGATGTCAAGTTGTATGGTGCTGGGCGCTTAGAGTTCGTGAGAAGAGGCGCGCCTAGCACAATGGTACAGCTCAATGAAACTACTCCACAATCTTTGATTGCGGAGTTCGGTCCGCCTGATGCCATCTACCGCAAGAATGACAACAGGATATCAATCCACGCGGGTCAAAGAACATCTTCGAGGAGAGGTTCAAGCTTGTCGCCAGCCTTGGATCCAACTGCTGTCGACACAGATCATTCTTCTCTCCAGAGCTACACAGATGACTCTGATGTGGAACCGTCAGATTCTGCCCGAAGCTCAACAGGCGGGCAGAACCTTGAGTGCTTCTACAACTACTTCTACCACGGCTTTGATGCCCTCGTTACCTACCCAGCGAGCAAGTCTCCGGCTTTTCCTGGGGTTCTCCATGCGGACATCAGCGATGTAGACTCATCACATCTCGTGGTTACGAAGATTATCCTCCATGGCAACGTGCCTGGCTCGTATTCCTTCAACCGGCATCGTAGGTGTCGATGGAGTATCCACACAACTATTGATGCGAGTTCTCCAGCTTTCAACTCAGAAATGCCGTTCTCCGAGGTATCAGAATTGATGAAGGACGTTTGGCGCGAGTCATACGGCAGCTCGGAGGAGGAAAGACAGATGCAGCGTGGAATGGTGTTAAATCGCGGTTGGGGTCAGAGTCCAGACAGTTCTATTGAGCTGCTCGGCGGCTTCGATGATGCACCTATCAAGCAGCAGGGACAGGCTGCGGTCATGAATAACACGGATCTCTTCGGCTTCCCAGGTATGTTGTTTGAGGTGCTGAAGAACGATTCAATCAGCGCCTTGACTGTCTACTGACCGTAAGTGAGCCCCCGAGCTTAGATAGTAGGAGATCAATGATCTATAATGTGTTTTCAATCGATATCATACCAACTAGTCACCCTGCTCCACTGCGGCTGTGATTCAGCCGGAAGCAGATATAATTGCGGCGTGATGCAAAATAAGGCATGAGTCACTGTATTGCAACTGCGTTTGTCAAATTGCAGGCATACGTGACCGACAGTGGTCAGGAAGTATGCAATAGACAGTAGATGAAGGGCTTTGATATTGTTGCAGTCAAATAATTAGTTGCATGCTCTATATACCTTGGTCGATGACCGTAACGCGGTCGTGCTCGAGTCAAGTTGCACGCGCAACATCAAAAGCATGAATCGCTCCACAGCTCCAAAAGCACCACCTCTCACTCCCATCGAAACATCTGCATATCACACGCCTGTCCCTCGTCCAAGCCCGACCGATCCTGGGAATGCACCAAGTGCTATGACACAGGTAGCCAAAGATGCGGCAAAGTTTCTGAAGAGCACTCTCCGGCTTCCCTCCGCGACTTTCCCACCGCGAGCTCCTCCTGCAGACATCGCAAAATACCTACCACGATGTACAGATGACCTTTATGCCTGGCAGCGCCAGCATAGGCCTGTCGAGGATACTTTTACGCTCCATGATGGTCCGCCGTACGCAAATGGCGATCTCCATGTTGGACATGCCCTGAACAAAATCTTGAAGGACATCCTCTGCCGGACCGCGCTCGCACAAGGCAAACGAGTAGACTATGTTCCAGGATGGGATTGTCATGGTCTCCCGATCGAACTAAAAGCTCTCGAGCATCATGGTTGGCAACGCGGACAGAACGAAGACCCAGTCGCCGTCAGAAAAGCTGCTCGCAATTTTGCTTCCAATACCGTTAGAAAGCAAATGAAGGGCTTCAAGTCCTGGGGCATCATGGCAGATTGGGAAAATCACTGGAAAACCATGGATAAGAACTTTGAAATCCGACAGCTTGAGATTTTCCAGGCCATGGCAGAGCATGATCTGATCTACCGCCGCCACAAACCTGTCTTCTGGTCCCCATCATCGGGTACTGCATTAGCGGAAGCTGAGCTTGAGTACAAAGACGACCATATCTCAACTGCGGCATACGTCAAGTTTCCGTTGACGGGGCTTTCTCACGCCGTTGGCCCAGTCTACGCTTTAATTTGGACCACCACTCCCTGGACTCTGCCTGCGAATCAAGCTATTGCTGTGCATTCCGGGCTCGAATATGTGCTGGTTCAGTCTGCGTTCCATGGCAACCTTGTCATCGCTAGATCTAGACTTGTTGCCGTCGAAGAGGTCATGGGCGAGAAGCTGCGGATCGTACGAGATATCCACCCCACGGAGCTTTTGCAGTGTGTCTATGATGGCCCATCGGAGTTCAAACCATTCTCTTCCGATCGGCCACTCATACATGCTGACTTTGTTTCAGCGGAAAGCGGCACTGGACTTGTGCACTGCGCACCCGGTCATGGTATGGAGGACTATCTGGCCCTCTCCCGTCATATAGCTGATGGCCGCGTCACTGTGCGAGCTCCAGTCGACAACACTGGCCGATTCGATGCTTCTGCTTCTCCTGACGATCCTGGGCTGCTGAATGGTTTAGAGGTTTTCAAGGACGGCAATCAGGCGGTCCTCCAGCTGTTGCAAGGGGCGAATCTACTGGTCAATAGCGCCAAGTACAAGCACAAGTATCCTATTGACTGGCGTACGAAAGAGCCCGTCATGATCCGAGCAACGGCGCAGTGGTTTGCTGATGTCTCATCTATTCGTGACGACACCCTGAAAGCTCTCGACCTGGTGCGGTTCGTTCCTCAGACTGGCAAATCCCGTCTTCGCAGCTTTGTGGAGAATCGTAGTGAGTGGTGCATCTCGCGGCAGCGATCATGGGGAGTACCAATTCCGGCAATCTATCATCGTGACTCAGGTGAAGCTGTGTTGACGCCCAAGAGTGTGCGGCACATCATCGATGTCATTCAGCAACGTGGAATCGATGCCTGGTGGTCAGATTCTGCGGATGAGCCTGCGTGGATTGTGCCTGGCCTTAACCCATCGGAGTTCCAGCGCGGAACCGATACTATGGATGTTTGGTTCGATAGCGGCACCAGCTGGACTGCAATGAGCACTGCCGCACCCCAAGAGAAGCCTCTGGCAGATGTGTATCTGGAAGGCTCTGATCAACACCGCGGATGGTTTCAATCTAGTCTTCTGACTCATGTTGCTTTTCAGAAATCGACCGGGAAAAGTGCAGTTCTTCCACCGTTCCAGAGCCTCCTGACCCACGGCTTCACCTTGGATGCCCAAGGCAAGAAGATGTCCAAGTCGCTCGGCAACGTGGTCGGTCCAGACCAGATCGTTGCAGGGTTGGAGCCGACAGCGAGGGTGCAGCAAGTACAGTCCTCCAAGAAGCATAGAGAACGGCATTCTCTGGGACCTGATGCTCTGCGTCTGTGGGTTGCTGGTACTGATTTCACCAAGGATGTTGTCATCAGCGAGACAGTCGTCAAGACTACGCACACTACGCTGGACAAATACCGCGTCACGATGAAGGTGCTACTGGGCATGCTCCAAGATTTCGATCCGGCGACTGCTGTGGCTTATGAGAAGCTCAGCAAGCTTGATCAGATGGCCCTACTTCAACTATCAGTGGTCACGAAAGGGGTGCAAAGTGCGTGTTCTGAGCATGAATTTCATCGGGCAGTCCTCGCCATCAGCCGGTGGGTGGCTGTCGATCTGTCGGGCTTCTATCTCGAAGGTATTAAAGATATCATTTATTGCGACTCACCGAAGCATGAGCGTCGATTGAGCGCCAGCACAACGCTGTATCATATCTTCAGAGGTATGCAGGACATGTTGGCGCCGATTCTACCGCTGCTCGTTGAGGAGTCATTCGAGCACAGTCCGGCAGCCTTCAAGACTCTTGAGCACCCACTTAGACGCGTTCAGCAGGCACCACCTAGCCAGTGGCATGATACCGACCTGCAGCAATTACTGCCGACAGTTATGTCAGTCAACAGTGCAGTGAAAGCTGCACAAGAAGCCGCGAGAGCCGAGAAGCTGCTGGGCCAGTCGCTGGCATCGGATGTAACGCTGTTCATCGCACCAGAGTTGGGGGGCACGAGCATTCATTCACTGCCTCGGGAGACTTGGCAAGAAATTCTCGTAGTTTCCGATGTCAAAATCGTGAGTGATGACAACTTCGGCGCTCACGCTATGGAGAAGGGCAGAGATGCATCCCATACATGGATCAAATCGAGCGACATTGTGGCGGCCGATGGCACCAAGATTGGGGTTGCTGTCGTGACCAACCCGGCCAGGGGAAAGTGCGCACGCTGCTGGAGATACATGGCAGCAACCCCACAGAACGAGGAGCTGCCACTCTGCAAGCGATGCGATGAGGTGGTGCAGGAATTCCAGCACTAAAGTGCATAGATACCCATGTACTACTACTACTCGCGGCAGGCTGCGGTACGAGAGGATAGGGCACGCCAGCATGCGCAGGATTACCGCAATCACTCCACTTTCTGAAGCTGTGTTAGATAATACAATGATTTGAGCGATACGAAGCTCCCTGCAGCGTGACCGATCTGCAACTTTCTTGGGCACAACGGTCTCGAGATCAGAGGTCATGAGATCTGGCCAGCCGCGGTCCAGCTTGGCTTACTTAGCGGCATCGAGAGTGTACGAGCAGGGATAGTATGCCGCAGTTTGCGGGGTTCGCAGATGCTATTTTCTAGACGCCGGCCTCCGTGCTTCTCCAAAGAGGAGACAAAGAAACACAAGCAGTAAGTGATGAGGGATTTCCGCGAATACTGAACTGGAAGCAAACTGAACTGATGCTCCGCCTGGCATGGAGGCAGGTCACAAGTAGTTGTTTGTTGACTGCAAGCCCTGGTGGACCATGTCGTCAGAGGTATACAATACATTGTGAGGTCACCGGCTCTGGCCCTTGTCTCCTCGTACCGACTACATTGTTCAGTAAGACCGGCGGGTCGACATAATCCCAGCCTGGGTACAGAGGTAGTCTAGCACGAGTTGACACCCCCATGTCAAACCTTTGAACGCGTCGATAGCCGCATGATCGAGGATGGGAGGAGAGAGTGATCTGCCACAGAGCAGAGCCATGGGCTGTGGAGACAAACGCTGATTGGGTGGGCGAAACATGCAAAGCAATTCCGTTTCGTCATGACGCCTCCCCTCCAGCCCTCGCCAACTTCGCGACCTGGCAAGCTGTTGCGGGGGGCTACCATTATGGCCTGCATAGCTTATGACTGGCTTGTGGCAACGTGCAGCAGCGGTAGGTGAAGATGAGAGGAGCTTGATCTACTCCACCCACAGGCACTGCCCGTCATACCTGCTCTGGCCTGAGGAACCTGAGGAAGCTCCGTAGCGCTCTCTTCTAGTAAGACTGCTGCCTTGACCACCTCTCTCCGTCCTTCTCACACCTGTCCGCATACCATATTGCAGTTTGTATCCGTTCAGAGTATTCCATACAGGGTTATCTCAACAATCCTGCATCTCCCATCAACTGACCCCATCCCCACCGTCATCATGATTGTCGAACCCGGCATGTTGGAGGCGCTCAAGAAGACAGCTACCTCTTCTGTGGCTCCCATTCCCACAGTTGTCCCTGGCCATGATCCTATCTATCAGACTGCCGGTGATGTCGGCAACCGGACTCTCTGGTAAGCTCCTCCACGACCTCAGCCGAATGACCACTGATGAATCCCAGGGTTGTCACGGTCATCATGGGCCTTTCCTCGCTAGCCTTCTATGGCATGGCCTTCCGCCAGCCAGTCGTATGTCGAGACCTACCCAGATTTGAGAAGCAGCTAACATGCCTAGCAAAAACGTCTCTTCCACATCCTGACCGCCTTCATCACCACCTTTGCTTTCCTCTCCTACTTCGCCATGTCTACTGGCGATGGTATTAACTACAACAAGATCACCAAGGTCGAGACCCACAAGCACGTCCCAGACACCTACCAGACCATCTACCGCGAGGTCTACTGGGCGCGTTACGTCGACTGGAGCGTTACCACCCCACTTTTGCTCCTCGACCTCGCTCTCCTCGCTGGTCTGAGTGGTGCCAACATTCTTGTTGCTGTTGTTGCCGATATCATCATGGTGCTCACCGGTCTCTTTGCCGCCTACGGTAGCTCTGATGGCCAGAAGTGGGGCTGGTACGCCTGGGCCTGCATTGCCTTCCTCACCATTGTCTATCAGCTCGCCTTCAATGGCCGTGCTGCGGTTGCAAACAAGGACAGCAAGACCAAGGCCTTCTACGGCGCAATTGCTGGTTTCACTCTCATCCTCTGGACCGTCTACCCCATCATCTGGGGTGTCGCTGACGGTGGCCGTGTTGCCGGTGTTGATGCTGAGATCATCGCCTATGCTGTGCTGGACGTCCTGGCCAAGCCTGTCTTCGGCTTTTGGCTGCTCTTCACCCACGACAGCATGTCGTCCACGTGAGTGAGATTGCATTCTCTTGTGAACCATATGTTAACAGTCTTGCAGTTCTCCATCGCTCGAGGGCTTCTGGGCCAACGGCTTTGGTAGCCAGGGTCAACTCCGGGTTGGTGACGATGACGAAGCCTAAGCGTCACGTACTGACAACCACAGGTTGGTGACGACTAAATTACAACCGCCAGCGAAGTTCGTTGTCACGCCAAGCCAATCTCTCAAAAGGATGCCGAACATCCAACAAGTGTGAACAGGGGATGGACAATAACTCGAGACCGGAGTGGTAATAGCACGAGTGACAGCACGATCCAGAAAATGATTACGACAAATGGAATTGGTACGGATCATCGGAGTTATGAAAGAGCCAGCAACTGGTCTTGACTGTGCTCGACGCTACTGCTTGCAATTGCTACCTGATTGTACAGTATCAATACAGCATTGTGAGCATGGACAAAAGTTCTCTTGCACTCAAGATAGCAGATAATTCAATACTCTCTCTCTCGCACCGTGTTCCCGTAAGCTGTATCAAACGGCATTATCAGAAAGAAATGTAGAAACCATCCGATGGCCAGCCTAAGCACGGCTTATGTATGACACAAAATTCCTTCCTCACGTTCAACTAGGTCTTGGTCACATCTTACGGCAACGTCTGTCACGCCACTTCGTCTACACCACCCACCATCTTCGCCCACAAGCTTCGCAAACAGCTCGATGACAATGGATGTTTCACCCTCACCAGTTGGAGTAGCAGATTCACCCTCTTACTCACAGAAGCCCCAAGATCCTTATCCCCACGTCAACGAAACAAGTAGCAGCACGGGAACGTTGCCGCCGTCGAAGAATCATGTGTGTAAGATGTGGTATGTATGCCCAGCCATGTCATGAATGGACCATTGAAAGATCCCTACTGAGAAGAGCGGACCACTCGAATGACAAGAAAGGCTAAGAGGGAAATTGGTCTGCGGATGTAATGAGGGCCAGACTTCCAGGGAGGCATGGTAGTTGACCTAATCTCATCCGGTGCGTGCGCGCGCGTGTGCGGAGGTGCAGAGGGAACGTAGACAAATATTGATCACGAGGTGGAAAGCCGCTCGGGCGAGGGACCTCCATGGCAGCATCCACACATGGCTTTGAGAGCCAACGTGCTGTAGGAGACAGGCGGACGGATCGGGAGATGGAAAGCGGTCTGTATTGTATCAAAGATCCTTGGAGCAGACAAGACCTCTCTTGACTCCATTCATGTTTTCGCATCGCACCGGAACGCCGTCGCTCAAAACGTCAAAAGTCGTAGCTTGTTCAGCGAACAGCTTTCCTTCATCTCTTGTCTCTCACCTGCGGTGGCGACGGCGGCGGCTTGTTGGACAGGGCTTCGGGCCGGTGACCCTGCTTCAGCTCGTCCCAGAAGAGTTTGAAGAAGCGACCGAGGCCGCCGTTCTGCACCGCCTCCTCGCCATCGAGCTGCGTAGGACTGTGGTACTCGGGCGGCTTGCCGTGCTGCAGGGTGTGAACGCGCTTGTGGATGTTCTGGACGCCGCGCGTGAAAGCTGGGGAGCGCAGGAGTGCATCTACTAGGCGCTTCTGGTGTAGGTGTGAGAATGGTGCAGAGGCGGAGGGGGAGCAGAACGTACCTCGAGTATCCCGAACCACGACATGACGAGAGCTACGATGGTGTGATTAGATCGATGTCAGCCAGCTCCCTTTAGCGGTTTCGATGAGATGATCGATGAACACAGGATGACATTGAGCTGGGATGCACGAAGTTGATGACAACGACAAGATACGAGCCCCAGAACAAGAAGAAACCGAGATTCTCGTGAGCCACGCATCTGGTGGCGGTCCTCCAAGTGGAGACGTGCCGGGATGGGGTACAGGCATCAAGGCTCTAACGTAGCCTCGTTGATGGGGGCATCCCTCGAATCTCACCTCGCTGCCACCCTGCAATCGCTACTCAAAGTCCGCCTCAGTAACGTGCACGGCATCAAACAAGGCAGACACGTCCTTACGCTCTCTGTAGAAGAAAGAGGAAAGGAGCAAACCGAAAACACGCCCGTCCACATCTATCGCGCCACACCGCGTCTATCCTGTCTTACCAAGCGCCCGGCACTGCTGATCGCACGGACTTTTCTCGCTTGGGGTACAACCAGACACGAGGCAATCAAACCACATTCCACAGCTTCGCCCTGCGTCGCCTTGGGATCGACAAAGCCTCGCACAAGGCAACCACAACCACTTCGTTACGCCGTGCCGTCACCCCGCACGTTACTTACCTAGTGTCCGGCTCCCTGTTCTCTTTTGGACATCGCACGTTTCGATCTTCTTCGGGGTTGCAGCCATCAGTCACCACGCCCGTCTCAAGACTCTTCACCGACAAAGCCGGCGCCGGGACTTCTCAAGAGGTAAGGTCGCGTGGGCGAACCACGCAGATAAGTGTCTTGGCTCTCTGTTGACTCCTGTGGCTCTGAACAGCAGTCTGAGAGTCCACCACCTCCCACCCAACCATCGATCCCGCGCCGGCCGAATTTCTTTCAACGCTTGCACCTCTCGTCTCATTCCCGCAAGAAGCCAAAGCCGCCAACTCTCCAGATCGAGCGTCCTACCACGTCATCGTCTTTGCCGGTCGTCAGGTCCACTAGTCAAACCCGTGTGGCCTCTTCCCACTCGACCGATGCTGCTACCATTGCGGAGATAACCTCCAGTATGCCGCAGAGCTTGGATCTTACTACTTCCACCGACCGGAAGCGGCAGCGGAGCAGGGACAGTCGCAAGCCCGCCGATGGCAGTAATGGCAGCGACAGAAAGGGCTCAAGCGATACCGAGCGATTAGCGAGGAATGGCGTCCGGATGCCAGCCTATCTGAGCAAGACCAAGTCTGGTAGGACTAGGGAGGCTAGAGACTTCCGATGGTTGCTGACATGAAACAGAAATAGCTGCAAACTTTGACGCATTGGAATGGCAACAGCGCCAGCGAATGCACCATGCTGTAATGAATTCAGGTTCTCCTTTCAAACTCGATAGATCCTGGACGGTCTTGAGCCGGAATCGATACCAGAACATCCAGCCATGGGACAATTCGAGAGTACGACTCAAGACGACCATTGCAGGCTCGGACTACGTCAACGCGTCTCCGATCAAATTGCGCTCACACCGGAGGACGAAACGCGCCCGCTCCAACAGCTCGGCCTCCACAGCTACGTTGTCGGAATACAACTACATTGCCACTCAGGGTCCCAAGGAAGGCCAGTTCTCCCACTTCTGGCACATGGTAATGCAGGAAACAACAGGCCCCGTCGGCGTCATCGTCATGCTCACGAAATGCTACGAAGCCAACAAGGAGAAGTGTGGCCAATACTTTCCCTCGGATGAGGACCATCCCATTGTCTTACCTTCCGAGCGAATACACGGAGTGGCCCCAAAGCCTCCTGATGATGGTGATCCTTTCATTGATACCCCTTCCAGTAGCGCTGGTACTGATAGCTGGATCTCAGGCACAAATACGAGTTCCCCACTCTCCGAGGCCGCCAAGGCCAGCGATAACGAACACGAAGAGCAGTCCGACAAAGAGGCGATCACAGAGGCTGGCGTCGTGGAGATGGTGTCCATGCTCAATGACATAGAGCTCGGAGCCGAGGTAAGGGAATTGAAAGTTACAATAGGCGGGCTGAGCAAGACCATCTACCACTATCTCTACATGCACTGGCCAGACTTTGGTAAGCCGGAAGCCGAAGAGCGCGCAGCGTTGATGCGGCTCATCAAGGTGAGTAGGCAGACTGCTGGGGAGAGTCCCAGGATCGTGCACTGCAGCGCCGGCGTGGGCAGGACGGGCACCTTCATCGCCCTTGACTTTCTCACAGGAGAGCTCGAATCCGGACGGTTGGCGAGGCGCGCCTCAGGCTTGAGCACTGGCTCCGAGGACAACCAGCAGCAGCAGCAGCAGTCCGATTCCCTCGCCGATTCCCAAGCACCGAAGCGGAAACAACAGGCCACGACTCCCGAGCTTCAGCCAGGTGAAGACGCGTCCAGCAACGGGAAAGAGAAGGAGACGGACCTGATCCACCAGACGGTCGACTCCCTGCGGCAGCAGCGCATGATGATGGTCATGAACGAACTGCAGTATTCGCTGCTCTACGAAATCCTCCGCGAGACCTTCGTGGCCATGTATGCCGAGAAAGAAGTCGGCGTCGTGGTCACCGGACCTGCTGAGGAGGAGCAGGGAGAGCCCAGTCCAAAGGTTCGCCGGCGGAGTCAGGCCTCCTCCGCGGGCGACTTGCACGCGGGAGGCTCCAAGCCTGCCGCTGCGGCGAGAAAGAGTGATGTCGTTGTTGTGGATACAGTGTCGGACGTGGAGGTGGATGCCGGAGGCACCATGAGTGAGGCGGAGACAGAGATTGAGGGTTTGAGCAGTAGTGGTAGCGGGCCGCCGCCGCAGGTCGCCTCCCCCGGTACGGATCAGGAGATGCCGTCGCAGGTCATGGACGATGAGGATCCGTACGCGGCGGTCGCGCCGGAGAGCATCAGGCAGGGGATCAGGATGGAGAGGGAGGAACGCTGATGGAGAGTAGTGGGTATTTGTGATATTGGCTATGGCGATGGCGATGGTGTCGATTGCTTGCAATTCCCCGGCCTTGGGTGGCAAGATGTGGTTTGGCATGATTATGGAAACGAAGCCTGCATGGGTTCAATTGGCATTCAGCATACGGCAGGCATATTGCGCACGGCGTTCGGGCTTTTGTTGCATGTGAATGCATGTGGCGAGGCGCCCTGGATAGAACTCGAGGAGCGGCATCAAGCGTTGCAGATGGTTTCTAGATTGATGAGCGTTGAGCGCGAATACACGATTGGACGCTTCGCCGGGGCGTATGCTTTGCTCTATCGCTCAACTGCGACGTACAGTGCGGTGCGTGAACATGATGCGGATCAGCTTGTTCAAGGTCGACTAAGGTCTCAGAGTACGGTGTAATGTAGTGCAAGGTGGTTATGGCTGTGGCTATGTATGGCTGCTTAGACCATCTGCGCCTACAACTGCAAGGGCTGAGCGCTCATCGCACGTAAAGGCTTCTTGGGCGTGGTTGCGACTCGGCGGTTCGCCCTTTGCTCTTGACAATCTCCGTCAGACTGACCCCTTCCACCCATGAACCGAAGCTTTTTGAATAACGCCCTTCTGTAGAGCCGCCAATGGCACGAAAGACCGCCCTGATTCACGGGCTCTTCCGGATCTCCTGGGCACCGCTAGCGATCAAGTCAGATGCAGCGCTTCGTTGCAGAGATGGGGCCCAGAAGTAGTCCAGAGCTGCTCCTCCCCCAGAAGCCCATTGCATTGCTCTCATGGCAACAGCTTAGAAGGCAAATGCCCGGCCGGCCGATACGGGGCCAACGGCACCGGCACATCGCCCGAGTAGCCCACGTCACCCTGCACCTGCTCCATGGTCGCCGCGATCCTGCCGACGATCTTCGCAATCCACCGATCGTTCACTATGCTCCCGACAACGGCCTTCTTCATGCCGTCGCGCGTGGTTTGGTTGAGATCTCGCGCCAGGATGCGCATCGCCTCTTTCGCCGTCCCGTCCCTTAGACCACGCAACGTCTTGCGCGAGAACTCCTTGAAGGTCGCGTTGCTGCTGCTGGTTGAGATGGTTGCTGCCGCGACGGATTCGACGTCGCTGTCTACGGGGGTCGTTGGCGAGGCGATGGAAGGCGACTCTGCTGCTCCTGCAGCTGAACCTGGCCGATGCTCGTCTTGGGCTTGGATAGTGTCGACTTCCTTCTCGAACTCGACGACTTTGGTGGCTTTGACGAGTGCGGCGACGAAATTCAGGAGGGACTGGTCGAAGACGACGGGGAGGCGGCCGTGGACGCTGATATTCATGGTGGTCTCGTCTCGCGAAAGGAGGGTTAGGTCTCGCTCGGCCTGGAGCGTTTTGGGGATGCTGTCGGCCTGTTCGGTGGCTTCGGCGAGCCTTTGTTCGTCTTCCTTGGTGGGCGGTGGGGGCAGCAGGTGCTCGTGATGAGGCAGGAGGAAGGAGGGTAGCGCGATGATGGCGTCAGCGCCTCCAAGTCTGAGGATTTGGTTGACGAGACCAGACTCATGCACGGATCGATGGGCGATGATCTCGGAGATCCTCAGGTGTGTCTCAATGTTGTAATTGGTGCTCAACGGGACTTGTGCTTGTCCAGAAATTTCCGTCAGTTGCAGACAAAAGTTCGCATCCGCCAGCCAAGTTGAGAGCTTGCGCTCCAGTCGTGCCAATTCGCGGCTTTGTGCGGTGTACTGCTTGAAGATCTGCGCCTGGAGTAGTGCTTTGAGCCACTTTCCGGAGCCAGCAGTACTGACGGATTCGATGCTTATAGGGTGGAAGTAGCTCAGCGGCATCAAGAGCAACCGTAGCAAGAAGGGCAGACGATGCAAGAAACGCCGCGCCTTTGGGCTTGAGAGGTTCTGCAGAGTTGTGACTTTGATGCTGCGCTGTGGCGGGTGAGGAACGGACGGAAGCTCTTGTAGCTCGGCGCAAATCGCTGCTCTCAAGACACTCTCGTCGGTGGTATCGAGACCAGCGCCATTGAGGGCATCTTGCCGGACTTTTGCTCGAGTCTGGTAGATGAGGCCCGAAGTACGAATCTCGGTTAGGATGTCTTGATATTGCTTCAGCGCGTGCTCATCGTCTGGAGACAGCGTAGTGACGGAGTCCATGCTCTGTTGGGCGGAAGAGTCCTTTATATAGGAGCCGCCAGTCAAGGAATCTCGCAGGCGGGGCCTCTCCTGTAAACCTATCGATCCTGCCGTCGCCGACCGTAGCAGGGGTGTATCGTTGATGAAGATGCTCTCGTCGTCCGCTTCATCAGTGTCGGGTTCGATGTCAGCGAAAGTCATCTCTGTTCCTCCTTTCACATTCCCGAAGACGTCCCCGATCTCTATCCCTCTAAGCAGTGGGATCGTGACACGGTCAACATGAAGAGCAAGCTCAATGTCCGATGCGAGTTTCAAGCCTGTAATTGTCAGTGAACTCGGAAGTCAGATCGGATTCGTACCCAATTCTATCCCATGCGCCACGACTGTCAAACTCGAGAGCTCAATAGTGAGCCCACGCACGACCAGAAGGCCTTCCACATCGGTGTTGATCTCAAGCGCTGGTAAGTTGAAGATTGCGATCTTGTCTCTGGTGAAATGCAGTTGCTTCAGGAGCCTCCGCAGACCCTTCCGTGCGGCATTGGCAACGATGGTGAACTGGAACAGGCAAGTGAAGCCGATACAAGGATAAAGCACTGCTGTAAACGCAGCCAAAAGAAGCCAAGATGTTGAGCAAATAGCATAAGTCAGATTCAGAGTGGCCAGCAGGGTCCACAAGGGAATGTCGCGGAATATGCGTGTCCCAGAACCGGCGCCATAGACGAGGATTAGGGACTCGACAGCGCAGCCCGAGGATAGCCACCGACGAGGCCAGTTGACAGTTGCCACCAGAAGGCAGAGGAAAGCTGTCGCCAGTAATGAAGTTGTCAGACCCGACTTTTGAGATCCTGGCACGTCCTGCGCCGTGCGTGACGGTCGTATCGGCCTGACCTGGCTCCGAGTTATCATGGCGCTGCTTGACCACAGAAATGTAGAAGTAGGTTTTACATGCTCGGGTTATTGGCTTCATGCTACACGTGCCCTCTGTTTATCCGACAAACACGCCTTCTACGTCACATGGTCGCGCTGTTGTCGCCAAGTTTTCCAGGTCGGCGAGGTCAGATCCCGGCCAATCACACGCAAACAAACTTGACATGAAATCACCGGCGGGCACGTATCAGAGAGTAGTTCACCTAGAAGAATGCCAGCAGATATGTATGCTATAACATCAATGCAGAAGTCCATGCCAGTCTCAACGAGCGTGTCGGTCTTCTGCCAGCTGCGTAGCTCCTAGGCGCCCGTTGTCCGTCTCGAGCTATCCTGTTCCAGACTTCCATGCTTAGGAGTACCGCTATGTATCACTTCTGTCTGTCTGTTTCTTGTTTCTTGTATCTTTGATCACGGTGCTGGGAGCAACATGAAAGGTGCTGCAGCACGTGTCATATACTGATCGATCGCATAGTCTTGCCCGTTCAACATGATTCGCTTTTCGTACTATCGTATCCTCGTCTTCGTGGTTTTCGTTGTCAATCGCATCAGCCGCCAGCGACAGGACCTTGTCGCTCTGGCGCAAGACTGCCTTCGATTCGTCGCTTAGCCTCCTCGCGTTCTCTATCCGTGACCTCGCTCTGGTCCTTCTTCATATCGGGCTTGTGCGGTGGGACATCTGGCGAGTGGCCTATCGACATCCCAACTCTGACCTGCTCTGTATTAGTACAGTGGATGAAAGATCCATGAACGTTGCTTACCAGTGTCTCCAAAGCGCCAGTACTATTCTCGACAAGGTCCTCATCGTACACCATTTTCCCCGGCTCGAAGAAAAGGAGTATAGTTGACCCACCAAACTTGAAGTACCCCAGCTCTTCCGCACGCTTGACCTTTTCGCCCGCCTTTCGAGTGATTACTGTACTGCCAACCATCATGGCTCCGATGCAGACGAACATCACTCGACCATGGGCGACTGAATCAATGGGAACGACGACGCGGATGTTCTCCCCATAGACGTCCAGCGCCGAGCGGATGGCCATAGGGTTGACAGTATAGTACTCACCATCGATAGGTTTGGGCGTGCCAAGGACGCCATCGACAGGTATGTGAAAGCGGTGATAGTCTTGTGGGGCGAGACGGAAGATTCCCATGCTGCCGCCTTTGTAGCGTTTGGCATCTAGCGGATAGGCGTCTCCGAATAGACGCTCGAGGCTATAATCGCGGCCTTTGACCCAGATACGGGTCGCTTCATCGATGGTGTTGAAAACCACAGTCCGGCAATCTGCGGGCGAGACAACGACCTCGGGCCGATCAGGGGCAGAGGCAGGACGCGCGTCAGGCTTGAGTGCACGGTAGAAGAACTCGTTGAAGTTGCGAAACTCCGAGACGGGTTGAAGAACCTCCGACATGTCAAGCTGATGGAAGGCAATGAAGCCTTCAATCTGCGAGGCGGATGCTGGATCGTCGTATTTCTTGCCCTGTTTAATGGAAAGAGACTTCAACATCTTCTTGATGCGCCGTCGCTCCATCTCGCGGGAGCCAAGAGCCTTGTAGAGAAGGCGAATGCCTAAACGTACGTAGACCGACATTCGCTCTTCGTTGATCTGACCTGTGATGCGGTCTTGAACCAAGATATTGGCGCTGTTAGCACCCAGTTTGTAGCCACCATAACTGATTTTTGTAATAATCTTGGAGTACCACTTCCGTTGAGCTTGAGATTGAGTGACGAACCCGCCCATGACGAGGTTGTTGACCTGACGCCAGTCAGCACTCGCACAAGTGGCGATGTGCAAGATGATTTCCGCATCTGTACGCTTGTGAAGCTTCGGCTGGTGACAGATGGGACACTCTCTGACATCAATAACATGTTCCTCCCCATTTCCCTCATCAGAGAGATCATGGGTACCGACTGGGCTCAGCTCAGCTGTCTGCCCAATAGTGCCGGAGGGTTCGACGGCGGGAACCGCAGAAGGGTGCTTCTCATTGAGAGCATCGTCAGAGTTACTGGACGTTGAGGCTGTCGAACTCTTATGCATCATTCTCTTGGCCTTGTCTGTCAAAGACTCCTTGCGGTTGGCAGTCTGCTCAAGGATGTCTTCCAGGCAAATCACTGCCTGATCGAAGGTGAGATCCGTCTCATTGGCGTCTTCATTTTCATCTGCGAAGCGCTCGAAGAAACCATCGATGGTTGAGTCCTTGAGAGTGGAGCCTAAGGTATCGAGCATCGTACTCAATTCAATCTTGCTGATTCTCCGGCTGTCGTCGGCATCATATTGCTTTAACATAGCTCGCCAGAACTGCTGACGTAGAGCTGTGTAAGGCAGGAACTTGCCTTGAATCTCCAGTTTCGGGGAGTGCTTGGCCTCCCAACGCTCCTTGTTCTTGAGAGTCAGCGGAATATCAAAAGTCTGTAGTCCTTGCTCTTCTGTGGTGATATCGTCCTTGGACGTGGACCCAGACGTGTTGTAATCCTGCGGCATGCTGGTAGGGGCGCTGGTCTGGGCGCTGATCGGGGCACTGGTAGGGGCAAGCTTTCCAGGCTCTGGCAAGTCACCACTTGAATCATTTTCGCCAGTGCCGCCATTCTTGGTCGACGCGGCAGACGGCTCCCTACTCATGCCGGGACGTGTCAGTCGGGAAAGGCTGCTGGCAGATGTACTCCTAGACAGTGGCAAGCGAAATCGAGATCTGCTTTCCTTTTTCTGCGCAACTGGAGAGTATTCGGGCGGCTCCGGGAGGTCGTAGAGTCTGGTCAAAGGATCTTGAGTAGGCTGAGAAGCAAGTAGTTTCGAGAGCGGTAGAGCAGCGGAGGCAACAAAGTCGTTGCCAGACAGATTGTCCTTATCCATGACACTGAATGTCAACGAGTAGCCCGTTTCATTACGATTAACCTGGAAAACCATCTTCTCGTTGAAGACAGGGTTGAGGTTGTGACGGATCACACGGGTCCGCAAAACTTTGCGCCCAAGTGCTGCAACGACGAAAGGGTCGCAGTCAAAAGAGGTTCGAGTCACATTGTGCTCGGGCGGTAGATCGGTGATCTTGACGATCTCGAGAAAGATGATGCCAGCAACGTCTCGGGCTGTCCCATGGAAGTCGTATTCGCGTACACTCATAGATTTACGCCGAAGACGAGCGAGCCGCTTCCGCTTCCGCTTCTTCTCTGCCACCGTGGACTTTGAGCCAGTCTCCTGCTCAGTACCAGTCTCCTGTTCATCAGCAAGACTTTCGTTGTCTGAGTCCTCGTCGTCATCGACATTAGTGGAGGTACGAGAGAGGTCATCATCCTCATCCACGAGCTTGAGGACAGTTCGAAATTTCTTGAGGATCTCATCCGGACTGGCAGAAGGGTTCGCCGAGTCGACCAAGGAGAAGCGCAACTGGATCTCGCCAGAGACAATGTCCTTCCTCTTGCCCTCTCGTCTCCTGGACTTGAGCTGGTACCATTTAGGGTCTGCTTGAACCATGCCGGGTGCAAAGATATCCTCAACGGCAATATCAAATTCGCCCATGTAATCTTTCTTAAAACGGTCTTTGTCCCAGCAGACGAATTCAAGGAGTGGGATATCGGTCAAGGGCATGTCCAGGCAGATCTTCCATTCTGGGTTCAGTGTCTTGCTGATATATGGTGTCTGCTGCCTATCATTGCCGAGGGACACGACTAGGTACGGATCAGAGGTTCCAGATCTGTCCTTGGCTGCCAGATTACGACCCTAGCAGGACTGTAAGCGGATGATCTGGACCGGGAGGGCTCGGTTAGGTACCTTGATAACATAGACCTTGAGTATGAGCGGCTTGTCCATATTGAGTGCGCTGGCAGTGGAGTCGCTTGGTCCACGGCTAGGGGAAGGACGTCTGCTATTCTGAGTGCTAGCAGCAGTAGAGTTGCCGTCTGCTTTTCTGGACAGGCCGCTAATGCGGTGTGGTAGCGGAATATGGACCATCTTCGGGCGTTCGAGAGAAGGACGGCGGGCAGGGAGGGAATGTGAGGGTATCAGTCACGGACCGCAGCTCGCTTAGGGTGAATCGAGGCGGCAGGCATGCGCACTTCGGTGGAGGGGCACGGTGGAGGATTGGAGAGCTAGAGCTAGGGGAATAGCCTAGATGAGCCGGATAATGATAGCAGAAGGAACGAGGGGTAAAAGGGCTGTGTAGTATCGGGTAGAGTGTTGGAGGAATGAGCTGAGGTACTGCGTAGAGTCGTCGTCAGCGACCCGTGCCGTGGGTTCCTGGGTAGGCAACCTGGAAAGCGACCCCAAGAAACCACGACTTGTGAGGCTTCCTGGTCCGGCAAAGCGCCAGGGTTGCAGAAAAAGAGGGGCGATGCAATGATAGAAGGTAGAAAGGAATTCAAGCAAGCGCTGCAAACCTCTAGGACGTAATCGCCCCACCAGTCACTGCTCTTTACCACGACGATGTTGTCCGGCGACAGCACGTTCGCTTGGCAAGTTACTGCAATGACGGCGTTTCTGCAGTGCTGTCGGATGCGAGGGAAGAGCCACGAGCTTTTGTTCGCATCTACTTGCTGTGAACCGTTTCGGTAGCCGTCATGTTTCAGGCCAGCGCGACATAGCTGCTCCCCTTGCCCACCACACCCGTTGTATCCGGGGGCTCCATTGGCTCAAGCTTGAGCATTGCATATCGGCATCTGGAACGGGCGCCTACGCAACTTGCTATGATGCTTGGTGTGTGATTTGCTATGTCGCTACATGTGGTCAAATGTAGAAACAAGGCAACGGACCGCGGGTACGATGCGAGAGATCTCTCGTCTATCTGAGCAGCACGAACTATTCGACCGCATGGTACGAGATAAGACTCGCCGATGCTTCGCCCGCGAGCCACGGTCGTGGCAGTATGCAAGCCACAGCCGACAGCAGATGAGCCCCAGCAAAGGGAAGCACGTGCTTCTCCACTGGAGAGCCAAAGCGCAACGAGCGGCAGTTTCCGTAGCAAGGATAGATGAAAACTCGTGGATCTGGTCTTGGATATGCTCAGGTGTTTGCCTAAGTAAGCCTCAGCGGACTCTCGTGCTGAGTCCTATGCTATGTATTCGACCCAGCCAGTGGGCAGAGTGACAGTCTGTATCTATCGAAACGCCCTAACCCGATAGTACCCCGCCTCGGCGCGGGGTTTTCCAGGAAGGCACCCGCCTGGACCGCAGCTGGTCTGTTCAAGGAGAGAGAGAGAACAGCAGTACAACACTCGGTACTAACCATATTGTAATATTAGAACGTAGTTGCAACAACTTGAGTATTCGGTTGTGTTCACAGGCGACGAGGGGCAGGTGAGCGACAAGACTATCTTGATCCGAGCTAACCTAATTGGTATCTAAAGGCTTGGCGCTGCCTTGATGTAAACAGAGACGAGAGCAGCATGCTGCCTCGCCAGTGCGACAACCGCCAACGACCGGCACGACCATTTTCCAACCAGTAGACCTGACTGCGTCCGAATTGCACCCCCATCGCTCTCTTGGATGTATTCATAGCATGCGCACGGGATACGCGCGTTGTTGACCTCCTCATTGCGCGACGCGAAACAGACACGACCTCACCAACTCAATGACTGCGATTGTTGCGCGTGCGCCTCTTCAGCCTCTGCCTATGTCATCAGCTCAGCGACCTCCGCGAAGACTTAGCGCGCGTCTTCAGGAGAGAGAGCCTTCCTATTCAGACAAACATGACCCCGCCCAAGAGCAGCAGAATCCAGCCCTGCATGGAAAGAGCAACGCGAAAAAGCGCAAGACAGGTACGAATTCGCCGCGTGTAACCACTCTGGCGCGAGAACTGACAGTTTGGGCAGCGTACGAGGAAGAAGACGATGGTTTCATGTTCAGCCGGGTGAAAAAGCGGAAGCAAAAAGATGCACCAAAGCCAGCTCCCATTCCCGAAGATGCGCCTGCCGACGATGCCGCGGTGCAAAAACCATCAGAGATACGATCGACCCCGGCGACGTCCACTCAGACTGTCAAGGATGATGGGAATCATGAAACTGGGAAGAGTCGTCATACGAAGAAGATGTCCTTTTCAACTCCCGATCCATCGGAGAAGCAGCCGGTACGACGATCGAAGCGGCTTTCAGACGAGCCGAAAGCGACTAGTCCACAGCACAAAACACGTCGGAAAGACCCCGTAGCCCGTCCGCAGGCTGCATCAGACGTCGAGAAACCAAAGGAGCACTCGCCTCTACGCATTGCCAAAAAGAGGAAGGCGGCGAACGAAACGGACGGGGCGCCAGCATCACACCGTGAGGAACCAGCCAGTGACGATCAGCACTCGGCAACCAAAATCGCTCTTCCATTTGCAGACACTCCGGTAATCAGAAGGAACAAGGAGATGAGAGAAAACAAAGGCAAGAAGGGAGAGCGGCGCAGCAGCATGAGTCTCAGAGGACGAAGGGCAAGCTCTCTCATTGAGTCGGGCAACTCTAATGGTGAGTCTAAAGTGAATGCGCTCGGCCGCCGTCTAACAGGAAGCACAGCACTGCCACATGATGAAGTCGAGGTAGCCGATTTCTACAAACACATCGAAAGCGACGGACTTCCCGAACCAAGACGAATGCGCCAACTCTTAACATGGTGTGCTACGCGGTCACTTGATCAAAAGCCCATGGGCGCTAGTTTTGAGGAATCAAGCGCCATCGCAGCAGCCCGAGTCATTCAGGAGGAACTGCTCAAAGATCTCGCCAATAAGTCGGAATTGTCCGACTGGTTTTCTAGAGAAGAAGTGCCTGAAGCCCCCAAGGCGTTACCAGAGCGGCCCAATCCCAAAAATATGCAGAACGCGGAGAAAATTGCCGAACTAGAGCAGCAGATACAACGGTCAGCCCCAATCAAACATCTGAGCGTACACACGCTAACAAGAAACAGTTTGAGAATAGAGCGAGATGCCCTCGAAAGTCTGATGAGGCCTCCATCGGCCCCAGAGATGCCCAAGATGAAACGTTTGAACACGTCACTGCTCGATTCTAATGAAGCTGCCACGTACGAACAGCTGCAGTCGACAGCTTCTTCAAGCAGTATTGCCTCGAGAGTGGAATCCATATTCAGCAGTCTGGAACCCAAGGTCGATGCTTTTGCCGACCATGTGCACAAGATCGCACAATATCGAGATGCTGCAGACAATGTCGCCAGCAGAGCGCTAGCAATATCAGCAGAGAAGCTAGTTGAGAGAGAAAGAGAGAGTAGACGGCGAGCGCAACCTGAGGACCGGGAACGAAGTCCAAGGAGAGACCTGGGCAATGTGCTACGAGGCCTCAGCCGGGCTGACCGGTAACCTGGCGAAGAGGTCTGAAATGACTGTACATGATAAATGCATTGGAGCAATTGATGTTAATAGAGTATGAGCGATCGGGCTTGAGCGATGTCTTTGGCGGTCGAACACATGAAGGGGCTGCAGTTTCTGATTGTAGTCTCTGTCGCTCTCAGGGGCTGCCTTCTGTAACTCCATCGAAATTTGCAACCCGGTTCTGTTCAATAGATCAAGCCTCTTTCGCGATCATGCTTGGAACAATAGTTGGTTCTTTTGCTGCACGCTTGATGTCAGCCAAGTATTCTGGGGTCCCCCCTCCCCCGGGCTCAAAGACTTCAACCTCACCAGCTGTCGCGCATTCAGCAACAGCGACAAACATGTCTGGAGGTATTCATGCCTATCGAAACATCACGGAACTGTGTAACAAGTGGTTTGGAACATATTAACAGCCTGTGGGTGACAGGATGGCAGAGCCTCCACTGATCCCGCGGCAGCACCGCCACAGGCTGCGCCACAGTAACGTCATGTATTTACATTTTCCTACCCTGTCCCTGTGCTGCGACTCAGATCGTGCAGCTTCCCAGATTTCGAGTCCTCAATTCCCTCCCGAAGTGACACAACACGGGCGAGTGACCGGCGAGCAAACCGCAAGCTACCACCTTGGCACCCGTCGTGCCTGCCAACCCGCTGCCTGCTCTTGTTCCCATCGACCGTAGTGGCTTGACTGCGCCTCTGCATCCTTGACAATTGGTTCTGCGTAGCGTCACTATTGACCGCATTCTTGCTTCAACCGAGCGTTGATATATTTGCACCGTGCTCGCTGCCTAATCACACTCCACCTGTCACACTCATACCAGACTACATCCCAACACATCCTCGAGTCTTGCCACAAATCTCACCCTACGTCGATAGTCGCCCTCATCAGTTGGAAGCCCTCTACAACCTCAACACTCACAAGGCACGCACCCATGCCTCTCATCTGGACCAAGAACTGGGGCGGCAGGCACGTCGGCGGCGGCGTCAGCGCTGACCGCCACGGCGTTCGCCGCAATCCGTTCAGATTCAGCTGTGGTCGCTTCAGCTGCTTCCGCTGAACGCTTTCTTGCATGACGATGACTATTCTGCCACGACAGGAACCAAAGGCAATGCGAGCCCGGGCATACATCTGGAATACATGGCAGAACGAACATCGGAGCAGGGGTGAACAACACGAATGGTAGCAAGACATACAACCGATATTCTAGGTGGGAGTGAGCAAGGAGTATGGTTATTGGGTAATGCTCTCCAAGTACATCATGGCGAGCATGCAGGCTCTCGACTGTCAATCTCCCAAGTCTGAAAATGAGCTCAGGGCATAGAGTAGCAATGGATTAAACACTTCAAAGGCACAATTATCGTAAAAAGGTATATTGCACATCTTGCTTCCAAGTTGTCGATTATCGCTTTCATGTCCATTTGCTCTGCGTGCTCGTAGCAATGCCCGCTCACGTGGTATGATCAAGGAGACTCTTCCGTCTCCTAATATCGGACAATATCGTCGCATCGCTGAGATTTCGTGCTTCGAACGGGTCCATGCCAGGCAAGTACTAAATGTGGAAGGTCGAGCTTGTGGTCACACTGCGATCTCTAGTCCACGGCGACCTTCTTTGACGCTCCTGATATGTCCTCAGAGCCGGTACTGCTTGTAGCGGGTGTCATCTTCTTCGTTCCCATTCCGTCAACATCGTCCTCGTCCCATGCATCATCAGGAATGTTCTCGTCCCAGTTGTCCAGCTCTTCCTCCACACTCCTATGCGTCACTCCCGTTTCCTGCGCCGATGGTCCACCGAAGTCACCGTTCGATTGCCCGAGTCCGGGGCCCTCGCCCAGCTCCACGTCCGCGTCCCCTTCTCCGATCAGCGCTGCAAACTTTGCACGTCGTCTCCGCTCCGCCGCACGCTTTGCGTACGTATTGGCCAGACCCAACGCGCTCAAGCTTCCCAGCACATTTGCCAGAACATCCCACGGATCGAACTCGCGGTCGTTGGGCAGCATGCCTTGCGCCAGCTCCGAGCCAACACCAAGGATCAGCGTGCACACTATCAGGGTTATATGTAAGACCCGGCGACGCGAGGTGTCGAGGATAAAGTAGAAGGTGGCGCTGAGAGAGAAGAAACATAGAAAGTGGGCGACTTTGTCGGTATTGGCCGGGATTTGGTCGCGGATATTATCGGGCGCGGAGGGTAGAGAGGAGTGCGGAAGGAGGCCGGCCGAGGAGGAGAGGAGGAGCAGGGCGATGAAGGCAATCAGAGGGGGAATCCGGACGCGCATAGTGGCGTATTGTGTCGGTGATGGTGCTTCTTAAATCGTAGTGGGATGATTAGGCAGTAAGCAGCGGCGGAGAAAGCTCTACTGAACCAGAGCGGCCTGCGCTTCGCAGGGTTCAGCAAGGGTCGAGCATCGATCGTATCGCAGGTTGATTCACGGTGGGAAGAGCTCAAGATGTGTAGTCGAGCGATGGCTGTGGAGCGACGGATGTTGAGATGGAGAGTAGCTGCAGAGCAAGTAAAGGTGGCCGCAGCTGGAGACAAGTACCTGAGCAATACCTATTTTACGGTACAGGCCGGCGAAATCCTCCAATTAAGTAAAGCTGGGGAAGGGGGCCTGCGGCTAGGCTGGGTCCAGGCAGGTTAGGCTTAGGGTCCGCTCGACTCTCTTTCAACATCACTTCGTCTGCTCTACGCCCGCACCAGACGTCAGACTGCCAGACTTCACCATCGGCGCACTCCCTCCATTCATCGCCGTTCGTTCAGAAAACATCAGCACTGTCTCCAGCGACCTCGAAAGCCCATCCCTATCGAGCTTTTGGACATTTTAAGGCTGTCCGACGACCACGTCGCGACTCGATCAAACTGGAGCATCCTCACGCATCCTGCGCCGGCGAGAGGGGGCGGAAGCCCATACGCCATGTCAAAATGGCCTGGGCCAGCAGCCCACAGCAAGCCACCAGATGACGACACCCATTCGGTTTCATCTTCCAAGATATACTCGGGTCTGTTAAAGGCCCCATCGCGTCCACATACTCCCTTATCCTCCAGACTGCGCAGTCTCGCCGGCGGCTCCCAGTCCGGGCAAGCTGCCGAGCCCGAACCCGCAGTGGACGAGGACCCCCAGATCGCCCGTTTCCGCGCATTATACGACCAGACCGAGTCGCGCATAGCCAGTCTCTTTGATAGCGTCGGGGAAGTCGTCAAGTCCACAAGAAAGCGCCCCGCCGCCGATCTCCAGCAAATCCCCGATGTCGTCGCCGATGTCCCCCAGATACCCCCTCCCACCTCTAAGAAGCGCAAGCTTGACGACGACTATGACGATTATGACGACGATGACGACGACGACGAGGCGCCAGAATCTGCGTCGCCTCTGAAAGAGAAGAGTAACAAGGTCCAGATTGTCTCTGACGCCAACACCTCGTCGCCGGTCGCCCGCCCTGTGATCCTGTCGCGGACAACCTCCGAGAGCGGCAAGATACCACCCAAAGCGCAGCAAACACAGAAGGAAGATGCTGCAGATGCGCGCAAGAAACTCGAGGCTGCCAAACGCGCCGAGATCGAGACCGTCAAGACCATGTCGCGTACCATGTTCTTTACCCTCGAAAATGACCGCGATGCCATGCTGGACCAGCAAAGGCTAGACGAAGCTGAGCGCCGCGCAGAAGCAGAAGCCGAGGGCCATGCCAACAGACAGAACGCCGCCGTGCAGCAAGGCAGTCTCAGCAGCGCTAATCTCGGAGCTTCGAGTCTGACCTTGAAGAACCTCATAGCACAGATCGATAATCACCGCGTAAAGGTCAACGCTACTGACCAAGAGGTGCGGGCACTCCTCAGCGAGGTGCGCAAGAATCGAAGCAAGTGGGCGAGCGAAGATAAGGTTGGCCAGGAGGAGTTGTATGAGGCTGCAGAGAAGGTTTTGAACGAGTTGAAAGCCATGACCGAGCACTCGACGCCCTTCCTGAATCCAGTTAAGAAGAAGGATGCTCCAGACTACTACAACATCATCAAGCAGCCAATGGATCTTGGTACCATGACGAAAAAGCTTAAGAACCTGCAGTACAAATCCAAGAAGGACTTCGTCGACGATCTATATCAAATCTGGAAGAATTGCTTGAGGTTCAACAGCAGTCCCGATCACCTATTCCGGAAGCATGCGCTCTTCATGCAGAAGGAGACCGACAAACTGGTGCCGCTGATTCCAGAAATCGTCATTCGAGACCGCGCGGAAATTGAAGCCGAAGAAAGGCGAAGGCAGATCGCCGACGGCGAGATCGATGACGGTGCAGAAGAGAGCGACGATGAACCTATCATGGCGTCCAGGGGCAGAAAGGCACCGAAGAAAAGCGCCAAGAAAGGGACCTCGTCGTCCAGGAAGTCGGTACCTGAGACGACTCCGCTTCCAGAAACGAAGCCCGTTATCAACGCCCTGGCTTCCGTGCAGCAGAACGGCTTGAGGGCAGACTCCGAAATCGACGGTAGCCAGGGACACTCAACACCGCCACCAGGCGTGCTAACACCAGTTGGTGGCGGACAGGGACCTGGGAGTGTCCTTGGTGCTGGGAGCGAAGCTCCCGAAGTCGACATTCCTGGTCTGCCTTCTTTGCCTCCTACGACTCCTGAATATGAAGACGAAGAATACAGGCTGTGGAAACAAAAGACAAAGAAAGATCGGGCCATGCTTGCCACCGCTCGTCACAGGCTGTTCCGCGGCGACAAGTTGAACCCGGACGAAGAAGCGTTGATTCGCACAAAGTCCGGGATGAGGCGTTGGCAAAGGATCCAGCAAGAAGCTAGCAAGCTCGACGCTGCACAAGATGTGGACGAGTCCCGCAATAAAGCCTCAACATCGTTGTCAGAAGGCCTAGAAGCGGAAGAGGAAACAATGCTGCCTGACTACTACGACACACTTGGCGCTATTCCTGACTTGGAGCCTCGGCTCAGGTGGGAACGAGACAGCCTGGGACAGGTCGTTGATCAATCTGAGGAATATCTGCGTCTATTTCCAGCGAACCAATTCGTTGCGCCAGAGTCAGCACTTACCAAAAAGATCAACGCCAACCTAGCGCAGATGCAAGAAACCCGGAAGATCGTGTCGAAGATAGGCGTGGTCAAGCAAATGCAGCTTCAGTCACAGACATACCAAAATCAGTTCACGAAATTCCAGCCGGAACCTTTGATTGAGCACGACATCGGGAAGCACGTCATGTCAGAGGATGGCCCGGTCATGGCGCCCTATGTATGCCAGGCGGCGCTACAACGGTCCGTTGGCAAGATCTTCTTCAATGCGGGATTCGAAGAGTTTCAGCCATCAGCGCTAGACGTCGTCACAAACTTAGCTTCCGACTTTTTCAAGCGGCTGTGTGATACGCTCGTTCACTACAAGGATGCGCAGCACATTCCGCAAGCAACCCAGAAAGTCGCCATTCCACAGATGCAAAGGCCAAGCATGACCAATGAAGAAATCATACTGCATACACTGAATGAGCACGGACACTCGCTCAACGACCTCGACACCTATGTCCGCGAAGACACTGACCGCCTCTCCACCAAAGTGCAGACAATGCACGAGCGTATGAAGGCTCACCTTGCCGATCTCCTCCGACCTGCTCTCACCGAAGAAACTGCCCAAGGCCAAGGCAACTTCACAGATGGAGGCGAGCAGTATGTCGGTGGTGACTTTGCCGAGGACCTGGGCGAAGATTTCTTTGGCTTCCGCGAGCTCGGCTTGATGAAGGAACTTGGTCTCGATACACTGACCGTACCCTTCCACATTCTCCACGGCCGGCTCAATATGCAAGCCAACCAGAACATCGCTACCGTCATCGATGGCGAGAAGTCGTTTAAGGAGCCACCGCGATGGCCAAAGGTGAACGTCGAGAACGTGGAAGACATCATTGGCGTCGCCAAAACTTGGTTCAGGAAACGACTCACCGAGAATGGCGACAGGCCGCTCATGGAAGACTACGAGCTACCGCCCAAACAAAGGCCTGGATATGGCCGTGCGAGGGTGCCGGCCTCTGGCAAGATCGGCGGCGACGCCAAAAACGCGAGTCCGCAGAAAAAGGCACCAGCCAAGCCGCCGCCAAAGCCCGTGAAAAAGGCAATCAGCGAACAGAAAGGGAAAGGCAACGACAAACAGGCAAACGGCGTCATCGACGAGGCAGAACCGGTACCCATGATGAATGGCGTCAAGAACGAGGCTTCTGCGAACGATAGCAGCCCGGAGAAGAAGAAGGGAAAGGGCAAGGAGAACGAGGTGGCCAAGAAGGGATTGGATCAGCTAGATGGCGCGGTCAAGGTGAATGGTGAGGGAGCGATGATGAGTCCCGAGAGTCTCTGATTGAGCGATGATGGATGAGCAAGCACAAGCTTTCGTGTTGATGCTCGCCGTCTCACCGAGCGCACGGCATGGCGTATTTTTTTTTTTTTTGCGCGTCTATTGGATCTCAGCCGTGGCCATGATCTGGATGGAGGCAACGGTGCTTGCGTTTTGAGAGCATAATGCCCCCGCTTTGACGATACGGATATGGGTTTGGGCTTTGGGTATGGGAGTCGACTCGGACAATGTTTCCACCACCAGATGAGCCTGGAAAAAGTGCTCCTGTGTTTTTTCTGATACAACCTTTAGCTGCGGCCCTCAGGTATCTATCTACCACACCAGTACATACATATTTCCTCCCCCACGCCCGCGGGTCCCGCGGCTGGAATATGGTAATGCATATGTCACTTTTTCTGAGCACTCGAATTTTGCCTGCCTCCCTCCCTCTGTGCTTCCTAGAACGTAACCACAAGCTTCGCCGCGCTAACACCGACCCCCATACGCCGCACCCCCTCTTGCACATCCACCAACCCCGACTGGCCCACCACCTCTGCCCGTGGCAGGCACTTGTAGCGCCCGTCCGCCACCGCGCCCTCGATCCACGCCCACAGCCGCCTGGAACGCGCCTCGTCCACCTCCGTCGACATGCCCGTCACGACCGCGACGCCCCGCTTTGCAAACGCCTCCGCACCAGGAACGACGCTGGCTATGAAGCGCCGCACCGGCATACTGGTGTCGCCGGTGCCGCACCGCGCCAAAACCTCGCACAGCGGACCGATCGTGTGCGCGGTGCTGATGGCGTCGAGCGCCCCGACGACTTTCAGCTCGGCGTGCTGCGAGAGGTACGACAACAGTTGCTCCACGATGTCGGTGGCGGAGTGGTCGAAGACGGCGTGGGCGCCGCAGGCTCGCACCATGTCGTGGTTGCGTGTAGAGGCCACACCGACGACGTGGTAGCCTGCCTGTGCGGCGAGCTGGACGCCGCAGGCGCCCACGCTGGAGCTGGCGCCCCAGACGAGGAGGAGCTTGTGGGTGTTGGTGCTGGTGTCGATGCTGGTGGCTTGGTTGGGTGGAGACTTGGACCCAGCTGGGTCTTGTGGCAGCGAGAGGTCCAACAGCGTCGGCGTGAAGAGGCACGCCGTTGCGGTCAGGGTGCCGAGTGGCAGCACGGCGGCGTCCTTGGGGGCGAGGTGGGGTGGAACGCGCGCGACGTGAGGCGCGCGGAGCACGATGTACTCTTGGAAGCCGGCTGAGCTGTACGTGCCGGGCGGGCGTTGCAGGAGAGGTGTGGCGGCCCCGAAGACGAGGTCGCCGGGCTTGTAGGGGCAGGCGCTGGGGATGCTGCTATCGTTGTCGCCGTCATGGTTGCTGTTGGGAGGGGCAGTAACGCTCCAAGGGCCAACGCCGACTTCGACGACTTCGCCGGCAACATCACAGCCGAGGATGGCGGGGTAATCTGTGAGGAGGATGCCTAGGGCCTGGATGCCGTAATCGGCGGGGTTGACTGCTACGGCTTGGGTTCTAATAACCAGCTCGCCTTGCTGCGGTGCAGTGTACGGTGCATTTTGAATGATGAACTCGAGAGATTGTTTCTCGGTGAGAAAGGCCGCGTTGTTGGTGGGAGTCATGGTGATGTTGCGGGTGGTGTTGATTTGGGTGTTGGTCAAGAAGAGCGAGTCGCTGTGGTATCAGTGTGTTTTGGATGCGCTACCCTGGCTTTGTTTTGCTTGCCCCCTTGGGTTGAATATCGTCCATTACGGACTTACCTCTGTCAGACATATATACCCTACCTTGACCCTGAATACTCATCGGATCGTGGACCATTATGCTTGATAGATCGAGCATAACACCGGGCTCGATATCAAGTACAGGGCAGACCCATTCTCTTATTTCCACGTTCCGGGCTTCGGTCCATGTTCTATCGCTGTAAGAGACGTCGAGGAGATACGCTTCAGCGAGCGGTACTCACTGCTAGTTCAAATCTTATATCGTGCACTACCGTGTGCTGACGACAACGATGAATGGCTCAGGGGTGAGGGTTGAGGTCGGACTTAGTCTTATATCCAGAAGCAGGAGCTGGTTAGGGTTCAAGGAATACGGGAGGAGGAAGCACTGATGCAGATCGTGGACAGCAGCTTTGAGAAGCTAAAAGTCCTAGCACATGTTTCCCTTCATGATGCTTCGAATACGTTGGTCATTTGCAAGATAGAGGCGCATGTGCAGCAAGGAGATGAGATCTGCTCAGATCGAAACTAGGCGATCGCTGGGCTTGGCATACCCCCAGCAGGCAACTAGGCGATGAGAGCATCGGCTGCCGCGCATGCTATTCTCAGACTTTGCGAATCTTTCCTCCCAAGATGCTCTTGTGTTAGTCGTTGACGTACGTACGCCAGTGCAGCTTTTGAGTAGAGTGCCGTCCACGACCTTGACCACGTCCGCGCAACATTTATACTCAGTTTGGCGAGCAGAGTCCGAAGAGATAACTGTGCTCCAGCGATGTTGACATGTAGCCGCAGGGCTTGGGAGCTGGGACAGTCAATTGAACGGTTAGCAATGAATTTCTGTCCATGACAGTATATATAAGAAGGCTCTTTGTCAGCAGCTTGAGCAGCTTCCGTCTCACGCGCACCAGCGTGTAATCTACTCCCCATGCAACGCCTCTGCGCGTCGAGAGCCCATTCTGAGAATCGAAAAGCGACTTTTCTTTAAGCCAGGTCGCAAGTCCATATCCCACCAGCCAGTGCACAACCGATCTTCTTGTACTTTGTGCTGCTAAGAATCTCTGCATGTCCCGTCTGGCCAGCGTGATTCCATCCTTTGGTCATGGAGCTGCAGACGCTGCTGCCAAGTCCTGGGAGGTTGGGCATCTCGCAGAGCCAGCCTCCCACAAAGACAGACTCGAAGTTGCCCGAATTGCCAGGAGCCATGACTTGCGCCATGGAGCCGGAGTTGAGCTTGTGCTTGAGTGCGCCACCAGAGGAGCTGGACGTATCCTGGGCGTTAGACTGCAGCTTGCTGTCTCGCGAGAGGCTTGACAGACCCATGGCTGAGCGCCATTTGCCAACAATGCCCATATAATCACCCCCGTCGCCGCCACCACCACCTCCACTGCCAGCAGGCTGTAAGCCGTCACCTTGCTGATCACTCGAGCTACCTTCAGAAGCACCAGAGGAACCTCCACGTGAACCACCTTTAGGCGGAGACTGTGCTTGAGATTGCGACTGAGGTTGAGACTGTTTCTGAGAAGTCGAATCGCTGCCACCACCGCCTGATTGTGACTTAGAGCTAGACTGGCCGCCGGAAGATGGCTTGTTCGCCTTTTGGGACGCCTTGATTCTGTTTCTTATCCATGGTGGCGGTCCCCCCCCCGCTACCTCCACCGCCACCAGCCCATGGAGGTCTCCCGGTAGGGCGCTCGCGCTGCACAAGGTCGCGTGTGTCATCTGGCTCGGGAGTAGCGACCAGGACATATGAGAGGATTAGTAGAACGAATAGCCTGATCAGTTCCATCCTCTTCGAGTATAACGTGTAATGTAGAACGTGACAATCCAGCGCATGGCAGGGACTTTTCCGTGTATGAATAAGGAGGAGAGAAATGTGGCTGTGGGCCAAACAAAGGGCAGATATAGCACAATCACGGTTGCCGAAAGAGTGCGGGCCACGTGGTCAGAGTGGAGGCTCAAAGAGAAAGGTGCAAGCCTTTGTCGAGGGAATAGTCCGATATTGACGCACAGCGCCAGTAGGATCGGGACAATCAGTTGGAGATCCTCAAACAGGACGACACCCCTAGCTAGCATGCGAGTCAGACCGAACTGTATATCAGATTGGTAGGCACAGTCGGCCCTGTGAGAGCTCTGGTGCGATGCTGAACTGCTTGACCGAAAAGTTTTATTCGAGCCGTATAATCACTACTGGTAAACAAAGCCGAACTCCCAAACTGTGGCCAGCCCCTACCTTGTCAGTAGGTTGCCGGCATAGGACGCCGAAACACCTTGCTTCGATACCATTCATCAAACAAATTAAAAGGCCGGAGTACTGAAGCTGGCCATGCGATTCGCCGTTAGGAGCATGGCAATATCAGTCTGCTTCGTAGAGCGTTTGCCCACTGGAATAATGTGGCATGCCGGGCGTGGAGATTGGCTTGCTGACCATGGTCGAGGGCGTCGCTCAAACGCACAGCCAGTGTCTCGTGTGGACCATGTCCGCGTTTGCATGGCTGCAGGTCGAGTGCTATATAAGACATAGTCGTAAGCCAGACCAAGTCGTAAAGAGTATCCTCGCCTGACATATCAGTCCAGCCCGAAGACTGGTTGTGTTGTGCAGCTGCATCGCCGATAGTAAGCAGACCGTGCAATATACAATGTCGCGCCATAAGAATGTTGTGCAGCGACGGTGCAGATGGAACAAATTGATCGTATTGTTCATAGCCAAGTGTAACTGCCACCACGTCGTATAGACTGTTTTTCAACCTGGTAAATCTAGGCGAAGTCGGTAGCATGGGTAGTAGAAGCTGCAGAGGCCGACACATGCGTGATACATGATTTTCACTGCGGGGAAAGTCGGAGACAAGATCGAATGTCTGCATAAGGAGAGGAAATTCGGGCGGTTTAAGAACGCGGAAAGAGGTAAAAACATCATATCTGTTGAATGTCAGCCCGGGCACAGTATTTCGATAAGCCAGACACATACAAGCCCACTACGGTCGCGAAGCCGGGCCGCTGGACTGTTCGCAGACCGCCTCTTTGCTTCAATAACTGGAACAGAGCTCGTATGTGGGCTTGCTCGACGGGAGTCCTGCTGTATACATCAAGGTCGAAGCTAGTTGCCAGAGGATTCTTCAAGTCCCGAGATGGCATGGGCAAGATCCTTTCTGCTGAGCTGTAGCTGGCAAGAGCAAAGATGGCGTGCATCATTTCATCAGGCATGTTCTGGCCGGTCGATTTGATGTCAGCCATCATCATCCTAAGAGCCCGGTCTTTGTACTCCAGGCGAAGCATTGAGATGGGATGAGGAGCCTCCCCGCCAACTCGCGATAAGGCAAAATGGGTGGCGGCAGCAAAAATCGTAGTATAAAAGGACGTCTGCGACACGCGCAAGCGGTGTCCGATGTGTGTCTTCATGTCTTGGTATGTAAGGTTAGGATTGACGAACTTGAAGATTGGCCACTGATACGTCAGTGCTGCGATGGTCAGCTTCGGCATCAAGTCATCAGGACTATCCTACCATAATCGGCCATTTGATGCGCATACGGTGTCAGATCTTTAACAGGCCGTGAATCGAAGGGGTCGACCCGGCCAGCGCCAAGGACAGAGACGGGCGAGCTGTTGCGTGTGGAGGGTGATAGGGAACATGAGAGCTCGGTGGATGAAGAAGCGGAAGCATCATCTTTGGATGCCGTAGTATGACTGTCTGAGGTGACACTTTCGCTTCTCCGCGTATCTGGAGGCGGCTGCTTGGGTTTCTGAGACTGTCGCTTTAGCTTGGCTTTTCGGTGATACTCTCGGGCGGCATGCTTCTGCTGCGAGATCTGACCAGCGGATTTCTTGGTCGGTTTGCCACCTCGATAAGGTACGAAAAGGACCTGAGTATCAGACATGGCGAGGACCAGCGGGCTCCGGCCCGGGCACAAGGGAGAGTGACGGCGAAATGCAGAAGTCCAGGAGGGTGAGAATGGGAAATGAAATCACGGACGCTTCAGCCTCATAATAACCATAGGGCTGCAGCTAGGCTGGACGATCCTTTCTAGAAGAAGATTCCTTCGAGGAGAAACACGTGGAGCGGTGACTTGTGTGGAATTGAATCCTGGTCCAAGAGACGAATAGCGGCTTTGAAGATGACCCAAGCGATGCGGCGTCCAGCTTCTTCTTGGGAGCAGCTGGTTTGATAAGCTCTGGACGGACCAGGGCCAGTCAACGCAAATTCGTGGAGAAGCGAGATAGAGCGGGATTACATGGAGTGACGAGGCAGTCAGAACCTACAGCAGCTGCTGCGGTTGCATCGACTGAACGTCAAGCTGGTTCGTTATTGGTAACGACCGAGGTTCAGGCGGCTTGAAGTGCCGAATAATGAGAGAGTGAGTCTGTCGAGCTGAAAGATGTGCAGGGGATTGGGGACTGAATTGATGCCAATGACAGTGGCTGCTTAGGCAATCTGGGGCCCGCCAGGGTTGCGGTGTCATAAGCAGATGCGACGGCGGGAGAACCGCGGGAGGGTTAGTCGGTGACATGTTGTTCCAGGGCCGGGGGCTATTAGAGCCAAGCCCGACCAGCATCTCTCCGGTCGCCTCATCAGAGCAAACGGCGCAGACGAACTCCCCTCGCCCCCACCATTCGTCAGTCTCGGCGGGACGCTTCGACCGTGTTGACAAATCTTGCCCTGCATAGCATGCTTGATTGAGCATCATTCACAGCTGTTCGAGCGTTCATCCATAGCCTAAGGTACATATCCGGTGCCCGACTCGGCCGCTACGTTGCCATCATGTCGCAGATCGTCGAGATACAGTCTACCTCACAATTCTCCACCCTCCTTGCGAACTCGACGATAGTTGTCGCCGATTTCTATGCCGATTGGTGTGGACCATGCAAGGCCATCGCGCCTATCTACGAACAATTGTCAGCCCACCTCTCCAAACCAAACAAGATCACGTTCACCAAGATCAACACGGACAACCAGCAAGAACTAGCCCGAAGCTATGGCGTTACTGCCATGCCTACCTTCATGATCTTCAAGAACGCCCGGGTCACTGATACAATTCGCGGCGCGGACAAGAACAAACTATCTGCTGCGGTACAAAAATTGGCAGAAGAGGCAGGCAAAGTGGACGGCGACGGCGGCGAGGGCTCGAGTGGATCGAGCAGTGGGTGGATTGGTGCCGAACTGCCTCGCGGTTACTCAGATGTGACCTCGCAGGTAGACGTGACCGGTTTGGAGCTACTGAATTGGGATTCATCGGGGGGCAATGCAAGGACTGTCTTCCAAACAACAAAGGCCAAGAGTATGCCGTACCCACGCAGCATCAGCACTTTGCTAATCCATCACAGATGAGCGATCAGATCGGGTGGAGAGCGACACGGACGAGCAGCTCATGATTTTCATGCCCTTCCAGTCCATGCTCAAAGTCCACACCATCCACCTTACATCACAGAACCCGACCGAGGAGGAGGACGACGAGCTTCCTTCGCGGCCCAAGCTCGTGAAGGTCTACATCAATCGTCCCTCCATCCTCAGCTTTGACGAAGCCGAAGGCACACCTGCAACCCAAGAGATCGCGCTGTCGGAGAAAGACTGGGACCCGAAGACCAACACCGCTAAACTCGAACTACGCTTCGTCAAGTTCCAGAACGTCACAAGTCTTGTGCTCTTCGTGGTCGAAAGCGAAGGTGACAACGAGAAGGTCCGCGTCGATCGGATACGCATTGTGGGCGAGACGGGCGAAAAGAGAGATGGCAAGATCGAAAAGATTTCCGACGAGTAGAGCCGGGCTGCTTCAGCTCGACAAGCATTTGCATGCATGAGATACGAATCACGAGAGCATCAGCACGGCTAGACCATCTAGACAGAGATAGAGCTGTCGGCCACAAAAAGCGTCGTGACGACCAATTTGGCCTGTAGTCCATTTGTGCTGCATTCTCAGACTTGTTCGGCTCCTGACCAGCACCACCGCTTGTCTCTGCGACCTCCCTTGTAATGTTTCATCTCTTCCCATAAGCACACACGCGCAGCACAACACATGACGGCGCATGAAAAGATGGATTGTTCGACCCCACGTAAATCAACAAACGCAGGAAACTCGATGCGCCCCCAAACGAGATCCCATTTGCCAACCACACCTTTCGGCAGGTTATGCAAAAAACTCGGGGAGCGAAGCAATCGAGGAGATCGATGTTTTTGCAATTAGGTATTAATCTGTGCTGTCAATGACACTTGATTGTTCCGCCATAGCATTTTAAGGGTCGGTCAAGCAACACAGGGGTAATTAATATTGACAGCGCCGCACGAAGAAAAGAAGAAGAGAAGAGAGAGAGGTCCGCGCAGTTGAAATTTTGGGAAGCAGCGCTGCGCGAGGGGTGCCAAGGACGAGGGAGGCTAGAGCTAGATAGGGGATAGCGTGGCTCAGCAAACGACTGTCTGTATTTTTCTGGTCGAGCATGAAAGATCCAGTTGTTGCTTTCTCTTTTCCTAAGGCTGGTGATGAACAATGCGACTGCATTATAATCATAAGATAGGAAGAGACTGATTGCCCTCGGGCATGATCTTACTTGACAAGTTTCTGAAGCCTTGCCACGAGTTGTGTCCGTGCTAGGACAAGCACCTGTGGTCGCTGACAACTGGTGCGATCCAGACAACGCCATGCTGCCGACTTCTTATACATGCTCCCGAGTGTGATGATGAAAGGTGCTTGAAACATCGTTGCTGCCATCTGAAGGCCGATCTGCCGGTCGTTGGCTTTCTGCACTGGCCGATCAACTCCACGCCTCAGGTAGTTCTGCTGGGTTTCGGAGGACCAGAGCTCATGGAAAAGTGTGAGCTTCGGGTTGAACGCAGCACCTTGCGTAGTTGGTTGCCCTATCGAAGCGCCGTGGGTGTTCCATCGCGGTTCAAGTTTAGCAAGTATCGAGTCTAAAGGTGTGCATCTAACATCAATGCAGAACGCTCTAGAAAAGCGCCATGCTCAACCGCTAGTAGTTAATCAGTATCTGCGTATGTGTCCTGGGATCGGATCGAGCGCGACAGCGTGGTAGTCTGCATCGATTTGTGGAGTGGACAATGGATCTGAGAGTCGTGAGAGCATCACATGGAACCCTCGATACATTGCCCAACAGGGGCGTGTCCTGCTTCAAGCAAGACACCCTTCGGACCAACACAGCAATCTGACTTCGGCACGTCGTCACTTGCATGATGTGGAAAGGATGGATCGTGCTGCGAGACCTTTCCTGCATCAGACTATCACTCGAACACCCTGAGTACTTACCTGCATTCATCTGGGGTGCGGTAGCTTCAGCATGGTCGCCTCCGCATTGTGGTGGACCTCCTTACCACAGAAGCTGGAAGGTTCCCGAAACCCATTCATGCTGTTTTGTCAGCTCTTGATGTCGGATATCTAGGACCCAACTTCAGGTCAGCCTGACGATCGAGGCTTGGGGATCTCCAGCGCAGGTCTCTAGCGAGGGTCATCGACGGCCTAGACCTTGGGGGGTGACGAGGCAACCGAGGGGTGGATGATGTTGACAGCTCTACCAAGTTTCTGGCATCCCTATTCAGTACGGATCCTACGGGTCGGTATTGTGGGCAATAGGTCCTAAACAACTCTCTTGGGGATGGAGGGGATTGACCGAGGACCAATCTGATCATACTTTGCGCCGGTCTGGTTGCTCAATGATGTGCATCAGTTATTTCTCAGTCAGTGCCAACGTGGGAAGATCATTACGCCGAAGATGTAGCTGTAGCCAGCCACTGTGGCTTCATCGCCGGTCTAACCCCGGGTCGAAGCTGCGCAGCAATGGACACGAGCTGACCTACCCTTTTGGCTGGTATCCTTTCTCGCAGAAGGCTTGTAGTAATGGCACGCGCATCTTCTAGCCCTCCCCCTGACATTGTTGAAGGTTGAGCGCACACCCTCAGCGGGTGGCTTGAAACATGACAGGAATCGGGGTCCTTGCGGATCTTTGCCACGTGCCGCGTGCTGGGCCGGTGTACCGCAGCATGGGGCAATGAGTGGCCGATGCTCGGAGAACCGAACGGCTCTATGGACAACGATGGCGTGGTCAGATCTCGTCTATTGAAGGAAGAGTCTTCAGACTCAAATCTTTTTGATACGAGTGCCAGCAGAGTAGTATCGTGTTTGATGGATTTTGGCGGACTCGTTAACCAGAATAATGATCCAAGACAGCTCTTCCTTTCGGGATTAGTTGCAGAGGAGAAACTTCAGTCGTAAAGTTCAGCGTGTGAACTCATCTCATAATAGCTGCAGAGAGCCTTCTTGGTCCGAAGCATATCGAAATCTTGCAGACAAAGTCAGAGGAATCAAGGCCAAGCTGTCACTGGACTGATCGACGGCTATTGAAGAGTTGACTTGAACGAGCACTTTCGTTCCCAGGGCACTGGAATTGGACTTCGCAAATCTTGACCCATCTGTCAAGCCGATAAGACGGCGATAGTGGTGCGCACTGGTGGGATGACCATGACTAGCCTGAAGGCCCGTCGCTGGCTCCCGCGTGCAGTCGATCGGGCAGACCCTAGCCTACCATGGGCATTGATAAACCTGGCCCAGCAAATGAATAAGTGGTCCTTCATCGTCTGCTGCTGCAACACCGTGACCAAGGCACAAAGGACTATTCGCCGGCGGTGGGCCACAGTGCTGTATGCCGTCGTAGCCCAGGTGAGAAATGTGACCTCAACAATGATGGAGGCGGGCTTGACCAGGGTGCGAGACCCGAAGCAGTCTGGATCGACTCCATGCGGCTTTCAAAATGGCTCAGGATGCAGAGCTGAGGACCCTCTGGTGGACGCAAGTCGTTCCATCGAGAGTTCTGGGCCAGTCAGAGACCGAGGTATCGGGACCAAAGAGCGGAGAATTCAGAAGCCATTGCCGGGCAAGGCAAAGTGCCAGGCACGGCTCAGACCTTCGCGTGCGGCTATACTGGTTCCCCGGCGCCATGGCTTTGATAAACTGATAGTGAAAGTGGAGTGATCAATCTCCCCGGAAGCACTACTGGAGGGCTTCCGTTGCTGCCAGTGAAAGCATCTTGTCCCTTGCCACCGAGTAGCGAAGCCATCTGGGTGCCCGGGCCGATGGTAGCTCGCCCTGTGAGTATGGTGGCGGGCTGTGAACGGGAGGAAGCATGGCCTAGCAAATAGCTCTTTTACGAAGACCGCGGAATCATCGGCTGGTCATAGCAGATGAAGCCAAGATAACCATTCGAATGTGAAGGGTCCCGGTGTTGCAGTGGAAAGTGTGTGGACTGGCAACTGAACCGCTAAGGGCTCGAAACTCGGTGATCACGCCCACGAGGTCAAAATGCAGTCACGAAACAAACGCGGATGCGGTTGAGAGAATCCTGAAACACGGGCTGCATACAGCTGCAAACATAACCGACGGAGTCTGCTGAGGGTGCAGTAAAGGTGCCGTACCTTGCATAAAGAGTGTCCTGTTCCTGCAGTAGAGCGCAGAAGACACCACACAATGATACCTCACTTAAGCGAAAGAGAGGTGGGATTGGAGAGCGAGAGGGCCACTTGAGGAGCACCGGACCCTTGGGAATCGAATGACAAGAAGGGACCTTCTGGAAGCAAGCTAGGCTCGCCCGGACGATTTGGTGCCTTGGGGCGAGCAGCATGGCTAGCCTGGAGCTAGAAGGCGCGACAAGACGGGTGCCTGTCCATCGCGACGCGGCGGGTGCCGAGTCAATTGTTGGTGGCGAGGCCGGGCCTAAAAGCAGCGAGCACTGCGGGCAGAGGTAAGCTGGACTCGGAAGCTGGCTTCGCTGCAAGGAAAGGCCCTGTGCCGCCATTAGTAGGGCCGTGCCTATTCATAGGTTATCGATAATCTCGACTGTGTGCTACGTTCCTAACAGAATCTCGCTTTTTACAAGTATTGGAGGGTAAGAAATCAGTCAATGTGAAGTCTGGCTGGGATTATTGAAGTGCGCGAGCAGCGATTCGGGGGTTATCGCCCCTACTGAGCGCAGGGTAGGGCCAATCCGCGCCCCCAAGAGCTGTGCCCTGGGTGTGATTCGAGAGTTCGGCAGCTGCCACATGGTGCTGAGAATGTGTGTGTGCTGAGCAAGTGATATCGAGTGCGCCAATACCCCGTAGCCTCTATAGCGCCCATCACTCCCCGATCCTATCGATAGAGGCCGATCCGCAAACTCAGAAATTCTTCTGCAGTTTGGCGTTTGGGTAGGTTTGACACGAAAAAAGGATGCGCTTCAAAAGTGTGCGGCGTGGGCGGCGCGTCCTGGTTGGCGGAGGCGCCCAAAGCCTGAAACACGCTGACTTGGGTATCCACGCGCGGGGAAGCAGGCACAAAGCATCCTTCGCGTCCCTCTGCCTCAAGCGACCCAACCTCGTCAACGGCAAGAAAAAATCCATGTCAGAAGTCTGGAGACATCACTGAAGCAGCTCCAGCACACGTCGCCCGACTCCATCGTCGCCCTGCACATGCAATGATGCAACGGCACTTCAAACGAGGTCGATGAATCGACGCCAGGGCAAGACACGGCCGTTGCGCGCATTTGGGAATGCAAGCCGTTTTGTGGCACCGATGTCGCATCCGAATGCATGTCTCTGGGTACGCGTAACTCTTCGGATCAGAAGTCTGCTTTTGCCACGGCCAGAAGGTGCGCGAGTCTGAGTGCCATCCGCTCTCTCTAGCCGGCTGGCACGTAAGCGATTCGCTCATTCCATCCCTTCAAGTATACAGATCAGCGTCAACAAACGCTCAGCTGACAAGCAGGTCCAACTCCGCCACAAATGCAAACTTGGCCAATATCTGATAGACTATTCGATGCTGTGATAAAAACATCACTCTATAGGGCGCGCAATCGATAAAGTGATTGGCGTGGCCAGCCAGCCCGTCAGCACGCGGGAGTCAGAGGCTCAGCGAGTCGCCCCCTCAGCGCGCGTTTCTTGGTCGTCACGTCTTCCAAGAACGGACCAGCCATGATGCAGAGTGCCAGCCATGTTTCGCCGGCTAATGCAGGCACAGGCACAGGCTCAAAGGGCCTGCATAAGACTGAGGGCCGAAGAAGAAATGGCTTGACCATACAGATGCAGCTCTGGCTTCGCTTTATACGATTTGTGCCAATCACAGCGTTCCAACCTTTGGTTTTACGCCTCAGCTTGTCCCTTTCTGCTGCGGCGCCTCCGACACGTGCCTGCTGTATCCTGTCAGAGACCAGAATTCGCATACGTTTACGTGGTAGGTTCAGTCGCGTCTCGTCCTGTTTCTCTCCAAGGGAGAGCGGCGCGTGGCCGGCAGCGGAAGGCACGCGGGAAATGTACGGTCAGGTATGAACATTGACACGCTCAAGAATCTCGAATGCCAAAGACAAAAGGCTGGGACACAGCTTCTCGACGTCATGGAGGTTGCTTTGCCGGTGATCCAATTTCCCGTGCATACGGCACTCGAGTTTTGTGACAGCAGAGAACGGCAGTGTGGCAGCACAGCCCAGTTCCTGCTGCTCTAAGGCGGGGGCAATTTAGGTGGGTGATAGTCTCTGAGACGGCCTGCCATCGGCTGGGACTTGGATTTAGCTGGTGAGACCTTGGTCTCCACATCTGTCGACATGGGTGCGACGACGGTTCCACCGGGGCCGTCAGGTCCGCCCCCTTCAAGGTGACTACGGATGGATCCCCTGGCATCCCGGTCCCTGGCTAATGCAGAAGGCTATCCCCATCTCTTCTGGACCCAGGTCACTGGTCGACATCCACTCGTCGGGTGGATGGTGCCTCGATGGATCACCTTCTATCGATTTTCTTATCCTCCGTTCCATGCCCTCACATCGTCACTCTTTCTTCTGTTCCCTCATTCATATCGAGGCTGTCATTCTTTGTCCACGATCTTCCACTCTTTAAACTCTTGTCTTTACCAGGCCCATTCCCGGATCCTGTTCATTGCTTTGTGTCACCACACACTGTATGAACATCATCCAGTCCTTCCTTTACAGCCTGTAAGACTACTGTACTCGTACCATAATCGTCGACGACAAGGCCGGCACCTCACCACCCTCTCTACGGACAGCAATCGCCTGTATAGCATCAACCATCACTCTCTTGGATGTTGATTTGCAGCACCCAACCTCTTTGTGCCAACCTTGTATCAGAATCAGTTTGAATCAGAACCTCATCATCGAATAGCAGGCCCGTGCCCGAGCCTCTATTAAAGTCTTGTGCTCTCTCGAGTATACTTCACAACACCATAGCAATGGCAACCCCACAGATCCAGTTCTACCAGTATCGGCCAGACTCAGACGCTCGCCATAATGCTGTCTTCACACCGATGCCTCAGGAACAGCAGCCTATGTACGCTCATATGGGATATCCTCAGCAAGGCTACCCAGCTCCTCAGTACTGGCAGCAGCCTCATTACGCGCAACCACAGCACTACATGCCTCAGCGGGTGATGAGCCAGACTGCGTCCCCACCGCTGACGTTGACCATGCCCATGCAGAAGGGACAAATGGAGCACCTGATGGACCAGCGGCCACCTACGCCATGTCTATCTGCTTGCCCTTCTACTGCCAGCAGCCCTCCTGCGAGCAGCGTCCAACAGACCCCCATCGGTGCCGGATACTTCCATCTTCCCATTGAGCACAGCAAGGATGAGATCCTTTCGTCTATGCCAATCATGGATGACTTCAGCGAATCTACCGGTAAGCCGATCAATCAAACTTCTGTGATGTCGTGGTACTGATAAAAGAACAGAACTGCATGTCTTCCCGCATCCTGGCGATGCCAAGCTTGCCTTCGGCAGCGGCTGCAATTCTCCGGAGCTTGCCCCAGCCTCGCCCGAATCGCAAATCTCGACCTCGTACCCCGTCGCTGAATTTGTGAATCTGCGCGACCTGACTTCGGGCGCCCTTGAGCCCTCTTCTACTCTCTCTGTACAACAATTCCCTCCACTACCTACCCTTTCCACCGAGGACGAAGAACACAAGTTTGCTTTCGCTGCCACCACCACCCTGCCCGTCACCCCAGCGCACGAGCCATCCGACCCCTTCAACGCATCCATCTCGCAAGAACCTTCTTTCGAGTCGTCCTTCTGCAGCGAGCTCGACTCCGAGGATGAGTTTGGCTTTGTAAACTTCACTGAAGAGGTTGCCTACAACGCCGAGAAGCGTCAGAAACTCAACCCGGTTGACGAGGAGGACTTTCTGAGTGTCCACAGCTTTGGCTCTTTCGACGAAGAGGAAGCTGCTCGCGCTGGCTTGCCATCGCCACCCTGCTCTTCCTTCTCTGATGACTGTGGCCATAACCACGCCATGGAAGCCGCTGACTTCGACTTCGATGGACTTGCTGACGGCCAGTCTCATACTGACGGCCAGCATGCTCACTCCACCGCCTCTCCATCACAGGCCAGCTCCCATGATGGCCACGAGGGCCACTCTGCTGCCAATACGCCGGCTCCAAGTGGGGGACAGTCGACTAACCGTCGTGGTCGCAAGCAGTCGTTGACGGAGGATCCCTCCAAGACCTTCGTCTGCACCCTCTGCTCGCGCCGCTTCCGTCGTCAAGAACACCTCAAGCGTCACTACCGCTCGCTGCACACTCACGACAAGCCTTTTGAATGCAACGAGTGTGGCAAGAAGTTCTCTCGCTCTGACAACCTCGCCCAACACTCCCGTACCCATGGCTCTGGTGCTATCGTCATGGGCGTGATGGAGAACGGCGAGCTGCAGACATCTCAGTACGATGACGAGATGGGCCACGTGCTCTACGAGGCCGCCCAGCGCGCTGCTCTTGCCACCTCGTCATCCTCCAGTGGCTCCGAGTCTGGCTCTTCGAGTGACAGCAAGCGCGGCAACAAGAAGCGCAAGCGGGATGACTCTGCTTGAGCCATACCTGTAGACCTTCACATTACCCATGACGACACGAATCACGCAATAAAGATTGATCCACGACCAAAAGTTGTCCGACAGGCATAACCCAAATAGCGATTCCAGCACAAGCAGGGTATCCGCGGTGGTACAGAGATCAAGACTTACTATCTTTTAACTTCAACCATTCGAACTTGTGTATTCTTGTCCTCGGATCCGGACACAAATTGTGATCTTCTACGAGAGACGGCTGCGGGAAGGAAATTGAAGTGGTGCGCTTGAAGAAGAAGGGCGAGGAACAGCACACCTCGCGAATTGTATCACCAGATTGATGTCAGGCATGACTGAAGAACTATTCGATTCTGAACAGATTGCACAACCGTTTCTTGCATGCTGCAAAGCTTCTCATCCAACTGTCCATTGGTCTAGACGACCACTCGACTACACACTCGACCTCACGCCCTTTTTCCCTTGTGTTTCTGGACACTCAGATGGACTCTACTGTACCACTAGAGATAAACTTAGTTGCTATTACCATTCGACGCAAAATCTGACCATCCTTGATTGTTGTCTTCTTGCCGCCTTCTATCGATAATGCTGCGGGTGCTCCCTAGTGTAGTGTGGAGGAGGCGCCCTTGTCGATATCGTCTGGGGAGCAGGCGAGCCGCTGCTCCAGCGCCTACGCCTATACACCGCCCTGATGCGATCGGCGTGATGCGATCGGCCTGCATACTACGGAAATTGTGTGGTCAGAACGAGAGATCCAATGGCCGTTCAAAGCGCCGCCGCCGTCTGTTTGTCTTCGGGAGGACCCGAATGCGAGGGCGCGTGCAGAGGCGGCAAGGAGATGTGATCGGTTTTCAGAGGCATGCAGGGATTGTCCCATCGTCGCCAAGTGCCGCGGGGCTCCTGACGGTCGAGACCCCAACAAGACCTTACAACCCTTCATCGGCAGAACACGTCCGGCGTGCCTTAACCCCTGGTGCAAAGTGTTGATACCCGTACTTGTACAGTGCAGCTCCCCAGCAAGCCGCCACTCAGGTACTGGTCGCCTTCAACTGAGCCCCAGATGCGAGAAAGTTTTCTTCCCTTTGCCACTTTCATTCAGAGAATGTGCGATTGCCGCATCCAGATTTGCCAGTCCCTGCACCAACTCGTTCGCTTCTAGGTCATCCAGCTGTACTAACGCAAGTCGCATGACTCGACTGGTTATGTTCGCTCGTCCCCTCATGGGACAACTCCCTACCCCGGTCGGCTACCAAGCCGTTCGGCAGTGGGACAATACCCAACATCTGGCAACCCTGAACTTTAGCAGCCCACTAATGACTTGCTGATATGCATTTTCTGCATATCGCCGAGCTCATCGTGGAGTTTTGAGCTGTCTGATGGGTCATCTGCCACGAAGAGCATACAAACAGCAGGGAGAAACCTGAAGATCGGGCCCCGGTGAGCCTGAAATGGTAGTCATGTTAAGAATCAAGTTTTCTACTCTGATGGTGGCTCTCTCACGGAGAGCCCCACGTGTTGCAATAGTGCAACTATATCTCCTCGATTACCCCGGACAGTGAATCTTTGCCCAGATCGTCTGCCTTCTCTGTGATTAGTCGGCCAGAGCGATTCTGTTCTTTGCCTTCCAGCCTCCTAGGGGACTCGCATGTCTACTCCCTAGTATAACTACTACTACATCCAATATGGGTTCCGACGCCCCTTCCGCCGCCCGAGCGTCTTACCAGCCTGCCACCTCCTTCCCTGTGGGCGACTTTTTGCCCAATGGCACCCATACCGACCCTCCTCCGGATCCCGCCACCAGTGGCTTCAAGCTCAATCACTTCATGCTCCGGATACGTGGTATGTCTATGTACCCCCCTTGCTCCATTTCATCCTCAGCCGCTGTGATGGTCAATCCGTCTCTTGAACCACCGGCCCGAGCGCCAACGCACTCACTCAACGTCGTTACGCCCAGCTACCATACCCATTGGACTAACCACACGGCCCGGCGCCCACAATACAGACCCCTCGCGCTCCCTACCCTTCTACATCGATCTCCTCGGCATGCGCACCGTCTTTACCATGAACACCGGCCCCTTCACAATTTACTATCTAGGCTACCCCCAAACCGAGAACCACGCCACCGACCTGGCCACCTTCGGCCAAGACACCTGCGCCCAGCTGCAGCACACACTCGGCCTGCTCGAGCTCTACCACGTGCACGGCAGCGAAACCCAACCCGAAAACTACTACGAGACCGGCAACCGCCCGCCCGCGCTGGGGTTCGGCCACCTGGGCTTCACTGTGCCGGACGTGCCGGCTGCTCTGCGCCGGTTGCGCGCTGCTGGCGTGCCTGTAGTCAAGGAACTCGGTAAGGGGACCACGACGCGGCGCGCGATCCCGCTCAGCGAGGAAGAGGAGAAGTCGGGCGTGGGATTGGGTGAGCTGCATGAGGGTTATGCGGCCGTCTTTGATAATATCGCTTTTGTGAGCGATCCTGAGTACGTGCTGGCCCCCGTTCGCCCCTGTCTAAGCCCTTTTTCGGGCGTGAGAGTGATGTCGAGGTACCTGCCGTACCGGGATTAATACCTGGTTTGCTAACAAAAACATCACAGTGGCTATCTGGTGGAGCTGGTGCCGCAGAAGATGGATCCGCTTGCGCCAGGCGCGCCAGAATGAGCCGCCTCTGTTATGGGCTGACGGGGCAGCTTTGCATGCCGGCCTGCGGTTGCCGGAACCACGGGGGAGGGATTGGTGGTGTGAGTGGAATTACGTTGGATCCAGGCGTTGCCAGAACTGGCTGGCAAAGTCAGAAAATCTATGTCGTATCCTCATACCTGTAAGCCGCGCACAAGCAGCCATAAGCCAACAGGCACCACGACGTTGTCGTTGGCGGCCGTCAGCACGCTTTCTAGAAGGCTCGCGCCACTGGCTGCAATAGCACACTTGACAAATGCAGTGCCTGCAGCAACCATATCGCCATCCCAAGGTAGCCAGCCTCCGACTCTGAGCCAGATCCAGGCCAAGAAAAGTCCAATCGTGACCGCGGCAGCGAATGCAACGCTTCCCTCAAGGCTTTTCCCCCCTCCCCAATACCATTTGGTCCGCCCGAAGCGCCTACCTATCAGACTTGCAGCGGCATCTCCCATACCGACGCAGACCACTCCTGAAATCATGCTCAATTCTCGTCTTTGCACGTCCCAGCCTCGCCAAGGATCGTCTCCGGACCGGGGAATATCAGCCAAGCTGAGCCACAACGGAATTGCACAGCCTATGAGCAAAAAGATGTGGCTGACTATGACGGGGCCACGATGGTCGCGGCCGTCAACGTAGGGCGCCAGAAAGTTGGTGAGCGGTCGCGAGACAGGTGGTAGCTGCGCGGCGCGGAACAGATCAAGCAGGAGAAAGAGGGCGAGGATCAATCCCAAAGCCAGTGCGAGGTAGCAAGGGTCGACAAAAATGGTTGGGAGAAGCATGACCACCATGACGCCGTGGAAGACCTTGCGGCGGGTGTCGACTTCAACGTAAGCAGTAAGTTGCAGCACTGCAATGATACCAAGTGAGATGACCAGGATGCAATAGGCGCCGAGGCAGAGTCTCACGTTTGCGGGGAAGGAAACGAGCGTGATGAGACGCTCGATCGTGTTGGGCAATATGGTGGTGTAGGCGTCTGGCATAGGTGGCAAGCGGATCCACCATGCGAGGTTGAGGTCGTGGACCAAGCCACGAAAGAATGGGAGGCTGCCGAAGAGATAGCCACCAGCCCATCCAAATGCTTCATTGCCATGTAGTGCACGAACACCAACATAGTATCGAACTGGTCCCATGATAATTACCAAGACGATGAGGTATACAACTGCCGCATAGAGATACTTGCGTATCCGCGCCTGTTGCCATGTCAGGGACAGGAATGGCGAGGATGGGATCTGCCTGTGCCGCGCTGATCGTTTCTCGACCGCGTCTTTCGTGGTTGAATCAAGGTCGGATATAGTGTTTCGTCGACGAGGCGCTAGGACGCTGCCGTTGATGGCTACTTTGATCGATTGGCGTGCTTTGACGGACACACAGGGGTCAGCGAGAGTCCGGACACGCTTCAAGGACTTTGGCTGCGGCTTTGCTCGATTGTCAATGTCATCGTCGGAGCTCTCCGACGTTGGCACGGGCTCGGACATGAATGCAGAAAATGCTCTTTGAAGTCGGTGGGACAAGGCGCTTTTGTGTGGGACCTTTGCGAACCTCCAACGAGGGATGCGTGCGAGCTCGACCTCCCATTGCATAAGGTGGCGGCAAGTGACAAAGATACTGAGTCCGCCTAGCCACAGAACAGACTTCAATACCTGAGCCTGAGGCGACTGGGCGAAGACAAGGAGGTGAATGAGGCCAGTAGCCAATAACTCGAGCTCCGCAGGGTCAAGGCTGGTCGTCGTCAAGTACTCCAGCGAAGAGCGGAGGAATCGATGGAGCGGGAATATGAGTGTCAGATCTTCTGCTTCTAGAAAATCGTCGAGCTTGAGCGAGATGGGGCCGCTATTCATTCCAAAGAGGGACTCCTGCAGCAGGTTGGACCAGGGCACTAGGGTCGAGCACCACCGCAAATACCAAACCAGCTCAGGTTCAGGATATATCCATGTTACCACTTCTGGAAGCGAGGCCAGCCCACAGGCGAGACTCAACGGTAAATACGCCGGGTTCTGACCGTACAACGATATTGCGATGGTAGTGGGGAGGATGACTGGATATAGAAGCGGGCCAGGGTCGAACCTGGAGGGAATGTAGAAGCCCGCCCGTAGAGCTCTTGTGAATGGCCTGCCGAGGTGGTATTGGCGCTGCGTCTGGCGCAGAGGGTACAGAGTATAGAACGCAACTGGAACCAGTGCCGCGAGACAGATCTCGCCTGTCCATGGTCGTAGCTGTCCGATGCCGCCAGCGGACTCCCAAATTATCAAGATCATGGCTAGCAGCAGTAATGTCTCCGTTGATCGTCGAACGAGTTCGGCCTTCTTCCGCTGGCGATATGATTCTTGCTTCCGACGCCTTTCCAACTCGTCACGTACATCCTGCTCACTTTTGGTGTCAAAGAAGGATAGCTCCTTGGTGGCCGGCGGGGTAGGCAACGGGCTCAGCGCCGGGCTTAGTCCACGCGGTGTAGAGCCCCTCAGGCCCTTGTGGGAACGTAGAGGTGGAGCCGGCAGCCCTCTGAGAAGAAGGCCTTTCTCATCATCGGCCTCTGTACCACTTTCGGTAGATTCGGATCGACTAGACGGGTTGGAAGAGGTGGGAGAGGCTTTCTGAGCATCGTCCTGTTTCAAGGTCTCGGAGCGACGCAGATATGGGTGCGGTGATCGCTCGAGCGCAAATCTCGACCGAGTCTCTTCTGAGTTGGGGCCATCGCTGCGGTGACGGCGTTCGTCGGGTGGGCTCAGATGTTTCATAGGGGCAGCGACATGCGGCGGTGGGAGGCTGCAGCGGCGTCCTAGTAGAGGTTCATGGTGGGTGTTGGCAAATGGATGTCAAAAGAAGCATGCTGTGAGAATGGAAGCAGCACTCAATCATGTCATGTTACTGCCCAGCGGCAGAAAGTGTTGGGGACGTAAGAGCAGGACGCGGCATACCGCATACTGCATACGGTACGCAATTATTCACATGCAAGGCACACGCTGGCCACTCCGAATTGCCCGAGCTCCGACATATCCCAAACTACCTCCTTCTTCCAGCTTTGCCTAGCATGTCAATTGTATGCTATCCTGCGCTCTTTCCTTGAAGAGCGGGAACAGAAAAGCGTTTATCGAGGTAAGGGCGATGTGCTGCTGGTCGTTGGCGGCAGCAGCAGCAGCAGCAGTAGGAGGTTCGCTCCTCGCGTTCCATGGACAGCGGGTATCCGATTTTCACACTCACACGGCGCATCCATCAACAGCTTCATTCCATCATCAGCATTGCATACTTTGAATCTCTTATTCATCATGTCGGGGTCCCTCAACGTAATTGCTCTCATTTCAGGCGGCAAAGACTCTTTCTACTCCATCCTCCACTGCCTTCATCATGGCCACCGACTTGTGGCTCTTGCTAATCTGCATCCCCCACTCAATTATGCCGAACAGGATATGGAAAGCATGATGTACCAGACCATCGGTCACAATGTCATTGGCCAATACGAGGCTGCTATAGGCCGACCGTTATACAGGCAAGCAATTACCGGCACTGCCAGTTGCACAGATCAAGACTACTCGCCCTGCAGCAACGACGAGACGGAGGATCTGAGGGCGCTACTACAGCGCGTTTTGGCAGCGCACCCTGAAGCCAACGCTGTCTCTTCTGGTGCCATTCTCTCTACATATCAGCGTACTCGAGTCGAATCCGTCGCAGTCAGACTGGGTCTCACTCCACTCTCTTATTTATGGCAGTATCCTTTCCTTCCTCCTCCGCTTGAAAGGATCGATTCAGTCAGCGGACTTCTGGACGATATGGCTGCAGCTGGTTGCCATGCCAGGCTGATAAAGGTATCCTCGGGTGGCATTGACGCTTCTTTGATCGGTCAAGATCTTGCTGAATCCCGCACCGTTGCTAGGATCATTAATGGCGCTAGGCGCTTTGTAGCTCGCAATCAGCACGAATTGCGAGCTGCTATCATTGGTGAGGGAGGTGAGTACGAAAGTATCGCTGTCGATGGCCCATTCCCACTCTGGAAATGTTATCTATCCGTGCAGGCAAACGACTTCCAGGCAATCAATGGCCAGGGAGGAGCGGTTCACGGTAGCATACCAATCCCCACCCTTTCGGAGAAAGATGCCCAGCTGCCAACGCAACTGCGAGTCCCCGTCCTACTGGACAGCCAGTTTCTCGCTGTCAAGAGCAGCATGGCGGTTCAACAAGCGGGAGCTTCGGCCCTGTATCCGATCATAGCCAACACTCGACCGGGTCATCTGCCCACGGAGGCTGCGATGATCAGCATACCTATGGACATGACCGGCACTGAACATCATGTCGCAATCGGTAACATAACCGGTGGCCAGCTCCTCATCGTCGGAGAACCCGATGACCCGACACAAAAGACTATTGAGGTGTTCGGAGATCTCGAGGACCAGATGCTTTGGCTTGCAGAACATGTCAAACAATCCTTCCGCGTTTTGTCTGCTCTCTATCAGAAGCAGCCTGGCCAAGAATTTGACGCGTCGGATGTTGTGTCCTCGACATTACTATTGGCTTCAATGGCCGACTTCGCCATAGTCAACAAGCACTATCAGGCCATCTTCAACAAGACCAATCCACCAGCTCGTGTGACCATCGCAACAAATCTACCTCCCAGTGTCAAGGTGAGTCTCAGCATCCTCATCGACTTGCGACCACGTCAAACTCGTCGCGGTTTGCACGTGCAGAGCCGAAGCTATTGGGCGCCCGCCAACATTGGTCCCTACAGCCAGGCGATTGCGGCACCACTCTGTACCCCTCAACCGCATCGGCCGAACATTGATTTCGACGACGAGCCGGAGCTGGTACATATGGCTGGCCAGATACCGTTGATTCCCAACTCAATGGAAATGCTATCTGGTTCCTTCATCGAGCAAGCGGTCCTGAGCTTGCAGCATCTTTGGCGAGTTGGCCAAGAGCGCAAGGTTGACCTCTGGACTTGGGGGGTGGCTTTTGTGTCCGCGCATCCAGATACACCCAATCGAGCATTGACCGCGATCGATGTCTGGCAGAAGGCTCATTTAGTGCCGACGCGACCGCTCAGCGACGAGGACGAGCAGGACCTAGACCCTTGGGATAGACAGAACAATCTCCAGGCAGCATCACAGCACAGTGCTGTGATGGCTGGCGAAGGGGATCACATACATGTTCTACCTAATCTCACTTGTTTCAAGAAGGACGAAGCCGGACAACTGGCACCGCCCTGCGTTGTTGCTGAGGTGGCCGAGCTGCCGCGCAGCGCACCCATCGAATGGTGGAGTACTGGACTGGGAAATCTGCCCAGGTCCTCACCTCGGATTGCAGCTGGTAGTGTATGCTGCCCGGAAATCGCTACAAACATTATGGAAGTGCGATCTCTCAAGTGGATGGGCAAAGGTGATGGTACAGGTACCATCGACAACGATGGAGCAAACTTCTTCACGCTAGCGGTATTCTCTACGTCCGAGATGATTCCACAGCGACTCCACGAGTGGATGAACAGGATTCTTGAGCCAGAATATGCAGATGGCAATCCCAAGCGACGAGTTGTGCAAGGCCATTGTCTCGTGGCGGCAGGCGCAGATGGCTCCAACGTCTACAAGGAGATTGAAAGTCAGGACTGGATGAAAGGAGTCGCTGTTGTTCCTTGCCGTCGCCTCTTCGTTGATGACGTCGAGGGTCGCAAGAATAGCGAGGCAGAGGGTGCTCACGAGGCAGTGTTGGTGTTTCTGTTGAGAACAGAGCATGTGGAGCCAAAGGCACTGGAGAAGTTGCACGGGAGGCGAACTTGGTGGGACAAGAAAGCGCACTCCCAGAGGGTGCATAAGGCGATGCTACGCGAGACCAAGGCTGCGGTGGCCGAAAGACGATCCGGAGACATTCTGCTGGAAGAGTGAGTTGGCCTCGTGAACACAGCATTACTTATCATAAGGGCGTGATAAGGAGCCAGTGCAGACCTCCCAGGGAGCGCCGTTGACTTCGCACAAGCATGGCTTGTACCATTCTCAGCTGTCAGCCGACTTCAAGCCTCTATAGTATGCATGAAGACATGTACGTGATATGGTGAGAACACAATGTGGTGAAGTTGAGACAGCCTCGTCGTTCTTACGTGCGTATGACAAATTCTACACTTCTGCGCAGCGACGGATTGGGCAATAATTACGGATTGAGTCATGCCCGCCCGTACGCATCTAATAGGGATACAATACCGTAAAGTAGCGTCGTCCGAACCTATCCCGAGGGCTGCATCGACTACCCAGGAGCTGGTAATAGTACCTGACAAGGCTGAAGCGCTGACGCGAGTGTACCTAATTGGCCCGTCGTAACCATCCATTCCCCATCCTAGATCCCCACCACTGACCCAGCTTTTGCAGTCCTTCATGCTCCCACGAGACATGCTAGTCCAAGCCTACTGTGTCTAGACGCTTGGTTTCGGCCGACGCTTGTTGTCAGGGGCAAGTGCGTTGTCCGGAGTCTATCCCTGATGTGAGGCACGCGTGGAGCTACGCTTGCAAAGCAAGAGCGTTTGGCAAGATCAAGAAGGAGGCCGCGACCTGAAGCACGCACGGGGACACGGCCGAGAGTGTCTTGCTTATCATAGCATGTTGCGATTTGTTTGTTGGAGTGTCCGTGATGGTGAGGCGCAGAGTATAAAATGGACCGTAAGGCCGTGGGTAGCATCAGTTATATTCTTGCAACCCTCCAAAGCAGTCCAAAGGAAGCCACTCATTGCAGTTCCGTAGCCTCAAGTCAAAACGATCTTTTAAGGCAAGCCTGATATCCGACACTCATAATGGCCCCACTCCGCAACATCACCATCGTTGGCGCCTCCGGCAACGTTGGCCTGCCCATCACTCTCGCCCTCGCGGCATCGCCCGCGAAGTTCGCATTGACGGCCCTCACCCGTCTAACTTCCAGCCCTTCACCACGTCTGCCTCCATCGGTTCGTATCCTACGGGCCGACTATAATGATAAGGCGGCGCTCGTGGAGGCTTTCCGCGGCCAGGACGCCGTTGTCTGCACCATAGGCTCCACTAGCAATACCCTGCAAGATACGTTGATCGATGCAGCAGCCGAGGCGGGCGTGCGCCGTTTCATTCCGAGCCATTTTGCTTTCGACCACCTGGCAGAAAAGGATGGGTTGCCGCTGAGTGAGATAATACCTGTCGGATCGCTGAAGGAGGCACCGGTCAAGAAGATCGAGGACCTGAGAGCAGCGGGGAGTAAAATGGAGTGGACCGCAGTCGTTACGGGGCCGTGGGTCGACTTTGTGAGGGAGATCCGAGCATCTGTATTTGCTTCCTTACTGACACGTTCCAGTTCGTGAGTACCCCAGACTTCCCCTTCTGGGATGTGCAGAGTCAAACCTTTGTGAAGTTTGACGACGGCACGTCTGCATTTGACTGCTCGAGCTTGGCGCAAGTTGGAAGGGCGGTCGTTGCAGTGTTATCCGCGGAGAACTTCGAGAAAACGAAAGACCAGTACGTGTACATACGCAGCGGACGGTTAACGCAGAACCGGGTGCTGGAGATCCTGGAGAAGGAGAGCGGGCAGAAGTGGAACGTGGTGCCTAATCAGGCGTCGGAATTGCGAGCGCACGGTGCCGCGTTGTGGGACAAGTTGATGAAAGAGGAGGGAAAGACGCCGGACCAGCTTACGGACAGTCCAGAGTATGGGATGGCGATCGGAATGCTGGTAGGGTCCATCATCCTCGGCGGGTGGGTGGTATTTGAGGAGAAGGCGAAGCGGTGGATGCAGGAGCTGGGCCTGAAGGAGGAGGACCCCGAGATAGTCGTCTCGAAGGCTATCAGAGAGGCGATGGCAGCGTAGCTACGTAGTCTCAATCGGCAGCAGTGGCAAACGTCACTCGAATGAAGAGACTGCATCCTCGACAGCCTACCAGGACTTCGTTTACGATGTCCCCGCTTGATTTTTGGTCCGAGTCGGCGGCCTCCAGATCTTGATCGGTTACAATATACCCTTCTCCACTGTCGCAGCGGCATGAGTGGGACCATACCCCGTGGCCATCTTCTTCGGTATATGAGAGGTCGTCGAGATCGAAGGATTGGATTCCGCGGTGAGGCAGGGTTTGCGTCGTCGAGGTCTTCAAGGCTGCATCATAGGACTTACGCTGCAGGGGATCCGACAGCACCGTATATGCGCTGACGATCTGATCGATAGTAGGCTTATTGTGGCTCTCATGATCAGTGCTTCTTGACTCACGAGCATGGACTTGTCGAGCCTTGTCCGGGTGATGCACCAGCAATGCGCGATGATATGCCTGCTTCACATATTCAGGCTGGAGACTGCCGTCAGGACATAGATCAAGCACTTCGTAGTAAGTCTGCCGCTCTGGCATCGGGCATCAGACTCGTATGGAACACAGACTTAAGCAGCGTTGCGTGTTATGAGGAGGAAAAGGAACGCAGAGGGGCCGAAAAGAACCTAGCGGCAGGTGCCGGGGCGGAAGCCTTCTCCGGTCGATCATTCTGGCTGCGCCCCAAGCTCTGCCGCGAGATGCACAGTGATCCTGCACCCCTGTTATTTATATGCGTTTAATCGCCATCACAAATGATTAACAACAAGTCCACATCTCTCGCTTACCAGTATGTGCCCGACGATCATACATGGTGTCTCACCGCTTGTCGCAAGAAGTCTGCTGGGGGCCACCTACTTTTGACTGCCGTGGATTGGCACATACGTAACTCGACGTCATTCGCCTGCCGTGAATTGCGGAGAATGAACCGCTCTGATGTTACAAACCTGATCGCACGCTGGAATCCACGCGTTCTATGATCGCTTCACCAGTCTTTGCACCCTTGACCTTCCGTGCTTGTGCCATGCTTGAGTCTGCTGTCATTCCTTAAGGGCTGTGGATCGGCCCTTGCTTCAAGCTGCTTAACCTTTCCCTTGACTCACCTCTAACCCCTACAGAAGCTATACAACATGGCCGACTATGGCAGTGTCGAAGAGGAAGAGCATCGCAAACAATACGGCCAACCTTACACGGCGAAGCATCCTGTTCCAACTGTACAGAAATACCGACATGAGGTACAAGAGCGGCGCAATGCACCTGACCAACAACAAGAAGATGAAGGTGAAGTTGACGACAAACTCAGGCGAGCATACGGTTCAGCGAAAGCCATCTTGACGGGACAAGATGCGCCTGGAGGAGACAAAGATCCATACCCAAGTGCCAATCGCAACATGCCCAATGTGCCCCAGAACGAGCAGGACGGGGGAAGACACTTCGAGCAAAATGGAACTGCTTCTGACTCGAGAGAAGATACGGACAGGAAACAGGCAGGAGGCGGACGTGCGAACGATCATAGGTCGGATAACCACCAGGCGCCGGGTACCCAAGCGGGTGGCGATTCAAAAAAAGAGAAGAAGTCCAAACCCCAGAACAATCAATCTGCAACGGAGAATGCAGCGAAGGAGAGCGACCCACGGAAGAAGCAACAGGCCATGAAAAAGCAGAAGCGAGATGGCGGCGGCAGAGAAGTGACAGATCCTGTCACACATCTTCCAATCACCATCTATGACTCCACGGAGAAAGACCTCAAGAGGACACGAGAAAACTATCCTACCACTGGAGCGGTCGCTCGCACATTCACTGGCTTGAGTGGAGCAACGAAGGATCGGGAACAGCTGGACGATGAGCAGGATGAGCTGCAACGAGTGCATGACGGCACGCAGCAGCTTTTCCCCCCTCCCTCTTACCAAGATGCAAAGGCGGAACTGGCGAGGATCCACCAACAGGGCTTCACTGCCGGCATCGGTATGGTCGGCGTTAGTGCCGTCCTTGCCGCTGCGGCAGCTCAATTGTTCGCCCATTCCGAGTCGTCCTGGCGCTCCCCAGCCCTTGTGACAGCACTCCTGGCTGCAGTCGGCTGTGCCGCCTCGGTGGTATTCGTGCGGAGATGGATGTCTAAAAAGGTCCAGGATCTATGGGAGGATGAAGTTTGGGATGCATCGAGGCAGCGAGAGGTTGAATCTCATGAATCTGAGAAGGTCGTTCCAGAGTCTGTTGCGTGGATGAACAGCATGCTCAGCTCCGTTTGGCCTTTGATCAACCCTGATCTTTTTACTTCGCTTGCAGACATGCTGGAAGATGTCATGCAGGCTTCCATTCCAAGCATCATACGCATGGTGAGCATTGACGACCTCGGCCAAGGGAGTGAGGCTATCCGAATCTTGGGCATTCGTTGGCTACCGACTGGTGCTGCAAGTCAATCTGTGGATGAAGATGGAAACCTCAAGTCTCCTGACGATCCGGGTGAGAACGATCGAAAGGTTCCCGGTGAAGGAGAGCAAGAACAAGATGGCGACAAGGACAACGAAGGGGAGCAGGGTGGCGAAGACCTGCAAGAGGGCTTGGAAGCCGAACAGGGCGATTTCGTGAACATGGAGCTGGCATTCGCTTACCGTGCGAGGTCCTCGGGCAAGTCTTTGAAGGCAAGAGCCAAAAATGCGCACCTCTACCTCAAGTTCTACCTTCCTGGCGGTATCGCAGTGCCTGTCTGGGTGGAAACCAAAGGTGCCGTTGGAAAGATGCGCTTGCGCCTTCAGCTCACCCCCGACCCACCGTTCTTCAGCCTGTGTACCCTGACCTTTATGGGCCAACCCAAGGTGGACGTCAGCTGTATTCCAATTTCCAAGCACGCGCTGAACATCATGGATGTGCCCTTGATCTCATCATTTGTGCAAAGCTCAATTGACGCAGCGCTGGCCGAATACGTTGCTCCCAAGAGCCTCACACTGGATCTCAAGGACATGCTCGTCGGAGATGACTTCAAGAAAGACACAGTCAGCAAGGGCGTGGTCATCATCTTGATCAAAAGAGCTCGTGGCTACAAAGAAGGCGATACTGGCATCGGACCAATGGAAGGCTCAAGCGACACCTACGCCACAGTTTCGTGGGGCAAGTTCGGCAAGCCCGCAGCTTCAACCCGTGTCATTGTGGACGATCAGGAGCCCGATTGGCATGAATGGAGCAACATCCTCGTTTCTCCGGAAGAGCTCAACGCAGAAGAGAAACTACGGGTCCAGATCTGGGATTCCGATAAATTCACAGCCGATGATGATTTGGGACGCGTGGAAGTTGATCTTCAGGAGCTGATGCACAGCAAAGACTCCCGCAACCGGATGTGTGATCGTGAAGATAGATTTGTGGGTGAAGATCCCGATGAAAAGATGCCTGGTACCTTGACCTGGAGCGTGGGTTACTTTGCAAAGACCACAATAACCGAGGATCAACTCGCTCGACAGGAGGTCAAACCCGATATCAAGAAGGTCGAAGATCTCCAGAAGGAAGCGGCCGAGTCGGCCGAGCGGAAGTTGAGAGAAGCAAGATCGCACCAGCAAGAACTCGACCAGCAAAAATCACAGGACTTTAAGGAGCTACAGGATCAGCTCCTCATTGCTTCGCCCCCTCCTGAAGGCTACCCGAGCGGCATTTTCAGTATTCAGATCCACAACATTACAGGCTTAGAAGTCCAGCAGCTACAGAAGCGCGAGAAGGACGACGACGGCGAGCAAGAAGACCAGGCCGATCAAGCCGATGACCTCCCAAGCAGTTATGCCACCATCATCATCAACCATCAGAAAGTCTATCGGACGAGAACAAAGCCAAAGAATGCAAAGCCATTCTTCAATGCGGGGACGGAAAGATTCATTCGCGACTGGAGGAACACGGAGGTCATGGTGAGTGTCCGTGACGATCGCGAGCGCGAGAACGATGCTCTTCTGGGTATGGTGTATCTGCCCTTACGCAAGGTGTTTCAGAATAAAAGCCAGGTCATGACGTCTTATCCAGTAGCCGGCGGTATGGGTTACGGCCGCGTCAGAATCAGTATGGTGTGGAGAAGCGTCGAACTACAGTGGCCGAAAGAGCTCCTCGGTTGGAACTATGGTACTCTAGAGGTCAAGAGTCCGATCCACGGCTCAGGCCAGCTGGAGAATTGGAAGCTCAAGCTGCGGACAAACATATCCTATGGCAAATTCCATCATCACGGTGAGCAATGGGACGTGAAACATGGCAAACCAAACCTGTTCTTGGCCGTCAAGAAGCGCTATTCCAGTCCCTTGATCATCGAATGTGGTAAAGGCATGATGGGGACAGATCCACCTGCATTTGCTGTGCTGTGGCTCAAGGACATCCCGGATGAAGAGGAGACCACAGTGAAGATGAAGGTGTATAAGACAAGCAAAGGCGCGATGAAGAAGGCCACCACCTCGTGCCACTATGAAGGCGAAGAGCTGGGAGAGCTTCAAGTCACGTTGAAGTTTTGGCGAGGCTTGAGCGGCTATCACAAGAAGTACGCGAGCAAGGGGAATAACACAGACATGCGAAACGTGATGGAAGTCCTGGACACTGCAGCCGACGACAGAGATGACGGGGAAGGCGAGGACTCAAGTTATGTCGATTCCAGTGACGACGACGATGAGACAAGAGAGAAGCTTAAGCCCCATACAAATCAAGACTCATCCGACGATGAGGACCAGAGTAAAGTCGACAAACTGAATCCAATCAATAAGGTCAGCAAGATGATTGGATCGAACAACGAGGATGACGGGTCTCGAGGCGTTTTCGCGTCGATCCGTGACTACAAGGATCATCATCGGCAACTGCACAGAAAGCATCGTGGCATAATGCAATGGAAGGGAGCCCGAACCCTTGACTGGGCTGTGACCAAGTAAGTGCTCCCTCCTCTGCAACCCGTGTCCTGAAAGCTGACCTACCACCTAACAGGGTCAAGAATGGAGGTGGCCATGCTGGAGGGGTCTTCCATCACAGCGAGAAGAACAATGACATAGAGACCGAGGTCTGAACAACGCGACAGTTAATGTGAATGAGGCGGGTGCCACAGCATCGGCGTTCGGAGACCAGGCTATGTACGTGCGTGTGTGGGCAACTTTTGTCCGAAGTCCGTCCTTACGGGTGCTGCGCTTGCAACTATGGCTTTTAGCAGATTTGCTAACCAATGTGAGTAGTCTGGTCTCTCTCTTGAGACAACTGCCTGTCTCCGGATACTGCCCCGCGCACCTCGACACAGAATATTCTGGGAGTACCTGTCGGAGCAGGTTACCAACTCCGACAATGCGGCTCTAGCATGAGAACTTCGCTGAAGCTCCGGCGGCTACCAAGCTGGAGGTATTAGCTGATACGCGCTTCCAAAGCCTTCCACCACGGGCTAGTCGTTGTCAAGTCGAGACTAGGAGCCAACCGATACAGCAACGATGGCACCATATCGACCGACCGATTCTGTGGAGGCGAAATACGCGACTGCGGCTCAGCTCTGCAATCGATCCACATATGGACAACCGTATCGGCCAGCACTCTGCGCCAGCACCACTGCGAGGCTTGAAACGACAGAGAACATTGGCCCTGCAGAAACGACAAATGCTTAGAGCGACTCTCAGGCACACATGAATGCCTTCGAATGCTCCTTTGCAGTATTGCGAGCGATGCGGATCAGCCCAGCCAACAAGGAACATCGCATTGACCTCATTTCTGGTGGCATCCATGCCACTGGCTTCCAAAACGCTGAGATAACAAGGAACGTCGACGGCTCCCTCGGCTCTGGTCGTTCCACCATGTCTAAGAACCTCATCACGGTGCAGATGCTCAAGGGTATGACTTGTTAAGCCAAAGTTGGCGGTGCCGACAATGTGTGCATCATTCGTTAACAACAACAAGCCTGCTGGTCCCTTGATTGGCGCGGCGGCCTTTACCAGAGCTCAATTGGTTGTAAGCCTGCTCTTAAATACTGTCGCAAAATGAAGAGGAGGGAGCCTGGCATTTGAGCCTTGGATGGTCGTGAGACTCAGCTCGCTGACAGTGTATCACCATATTACGGATCACGACTGCGACGCTATCACGAACATGAAATGTAGAATCCGCTGCCGAGGAGAGGGACGACTCTGATATAGACCAGTCCAGTATCGGCAGCAGTAGACATGTACATACCAGAGAGTCTCCTCTGCTTCATGTATCTTATCTGCTTTGCTCAGGTAGAAAGAATATTTCCGCTCGTAGATGCTCCCTTACCACTCATAAATATTTACATACAAGCTCGCTCTAGACAGCGGGTTTAGCTCTGCTCATCTCCGAATCTTTCCCTCGCTGGTGAGTAATTGATAATCACGAGTCCCAGATTACTCCCACCACGTTTACTCCCCTTGCCTGAAGTTCCACAACGAGCATGCTGGTGACAGGCTTGTTGCTGATAACATACACTGCTTCTGCTTCGCATTCTTTGACCAATCCCATCGTCAGTCGCACCAAGTCTGGTCGGCCATGCTCCCTGGTGTTCCAGACAACCGCATTCTTGTCGGCCGCGTAGACGTCGTCAATGATATCTTGTCCGAAGGTCTTGAGTGGGTTCGGAGTCGACCACAATACCCTTGCTGGGACAACGTGCGAGGCAAATAGGCTTAGCATTGGTCCAATGCCTGAACCAGTTGCGACAACGACAATCTGCTTGAAGATTCGAGACGTGTATGCCAATCCGTGGAGCGGCCGTCCTCGCACCCAAAGCGACTTTGGCGGGTTGTTGACAATCTCATTCGTCCAGTCGCCAGCATTGGAAACGAGGATTGAGAAGCCGCCTCGTTTATCGGGAATGGTGGCGAACGAATGCCATTCGCGAAGGGGATCAGTGCTGACCTTGACACCGTAGAAGGGCGGCATGTCATAGTACTTGAAATGTAAGCGGATGGCGTGGCCGATCGAGCCCTCGCCGAGAGTCTCTGCGAACACTTCACGGCGGCGCAACCGCCCCCAAGATACCAGTCCACAGCTTGTGCTGACAAGAAGCAGCCAGAAACTGGGGATCTTGATCAAAAGGAGGCCGAAATCCTCATGTTGGAAGCCATTCCGCTTATCCTTCTCTTGCTCCAAGAGAATGACAAGGAAGAGATGTATCCAGAAGACTATCAAGCCAGACCATCCGGCATAGCGGTGCATGGCTTCGAAGTGGTTATGAAACTGGCGACGAAAGGCTGGGAAGGCGGAGTACCGGATGATGACCAGCATCAAGACAATGAACCAGCTGCTGATGAGGTTGAGAAGCCAGAGCGTGCTCCGCCAGTTCTTGATATACTCCAGAGTGACGAGGATGCTTTGCAGGAGAAACCACATGCTCGCTGCCATGCCGCATCCAGAATGGATACCACCGTAGTGGTAGATGCGGGCTAAGCGCTTGCGAATTTGTAGAGGCCAGCTGTGAGGCACACAGCAGCAGATCTCGTACAGGAGATTGACGACATTTTCTTGTCGGCTCAGTATGCAGGCTGCGATGTTCGCCGAGGTGGCTGTGTTGTAAGAGAGTACCGAGGGGCGACCTTTCTCGACGACCATCAGCCCTATGAGTGCTGCTGTATTTACGCTCATGATAAAACAGAAGATCCGGCGGTAAGCTGTTGCCTGTAGATCTGCAGCATCGTTAGCACGCAGTGAACTGGACACGGCTGCACCCACATCGAAACTTTGAGACATGCTTATCCCAGTCTGTCACCGAATCTGCTTCCCCGAACTCGATGGGCGGCGGTCCCTTGTTCTTCAGAGGCTTGACCTTCTCGGCGACAGTTGCGAAAGGAAGTTGCTGGAAAGTCGCTTCAACAGGGCTTGTCGTGACAAGCACATTGTCGCCAACTCTGGCGATTTCGGTGGCTTCAAGGGAACTGGTTGCTTCAACAGGACTTGTCGTGACAACCGCGTTGTCGCCAGTCTTTGCACTCTTAGTTATGTCGGTGGATTCAATCATGCTGGAGCTTGTTGGTCGCCTCTAGGTTTGCTTGCAGGGCTGAGCAGTGATTGCGTTGAGAACCACTGTTATACTTGTTCGAAAGTCACAGGAATCGTGTCACAGGAAGAGGGATGGTTGAACAGACAAACCTTCGGTAATCTATTCTCCATGCCTAGGTCCCATATCCCGCATGTGCGCGACCTCAATCGATACATCACAAAACGCTCCATCTGTGACCGGGTCTCAGATCCTGCCATCATGGCTGCCGGATATAGAACCTTGGGCGAGAATAGAGCGTCCCGTAGGTCCAGGTTGCATCTGGACTCATGCGCAGCAAGAGGCTGTCGGATAGGTCCGAGACCAACGATGATGGTGGCAAGGGACTTCCAATCAGTAATGACAAGCAGGAGGCAAAATCTCGCAAAGGGTGGTGCAGATGCAGCCAAATGGCGCGGGTTAGATTAGACTTGCCGTGAAGATTGTTCAGCTAAGCTTGGCCTCAAAAGCTGAGACAAGGTCCTTTGGCTTTGGGTACAGCGTGCTTGTTGTACTCGCGTTGCAGTTCCCGATGCAGAAGCCACTGCGCCTCACCTCAGATGCCTATACACAAGGGGCACCGCCCGGATGTCGTGTTGCGGCATTTCAACGAGCGCAGGCAGAACTTCCGCGGACTGTGTGTCGTGAACGCGTAAAAACGACACCAGAGAGCGGGCTTACTGCCAGAAGACAATGTCCGTCGCTTCTTCACCCGCGCAGACAAGAGCTGGTGGGCTGTGGAAGTCCTGGCCGACCTGAAAGATGTCAAGCTTCGAGCTGCACTGCCAGCCCTCAAAATGCATTGCTGGTCTCTGTGCGCCACTTGACACTGAAGTTAGCCTGCGCGACGCTATTGTGCTCCTCCGCGCGCACTCTCGGTCGAGCTTCCGCGGCCAACCATCCTCAGCTCGACGGCGTTGGCGCTACCCGACGTGGTGTCTGATGAGCCCAATATCACCAACTGTTCTAGTCCGACGCTTCTTCTCGGCCGCGAAACCTACCCGGCGGCTCGAAATGATCTCTGTAGACAGCGAAAGCAGACCATGAGTGGCTGTAGCCTATGCGCTCTTGACGCTGGGGGTGGGGGTGCTCCACGCATACGGTGACGACTTCGAATCCCAGCATGATGTTATTGTGGCTCGACCCATCAACTTCACCGCTGTTCACCAAGAATGGAAGCCTTACGACTCCCCAAGGCTCAGTCCACCACGAACAACAAGCACTGAGCGACCGAACCCCTGCCTTCGGTTGCGGCTCCACGATACTCCCTTTGCACTCTGGAGTCTCCAGAGTGGTCGTCACGTCGATCAAGAGCTTACTGTGGTTTCTGGTCCAAACACTCGATTCCCAACGCTTGATCACCAGACCATGTGCACATGCTTTGGAGATGGGCTTGACTCAATATCACACCACAGCTCGTGCACCCGTAGCCCACCTTGCTGGACGGTCGTGTGGAACTGATTGATTGGCTGGCTGAGAAGTGGTGGGTGACACGAGGCCGCATGCCAGAACCAAGACGTGCAAACCCGTCGAGATATGCACGAAAGCTTCGCTACGAGCTATCTAACCCTACCGAGGGTGCTTCGACGGGAGGCTGCAAGACATGCGCCTTTTGGTGGCCTCTGCGAGCCTCCGCGGCCACCTCTCGTACCAGTCCTATCAACCCGGCCCGAGGCAAAATCGAAGTGCAGACGATGCCCGGGTGCCGCAATTAATGTGAAGCGTTGAGGTTCTCTGTTTCTATCAAGTAGGAGGTAGATCTCATGTGCTACCGTACATGCAACGAACGAAACCGCGCCACAATGAAGAGGTTCTTCTATTGACGCTCCCATGACCAATAAGCACAAACATCTACGCACATTGCGCATTGGCTCGATGAGCGAATTCGAGTCTCAGCCATAGCAACTTAGGTAGAGAGCTCGTTTGTTGACCTGGTCAGGTGGTGCATTTCTATTCGGCGGATGCGCGGTAAGTTGCGGCGAGCCTCAGCAGTCTAGTACATATTTAGTCCGTTCGCAGGATTGGGCTTGATTTCAGCAATGTTTCCCTCGAGACCGGACTGGTGTTCTAGACCTAAACCTCGTGCCGGATGTCTCCAGTCGGGAGTTTGTACCCGTTCCCTTCGTTCAGTTCGGTTGGCTACCAACCATGGGGGTACGTTGTTTCCAGTGCTGGATTAATCCCACAAGGATTCAGGAAGCATCGTGGGGTCGGGCCCACCTGGATCACTTCCTGTCGAATTGAAAGCCGGGCGATAATTCTGACACCCCGGAGTCCCACATCCGAGCCCCATGTGGGCATTTGCCGATGCGGGGCAATAGGAGGAGAGGTTCCTTGCCGGCTCATGGCGCCAACAATGGTGGCAGTAGATAAGGTGTAGGGGCTGCACGCTTAGATGTTATTGCGGTGTTGCAGTAACAAGCCTCATGTGAATTGAGGAAGCCCTTTAACATGGCAGCTGTCAAAGTAGCTTCGGAGGACTCGTTGTTTGTCTTGGCGATCGCATTCGTCAAGGCCCATGTTCTGCTGGTAGCGCTACTTGCGTTCACTGTGCGTCTTCTCGTCAAGCGCTTCGCTTCTCCCCTACGAAGAATTCCTGGACCGGCACTCGCTTCGGTCTCCCGCCTATGGAAGGGTAAGACCTCTCGCAGCCTTCGTGTCCATGATTTGACAATCCCATAGTATGGAGCACGTACTCCGGCCACACCGAGCTCGATCATATCGCGCTGCACAAAAAATATGGACCGGTTGTGAGAACTGCACCAAATGAAGTATCATTTGCTTCACCAAATGCCGCAAAGGACATCTTCGCGGTTGGCAAAGGGTTTCACAAGACGATGTTTTACAGCGTCTTTCCTCCGAAGGCAGGTCGAGGCTCCTTTGCCATCTTCTTTGCTAACAGAAGTAGCACGCTCCTGACATCTTCACCGAAGTACGCGAATGGAAGCATGCGCAGATGAAGCGGTATGCGGTCACTCCATACAGCCTGGCACAAATGCAGAAGCGCTCGGGCCCGATCGAGAGCATGATCATGGACCTCATGTCGCATCTTGACAAGTATGCCGTACCATCGCAACGGCAATGCAACCTGGGTAACCTGCTGCACTATTTCGCATTCGACGTCTTAGGCGAAGTTGCCTTCTCCCGTCGCTTTGGTTTCCTCGAGCAGGAGGTCGACATTGAAGGTTCCATCAAGAACATCGACGATGTGCAGTGGTATGATGGTATTGTTGGACAGATCCCCGAATTCGACATTCTCCTCCGAAACAATCCACTGAGGCCGTACCTGCCGTTCTGGAAACCCTCGCCTACAACGATGACCCGCATCGCTGTTGAAGAGCTGGACAAACGGAAGCAGCCAGACAACAGCTACGATTCGGCCGGCATTGACTTGCTCGCCGAGCTCTTGAGAGCACATGAGGGAAACGGGGACAAATTTAGTGTCAACGACGTCTTCAGCATTGCTCACGGAGCTGTGTAAGAATCACCCCTGCCTTTTATGATCATTGTTAACAATCACAGGTTTGCTGGCTCTGACTCAACAGCCAGCACAATGCAGTCCTTCTTCTACTACGTTTTGAACCATCCCGAGGTGTACGCAAATCTCGTGAAGGAGATCAATGAAGCACAGAAATCCGGCCAGCTCTCTTCCATTGTTCAGTACGCCGAGGCACAGAAACTGGAGTACTTCCAAGCTTGCCTCAAAGAGGCTATGCGAATTCGTCCTGCGGTGGGATTGGGCATATATCGTACGATACCTCCTGAGGGCGCGTGGATTGATGGGCAATTTTTCGCTGGCGGCACAGAGGTCGCTGTCAACGGGTGGGTTTTACACCGAGATGAGGCTGTCTTTGGCCAAGATGCTGAAGTGTTCCGGCCACAACGGTGGTTTGAACGTGACGCGAAGCTGATGAACTCACACATGTATCAGGTATGTCCCCCAGCCATTCGCGCCGTGCTATCAGACTGACACGTACTCTAGTTTGGCGGCGGCAGTCACCTCTGCATTGGCCGAAACCTTGCTCTCTTTGAGATGAACAAGGTCTTGATTCAGATTCTGCGAGAGTACGACATCAAATTGGTTCATCCGGGACGGCCACTGAAATACCATTCGACGTTTTTCGTCGTGCAGGAGGGGCTGGAGGTCACCTTGCAGAAACGAATATAGCACGAGTACGATACTTTGAGCTAGCATGGCGTTCCGGTAAACCAACGACCTTGAATGAACATGTTCTGTTTCCAACCAGGTTTCATGACTTTGACGCATCCGGCACGGTTCCTGCCGCGCAATCTGTCAGGCAACATAGCTGCTCAGCCAGATGTGACCGGCGTCCGCCCCGTCGCCCAGTCCCAGCCACTGCGGCGGTCCTCTGCGGAGAAGAAATCCCAGTTGAATGTCAAGTCCGCAGCTGAAAGTGATGAATGCAAATCGTCCATTGAGACGAAGACTATGAATCGCATTCGTACCTGGAGTAGCGAGAAGCCTTTGTTCGAGAAGAACTCAAATTCGTGTGCGCTGGACCGGAGAATCGTTGTTGGGGCGCCGCCCGGTTCAACGGCCCGGGCGAAGGCCCCAATCAGCAGAATCTAGTCGGATAAGCTCTATTTTAGGTGCCACCATGAATCTGAATCTAGCCCAAAACAGTAATCCGACAGCGGTCTGGAGATAAGCCTGCGCAAGCCTGCGCCCTTTTTCGAGAAAAATGCTGCCCCTGGAGCGGTCTATCACAATTTTCGGTTCCATCGCCTCCACCATTTCACAAATCTCGCGCCTTTTGGCTCACCGTTCTTGCGTGGCACGTTGTATTTAGTCGCTCTTTCCTTCAGGACCTGCTCGCTCCTTCCAGGTAACATCGACACCACTTACATACACTTCTGCAAACCACATTCGCTTTCGCGACGCGTCAAACCTCTCGAATCAACAACATCCCCCTTTTCACCAGCAACCATGTTCGCTTTCGCTAAGGCTACTCTCCCGGCCATCGCCACGGCTGCCGCACCTCTCGCTGCCGTCTACTACTGGCCCAAGGAGCCTCAAGTCCTCCACTACTTTCCCAAGGGAGCCACGACTCCTCTGCTCAGCCTGCCCCGTGCGAGCGTGCCGGTTGGCGTCAAGGCTTGAAGAGCGACAATCTTGAACCCGAGCCATACGGCGCTCGATAATTGGCACCATTAATGACACATTATTGCACTTCGATACAACGCAACGGCATCGTTCTTGCCCGGTTCGACCCATCTCCCGCGAAGCATGCACTCCTTCAGAGGCGCTGAACTACGGCATCGCCCTCGATGACGAGAACAGGGAACGATTTGAACACAGAGATACCCGCATAGATCGATTTTTGAGGAGTTAGGAGACTCGATAAGGAACAGGATGATAGACGATCTTTCTAGTGTTTGGTGGAGGAAATCAGGACAAGCGCGTTTCGCCCAATCATGTGGCTTGGTGTTGACTTATGATAACAATTGCACAAATTTCCATCCGTGTCCTTGATTTTTCTGCTTCATGGATAGCCAAGTAAACGAGGCTTCCGAGCTTTGTGGTGTCGTTCTCAGTACTGCATCACCGCAGACAACACTGCCGTTAGTCTTTGGTCGCTATTACGCGTGCAGCGCTCCAGGACGATGGGGTCGAAGTTTGTTCAAGCGGGAGAAGTGCCTATAATCGCTGTGAAATGGGGTTGATTCGCAAATGAATGGCTGACAGTGGTGTACAGCAGCGCCTCAAAAGTAAATGGATCTCACTGCTCCGCTCAGAAAATGCAGTCCAGAATTCTTCTGTGTCCTACTAGCGTCACCATAGTTACGTCTTGGATATGCAGGTCCAGAAGCCATGTGAAATTGGGATTGTAGGCATTTCAAGGCGTCAGGGTCTATGGAAGAGGCTTCACGATTAGTCATTCCTGTATTCGATGACTTATTACGGGCATCAAATTCATGGCAAAACCACCGCGTTCCGTCAGATGTGCAATTTCTGGCTATCGAAGCGCGTTCGTATCAGCACCACCACTCCGGGGCACAGTTGCAGAGCCGGACATGTGCAGCAAAATGGCGAATCCGATGTGTAAATACTTGATCCACCTGAAAGCTTCTCAATAGCCTTGTCTTATACCACAGCGGAACCGCCCATATAGGTACCGGACATCTTTACCGGACTGATGGAAGTCGATTTCGAGGCTAGGGATGCCTCTGAACCGCGGAAAACTCGGCCATCCCGAGCCTGAGATCCCCACTCAGCCACAAAGTTCAGAAGCCACGTTTGAGGCCTGAAGCGACGGTGCTGCTCATGCCAGAGGCCCAGGGCGTCTCCCGCGTGCGCTTTGTACCACGCCCGGTATCTGAAGTGTCTTTAGGCAACCAGTGACAAGCCCCGATAAGACTACCACGGCAAAACTTTGCATCTGGGGTACCTTGGTCACGCGGCCGCTGTATATCGAGGGCACCACGCCCTGCTGAACTGGCCACAATCATTCCATGCATGTTCCAGATGCAGCTAAGACCTGCTCGCAAAGCCACTCACGCAATAATACACCTGGGTGCCGCCAAAGCACACCATCAAAATGCCGCACATGGAATGAAAAATCCCGCCCGGAGCTGGCCCAAGGCTGAGCCAAGGGAATCCCCGCCCTTGGCATAAGACGGCGTTGCTTGGCTGGTGGTCAAGGATGCCCATTGATCCCCCATCCTGGGCCTCCGCGCTCACACTCCATACCCCAAGATCTCTCCTTGGCTCGAGTCGATCGTGTCCTCTATGACTGAGTAACACGATGCGACGACCTGCCATTCGTTGAGTAGATTGAGAGCCATTCATAGCGATTGATGCTCGCAAGATTCGTCTCCACCCGACTTGCAGACTTCAGTACTTTTCAGTACTTTCCATCCCCACTAGCTGCTACCTCTTGGCCCACAAATGCCTCAAGCGAGACCGCTCTAGCCCCGACTGGCAAATGAGATCAAGACACCTGAGAGCCTCCAAGCATTTCTGTCGGTGGGGCGTTCTTCGACAAGCCTGCATGATTTACCTTGGCCCGAAATGATCAACGCCAACTCTTCGAAGGGGTGGACCCGCAATCACGCCCAGCCCTCCGCATTTGAGCTTTGACTGGCGGAGGCGGGCAACCTGGAGAGTTTGCAGGCTAGCGAAGGGAAATCGAAGTTCTCCCCGAGCATCTCAAGTCCTACTGAAGGGGCTTGTCAGCAAGCATCAATCCTTGCCACCTGAGGAACCGCGTCGTCGCTGGTCCGACGGCCAAGGCTTCAGAGGTCCCAGTTCTGCCTTCTAGCAACTCCGGATAGGATGGTAACACGGCAACCCCTCCTCAAACGATGTGACCCCAAGACTTCCTTTTCTATCTAGGATTGTGGGACAGCAACCCCATATAAACGGGGGAGAGCCCTGACTTGCCAAACCAGCAGCTCTCTTCTTTCTGCCTTCCAAGCTTCTTCCAAGCCTTCTTTGCGCCCGAAGCTCATTGCGCAGCGTTCCCCAAGATGGCGGAGATCAAGGACATCAACGCCGCCGCCACGTCGCATTCGGACGCCTATGAGAAAGGTCCGATTCATGAGCAAGGCCGTCGCCGCTCTAGTGTCGCCGACCTCAATCGCAATACAAACTTGGATGCCAAGTAAGTCTTGATTGCTAAGTCGTTGTTGACATCTTGGCTGAGCTTCATAGGATCTCTAACCCTCTTGCCGGCATCCCCCGCGAAGAGCTTTTCGCAGATGTGAGCTATCCTTGCGGTTAGAGGTGCGATTCTAACCCAGGCCAGGTAGAGCAATTTGTGCAAGACGCCGGACTCAGCTCAGACATTGAACTCTTCAAACGAGGCGCACTCGTCGCGCAGAACCCGGGCAGCTATGAGACTCTAGATCTACCCGAGGAGGAGAGAGATGCTCTCCGTTTCGAAGTCACCAAGAAATGGCACCATCCTCTGAAGCTCTATGTCACCGTGGCAGTCTGCTCGATTGGTGCCGCTGTACAAGGTTGGGATCAGACTGGAACCAATGGCGCCAATCTGTCCTTCCCTGAGGTCTTCGGTCTCGACACTGGCAGTGAACGCGACTATTGGATTATTGGCCTGGTCAATGCTGCTCCGTACCTCGGTAGCGCATTCGTCGGCTGCTGGATGGCAGATCCCTTCAACTTCTATCTCGGACGCCGCGGTACGATTTTTGCATCCGCAATTATCCTTATCGCTACTCCTCTTGGTGGTGCCTTTTGCAATACCTGGGAAACATTGTTTGCAACTCGTATCATTATGGGTCTTGGCATGGGTCTAAAAGGTGCAACAACGCCCGTCTTTGCTGCCGAGAACGCCCCAGCAGCCATCCGCGGTGCACTCGTCATGACCTGGCAGTTTTGGACCGCGTTTGGTATCTTCTTGGGCACGGCTGTAAATCTGGCTGTCTACTATGCTGGATCTATCGGCTGGCGTCTGCAGATTGGATCGGCCTTTATCCCTGCTGTCCCTCTCGCCATCTTGGTCTACATGTGCCCCGAATCTCCGAGATGGTACATCAAGAAGGGCAGGCATGCTGAGGCTTACTCATCACTGCTCAAGCTGCGGAAGCACCCTCTTCAGGCCGCTCGTGATCTATACTACATCAACACCCAGATCCAGATCGAAGAGCAGATCGTTGGCGAGTCCAACTATGTGAGCAGATTCATTGAGTTGTTCACAGTCCCTCGCATCCGACGAGCAACCTTGGCCTCCTTCATCGTTATGATTGCTCAGCAGATGTGCGGTATCAACATCATGGCCTTCTACTCCTCGACAATCTTCCGCGAGGGCGGTGCCTCTGATATCGAAGCCCTCCTCGGCTCGTTCGGCTTTGGTGCTGTCAACTTCCTCTTCGCTATCCCGGCCTTTTTCACCATCGACACTTTCGGTCGTCGTTCACTACTGCTGTTCACCTTTCCCCAGATGGCATGGACACTGCTTGCTGCTGGCTTCTGTTTCTATATCCCAAAGTCCAGCGCGGCTCACCTGGGTATGATCGCTTTCTTTATCTATGTCTACGCCGCATTCTACTCTCCTGGTGAGGGACCAGTCCCCTTCACCTACTCGGCCGAAGTCTTTCCCCTTTCTCATCGCGAGGTCGGTATGGGCTGGGCTGTCGCAACATGCTTGTTCTGGGCGGCTGTCTTGTCCTTGACCTTCCCCAAGATTCTCGACCAATTCACCCCGACTGGTGCATTCGGGTTCTTTGCCGGATTGAACATTATCGCCCTGATCTGGATCTTCCTGTGGGTACCAGAAACTAAGGTAAGAAGCGCCGACCAGCATATTTGACATACCACTGACATTCGCAGCAACGCACCCTGGAGGAACTCGACTACATCTTTGCTGTCCCGACACGCAGATTCATGTCGTATCAGACCGGTACATGGCTGCCTTGGTTTGTCAAGCGATACATCTTCTGGAACAAGAATGCCCAGCTGAAGCCTCTGTATACCTTTGATCAGGGGATTGTTGAGGACATTAGACAGCAACGCAATGAGTCCATCACGCGTCCGGCCGGCACTACAGATGTGCAGGAAACCACCCAGAAGCGGGACGACTCTTCCTAAAAGACGGGCATGGAAAGCATTGTCGTGGCCAGGTTGACTGGAATGACTCAGGCTTCCGGCTACGCCTGGAGCTGCATTCGTGCTTGCAACTCTCTATATTGATGCCACTCCGAAAACGGCCTCTGCCAGTATGGCGAGCAGGAACCCCGGTAGACTGCGTTTTGATTGTACATCGACCAGATTGGCTGCTGCTCTCTTAGATAAATCGCCCACATAGGATACCCTGGCTTTCGTCTTCTCCTGCTCCGCTTCTTCATTGCCTTTCGTGCCAGCGCTCATGGCGAGACTGTATGACTTGGGCCACCGTACCAGAGTATCCTGCCAGGATTGAATGGCCGACGCTGACCGCTTGCTCTAGTGGCCAATGACGAAGGTCGAATCCAATGAATCAGCATTTGGGGGCCAAGGCATGCGTAGCCGTCAGGACCAGCTGTTTTGACTGGCGACCTCGCCTTGTGGCTCGCAACAGTCACCCCCACAATAGTAAGCACGCGAACCCATTGCTCAAACCCCATGGTTTCATCTACTACCGGCATAATTCGGTTGGTGTACCACCCCTGTTCGGTAGTATTTGTGCCCTGATCTTACTCACGGAGGTCGGGTAATAAGTAATCAGCCGATTGGTATGTCCCGAGTCTGAACGGGCTGACTTGACTATTTGATTTGGAGTGTTGCCGTTTTCCAGTTTTCTCACCTTGTAAATCACCATGACGGCACCTACTCTTGTGATTGTCCCCGGCTCGTTCGCACCACCAGAGCTGTATAGCTCTTTCGTGGAGGTTCTTAGCAGACATGGTGTAGATGCGCGAGTTGTCAGTCTCCCTTCTGTGGGGCGCCGAGATCCGAAACCGGCCGGGTCAATGACAGACGATGCTGCCGAGATACAACGCGTTGTGGAGAGTGTTTTCGATGAAAGCAAGGACGTGGTTATCATGCCCCATTCGTACGGTGGAGTACCAGCAACAGAGAGCATGAAGACTTTGTCACACAAGAACCGTGAAGGGCGTGCCGTCAAGCGCATTATTTACCTGACCGCTGTCGTTATTCCTCTTGGCATGTCCAATACTGAGATGAACGCTGGTGGGCTGCCAGACTGGCTTTCGTTTGACGTAAGTGAAATCCATCTCTGTTCGACTCATCTCAAAGTACCAGGGTGACTATATGGTGCTGAACCCCGAGTTTTCTGGCCCTCTTACATTCTCGGATCTTCCGGATGCAGAAGCGATTGAAGCAGCGAAACAGATGTCGGATCATTCGGCCCTCAGCTTTCAGGAAAAGCTGAGCTATCCCGGCTATAACGACGTGGATGTCCATTACATCCTGTGTGAGAAAGACAAGATCATAGCGCCAGATCATCAGCAAGCTATGATCGGCATGATCGAGCAGTCCAGTGGTCGGGCGCCCACAGTGCACAAGATGAGCTCAGATCACTGTCCGGTGGTTACCCATGCCGAGGAACTTGTCACCATCCTCAAAGGCATACTGACTAGCTCTGCTTGAACTTTTGTCGCAGTCCTGACGGGCTGAATCTCAGGTCTATCATGGATAGTCATGCTTCGTACAGACCAAGACCGTCCGTCAGCCTTCCGCGGGGAGTGAGTGTGTGGCCACGAGCTCACTCAGAAGTTCGGGAGCGAAAAGGTGTCGGGAGCGAGAAAGAGTAGACCGGTGTTTAAACCGATCACGAGGTATATGTAGCCCATGTCTAGCTCTCTCTGCTGTTGCGAAATAAGTTCTACTCACACGTGGCGGCCCTGATTTTTTATGTAAGCATATGTCCTTGAGCGTTGTGATGCACCTTCTTACAACGGACGCGTACAGGATGCGGCTCAGGCCGAGCTTCTTCCCGTACCGCTGCCGAAGGTACGGCTCGGTGGCTCAGCAGTAAAGAAACTCCCGCTAATCCCCTCAATCTTCAGGGTTACCTAGAAATGGGGCCGTTGCGTCACACTGACGAGATGACGCTTGAGTGCTTTAAGTCATGCCATACGGCTGCCGTGAAACCGTGGTTTGTAACGGCATAAATGCCATGTCTTGCCAGCTTATGATGATAGACTACCGATCGAAAGATTTCGGCGATAGACCTGTGAGATAAGCGAACAGGAGGTCTGTGAGTGCTTCGAGGCCTTTCACGACATCATGATTGATGACTCGTTAGTGTTGCTGTGAAAATTAGGCATTGCTGTTTTCGTTCCGTCTCGTGCGAGCCTCGGAGCGTGCCTGCTGCGCGTGCAATCACGTCAAATACGAGGTCTCGCGTCGGTAACAGCAATGCGATGCAGGAGGCGAAACGTCCAAGATCATGCTAACGAGTGTCGCTTATTGAAAGATTGGATGCAGCGCGCTATGAATCCAGCTCGAAGACTCAGGGGACGTGCGCCATCGTTGGAGGTCAAACTTTGTTCTAGTTCCAGCTCCCCGGACGGCCCCACATCCGGGCTTGGAGTTTCGACTTTTACGAGGCAGGAGCGGGCTACATTGGCTGTCTGGGGAAGCTCGGCGCCTGGTAGCCTTACTTGGCTAACACTTCAGGCAAAGTTTAAGCTGGTAGTCGTCCGACCTTTCGCCTAAACAGCTAGGATACCGTTTCCCCGGGCGCCCCATGGGTCAGCTACGCGATATCTGTGGGCGCTCCCTCGGGTTCAATCATCCTCTTCATCCACAGCAAGTAAGTGGTTTAAAGCAGCCCCCCAACGATACATAACCCCATACTTCTCCATTGACAATACACATGCGCCATTCACCGAACCAACCATAAGGTCGATTACACTCATAACAGCCCCAATGCGCGACGGATAACAGCACGCCGACATCGGTCACCAACGATGTCTTCACTCAAGTCGTATCCGTCCTCCAAAGAGCCTCTTGTCGAGCATGTATCCTGCGTGGAACCGGACCGTTCACAGGAGCGTGTGCAGGCAACGATGGCTCACATAGCTCACCTAGCGACGCCGCCGCGTCGGGTCTCCGATGATGCTCGCGAGGGCATTGACAAGGAGAAGAAAAGCGGATTTATTGCGGGTTGTCGAATGTACCCCCGGGCGATTGCATGGTCTGCCGTAGTGTCTCTGACTATCGTCATGGAGGCATATGATAAATGCTTGGTTCAAGGTTTCTTCGCTTCTCCAGCTTTTCGAGAGCGATATGGCACACCCATACAGATTGAAGGCCGAGACAAAATCGTGTACGATCTTTCTCCGGCGTGGCAGGCAGCCTTGGTGACTGGTGCTTACTCCACTGAAACGGCAGGTCTTTTGCTGAATGGACTCCTGACCGACCGATACGGGTATAGGAAGGTCATGACGGGTGCTCTGATCTTCATGAACTTGGCTGTGTTCCTGTCGTTCTTTGCGACCAACCTGCCGATGATTCTAAGTTCTCAGCTTCTTTCTGGTATGTTGACGTCCTCAAGTCAAGCATTGGCTTACGATCCACAGGCTTCCCATGGGGCATCTTTCAGACACTCAGTGCCACCTATGCAGCAGAAGTTCTGCCGACCAATCTTCGCCCATACTTGCTTGCTAGCGTCAATATGTGCTGGCTGATTGGACAAACGATGGGCATGGGAGTTGTTCATGCCTTCCTCGAGACCGAAAGTGAGTGGGCGTACCGCACTCCTTTCGCACTTCAATGGGCGTGGGGTATCCCGCTCTTGATTGTCTTATGGTTTTGTCCTGAAGGACCGTGGTGGCTCGTCCGACATGATCGAGCCGATGATGCTCGCGAGTCTTTGAAACGCTTGACTGGTAAAGGAAACGACACGATCGATGTCAATCAAGTCATCTCTGTCATGAGATACACCGACAATATCGAAAAGCAGTTAAATCAGGATGGCGCCACCTTCTTCGACTGCTTCCGCGGAACTAACCGCCGTCGGACAGAGATTGCTTCCATGGTTTGGATCACGCAAGCCTTTTGTGGTGGGACCCTGATGGGATATGCTCCTTACTTCTACGAACAAGCTGGCTTTCCGACAGACAACTCGTTCAAGTTGACCACAGGCATGTTCGCTCTCGGCATTCTCGGAAACATGATGGCATGGATCCTCCTTCGTCGATTTGGCCGGCGAACTCTTTATGTGGTTGGCGAAGTCACCCTGGTTCTGATTTTGACCCTCGGTGGCCTTGTCTCGGTAATCTCGTCCATCGATACCAAAGTCGTCTACTGGACGCTGGGATCGCTTCTCCTGGCGTTCACTCTGGTGTATAACTTGACGGTTGGCCCCACCTGTTATGTTCTTGTCGCTGAGATCCCGTCCACCCGATTACGCGTCAAGACAGTCGTTCTCGCCCGCATATTGTTCAACATAGCTAGCATCGTCAACTCTGTACTTATTCCACGGATGCTCAACCCGGCGGGGTGGAATTGGAAAGCCCGAACGTGCTGGCCGTTGGCTGGAACCGCCTTATTATGCTTGATCTGGATGTGGTATAGGTTACCCGAGACGAAAGGTTTGACCTATGTAGAGCTAGACATCCTGTTTGACAAGGAGGCGCCAACACCGAAGTTTCGCCAGTTCCGCGTGAATCTAGAAGCGAGAGGGTATCTGAGCTTGAATAAGGCAGAGCAGGATGGGAGGACCTGGCACGGATGGCAAGGCTATTCCTAGTCCATCCGGCCATCGACTATGCAACATGGCACCTGATGGAATCTGATCTGTTGTGATACAAAGCGTGGAGTTGGGGGCTATCGGGCTTAAGGGTACGAAATGATACTGGAAAGCTGTCTTTAGGACTCTAGAACTGGAACGAGTTATGCAGTCATAAATTCAGAGTTCAAAAGCTTTGTAGCTGTGACTAACCAATTAAAAGTGCCGTTGATACCCCGTAGAGCCACTGGCTCGGGCAACTAATCCGGTGGAACGTCACTTGTTCACCCACATTTGTGGCTGTGCATCGTAGGTGGCGAAACCGATCGCGTTGCCTACTTGATCTCCGCACCAGACCACGACCTAGACTTCCTTCCTGTGCTTCTATCTTCAGATCTAAGCACTGACCCAAATTGCAATCAACCCCTCATCATGGATGAAGACACTGTCGCTCTTGCCATCCTCGGCACGATTTTCGTCTTTATTATCTCCTCTCCACTCCTCATCACGGCCTGCATCGCAGCCGCCACGACCCGTAAATGGGCTGCGGAGCGACGTAGAGCTACATGCGGTCGGACTGGCAAGTACGACACCGAGTCGAGTAGACTCATCGACTCCGCAGAGGATGACTCCGAGCCAGAAACAGAGTTCCTGGACTCAGAGGACGAAGAATACTACAACGTCAAGCAGCAAAGGCGTATTCAAGACCGCGAAGAGAGAGAAGCCGATATGCGCCTAACCACGCGTGCCAAGTTCTTCAGGGAATGGAAGAAGTGTTGGACCGGTCCTGGAACACCTGAAAAACGGAAGAAAGACCAAGAATTTAAAGAACAAGAGCAGCATCGCAAGATAGCTAGAGAGGCAGTTCGCGAGTACCTCAGGATTGAACGGAAGAGGGCCAGGCAGGCAACACACCAGGAACGCTCCGAAAACGAGAAGCCGGTAACCATGGAGCATGGCAGTTTTTTCAAGAGAGACTAATTGGATGTTGGTCACATTTTTTCGGACTCACATGATCACACGTATAATCTCAAAGTATTGATTACGACCGCCATAATAAACTGTCACACATGGCAAGCAGCAGGTCTAGAATTAGTTCATCGCTTTAAACGATTAAAACGATATACGCCTCTCACTTGCTAAAGTATGCAACGATGGTCAACGGCAACCCTTGTGTTCGCTATGGTGATGGTTGCCGCGTCTATAATCCCTTTTGCTAAAATCGCAGCTAAGATTTTGTTATGGTTGTACTCCATCAACTTCAAATATACTATAAACACCAAAGTCAGACCCGTATTATAGAAAAGTTGCTTTCTGGACTTCGAGACAATGACCGCATCGTGGATGTCAACGGTCATAGTTCTATAACCGCTTTTACGAGACCAGTCGTTTCGTCCTTAGAGCAAGTTAAGGTCAATTTTGTATCCAAGCACCCTTTTCGGTTGCGAATATCAACGCCGATAACGTCGACAAGTGTTGGATCACCATTAAATATCCTGGTTAGGGAGGTAACGAAGTTGTAGGATGATACATGGGCAGCCAAGGCCTGCACGCCACCATTGATGGCATAGATGTCGCCTATCCCGTCTTATCCTGTTGCGCGCTTGGCGAGGAGCCATGCCAACGAGGTGGCAGTTGCTCTTAGCACGGAGAGGTTGAAATATAGGGGAGATACATCGTGGCGCGGGTTAGATTTGCTGTTGTTGAAAAATTGATTAACGGTGTTGCAATGAGATTCGTCTACATCTTATGTCCTCTTCATTGATGGCTGCTTCAGACTGGGGTCCAACATGCAGGACGCGCTTGGCTGTTGTTAGTACTCAGCCACCTTCGAAGTCTATAGAAATGTCTGAATCAAAAACCCCTATCGAGTGCGCGACAAAGATCTACGGAACCAAGGCAGTAGACGAAAAATTGCTGGTGTGATTGGTGGTACGTTATGCCCGTTCACGCTTTTGTGCTCTGACTTTGTAGCATCACTCCCTCTCTGAACGTTCCCCCACGACTTGTTGTCGGGATGCACTACATCTGTCAACGTCGACGGCGCTTTTATACCGGACCGCGAGGTCCTAGGTTTCTAAGAGAACTGCCGTCCCTGGTGGAGAGCGAACCAGTCAACATCACTTCCACTAGAAGAACTACTGATAAATCGGCGAAGCAAATCATACCGACTACACCATAACACCGTTTAATATACCTACTTACGGATTGGCAGGGAGAGGGTGGTTTGTTTGGTGACGGTTCATACGCGTCTCGTCATCTCATCGAATCCAGCTAAACACTCCTAGCCACGAGCCATTGGCAACATGTCACGTTATTGTTGCCTTAGTAAAAGTCATGCGGCTTAATTATCCCGTCGGAAGACTCGTAGAGCCAGTGCGAGCTACTGGCTGGACGCGTGTCTCACACACCATCCCGCCAATTCGAAGGCAGAGTCAACTCATAGCTCGAATATAATGACACTTGCTGGTGCAGCAAAACTCCGAGGTCAACACCAATGATATCATGAGCCAATGGTATTAGAACAGTCTTTATTCTAATCTTATGTCAGGAAGAGTCCAGGAATCTGAGGCGCTTCGGTGCGATCAGTTCTTGAGGCGTCCAGCCGCGCCGCCACCATTCGCTCCTTCGGGAGTTGCTATCTAGTGGCTTTGGGTCGTGTGCTTGAGGTCGCACATCCCACAGGTAAGCACAGCGGGGGTCCGCCCGCGCGTATCAGTCGCACATAGGGTTTATATCCTTGCTTGGCTTGGCACTGCTGTTCTTGTTGGTGCAGAAGTGTCGGTCCAAACCCACATGTACCCTTCGGCAACTGTATAATTGGAAAAGTCCAGGACTTTGAGGTGGCCCTGTCCATCAGGTTTCAACTTGGGTTCGAGTAGAACGGGGGGTAGGACCTTCGATGGGGTTACTTCGCTGAGAAGCAGATATTGCATCTTTTGATACGAGACTTTTTGGTCCCTCCAGCGATGAGACGGAATTGGGGTGCTCGGTATATCGCTGTCAAGGAACTCCTGAAAGGGGCGTTCGATTGTGTGAAGTAGTCTCATGTTAACAGACTACGATCATACCAGTGTTTGATAAATTTTCCACTGCCCGAACGGGCTTCGCTTTTCCTAGACCTTCGTAAAGTCGGAACCGTCATCTATGACGCGGGCTCGACACAGAATGGGCTCGCAGATCTTTACTGACACTTGAGAATCCCTGAACCACCTCCGTGACGAAATCTGGTCCTTGAATGGAGCACAATTTATGTATGCGGTTTCATCCCGTACACTACAACACTAGCTGTCTGTCAGTAGTCGCGCCCTGTGTCTGGGGTAGGTATGAAATGCTCACAACGACACGTAACTGTGATATCGCAGAGTAAGCAACTCCTTTCTCATCTGCGCCAACAAAATCTCGAGTTCCTCCCTCGTTCGGCCTAAGCTGGTTGCATAGCCCCGGAGCAAGAATGCCTGGGCGCCCTCCATGACATTCACAAGCTCAAATGCGCCAATCTTTTTCAATCTGCGGTCTCGAGGCCAAGGGGAGGTAGGGAGTTTGAATACATGCTCGCGAACGTCGACAAAACCAGCATCCACCATCCACGACCGGTAGCTCAAAGGAGCATCAGGAGCGGCACCAATCTGCTCTGCGATCTCTTGGAACGTCGCGCACACTTCAACGTATGCCGAATTTTCCCTAGATGGCAGGGTGCCGTCGTCGCTCTGGGGGATCGGCCACACGCAGGCCAGTTCAAGGTACCCTCCAGGCTTAAGATGGCTTGATTCACGTCAGTTGGGACTCGTTTCATCCGGAGCTTACAAGGCACCTGCTCACGTATAGGCTTGCTGGATCAACCTTGGCCAATCACGAATTGACTGGTACAGATCTCGGCCATGGATATAATCGAAGGAGTCTCTCTTATACAGCCAATCTGCTTCGGCATCGTCGATTACAAAGGAGCAGTTCGGGGGTACCCTACACCTCTATAAGTATCCTCTACTCCTCTAAAGAGAGAGACTTACCATGTAGCTTGCATTGGAGAAATGTCGGTTCCAGTGACCACGGCCGAGGGAAACTTTTCTGCGACCTCAATGGCGAAGATTCCTGGACGTGTTAGCCCAATGTTCTACTTTGAATCCCGAGGAGCTGAAATCACCTGTGCCGGTCCCAATATCTAAGATATTCTGCGGATCCGGCGCTAGTGGTGCCAAAAACAGCTTATCCTCCTGCAATAATGTATATTTTGCGTGATTCATATCGATCCGGTCCACCTCGTCTTCGTCAACCGGTAAGGCATATTCTGATCATTGTTAGGGTTTTCCAGAGTGGTTCGCTCTTCTGTACCATTTTGCCCGTATGAGGCATACACGCGTCCATTCTCGATCCTTCCGTTTCGGACTTCCGACGCAATGGACGTACAATAGCTCGATATGCTTGGACCCATCAGCCTAGCGATCAGTTGTAGGATAGGCTTAATACGTCGCCTCCCCGATTCCTTCGTCACCCGGCTCCGTCTGCGCAACCTGAGTAAGACGGGCTTAAGAGAGGCTGGCTATAGCTTACGTCTGGCTCAATGGCCTCTTGTATAATTTGGTTTGTATCGTTGACCTGTGGATCTGCCATCGTCTAGCCCCTATGATTTCAGACGTCGTGTCCAGGCTGTTGATGTTCAAAGACTGCTGAAATCCGGGAAGCGGTGGATAGAGCTTTCCAAAGTCAGTTCTCTGAGATACCCCGCGCACGGTCATGGTGCATTTGCATCTGTAAGGCAGTCTAGCGATAGCCCGTTGCAGCGTAGCGATCTGCCAACAAGGTGTTGCAACTGGACTAACCGTATAAGACCTAGTGCCTGCAGATCGAATGCCGGCCAAGGCTGCACCGAGCCCATCGCGATGGACAAGTGGCTACAGCAATTGGCTGGGCTGTCACCATTATCTGCCGGCTTCAGCGGCATGCGCCCTAGATCTGCGGCTCGCCTGTTCTAGAGCTCCACCTTGATTGGGTATCCTAGAATTCTGGATGCGATCGAATGGAGGGAACACGCGGAAGCCCGGCCCGCGTTCAAAGTGCCTTGCCCAGCTTCTAGTTTGCATTGAGGTCAGTGAACGTCCTCTGTTGACGTGGCAGGCTCAGGTCTTTCTGCCTCTTGTCTACACTTAGACTTCTTACGAATCGACCCTTTACGATAGATCATCTAACCTGATGGCTTCGCAAACAAACGGCTTCCCCAGCCTCGGTGCTGCAACAGATGAGCTGGTCAGTTCACTCCATGCCCTCACCGAGCAAATCACCAAGGCCTCCGAGAACTACTCGGAATCTACCGGACAACAAGGGTTGCTCTTGAGGCATCGAATGGCCAATGCTGCCAGGCAAATCATCAGTACTATCCGGGAACCCGGTGAAACGCCGTATGAGTTTTCTACACATGTCAGGCTTGCTCATTCTATCCCTACGCTCCTTCGGCTGACGGTTATCTCAGATGGCCGAAATGGGCGCAATTCGTATGTTCATGAAGATAAGAGCCTTCGATAAGATTCCGCTTGAAGGAACCATTTCGTATAAAGACCTGGCAGCTAGCCTGGGCGCTGAAGAGGCACTCATCAGTACGCTTCCCGAGCTTTACCTTTACGAGACCTTCACTAACGCATCCACGCTCGTATCGCATGGATGATGGTGGCGACCGGTAGGTGAACGAGGAAAAGTCGACGGCGACCTAGCCTCGTGTTAACACGGATCAGGCTTCCTTAATCAATCTGGAGAGGACCACGTCGCACATTCGAGACACTCGAAGCTCTACGTCTATGGGAACCCACAGGGCGTCTTTTTCCAAATCATGTAAGAAACCTCACCATCGCCTCCACCTGGGATTGGGACACTTAGCAGTCTTGTCGCTACAGGTTCGACGAAGCCATGGTGCCGTGGGTCCATTGGGGCGACTATTTCGACACGTACGGCCTTAAGGAGCCGAAGATGGGCAACCACGTCCCGCACTCGTTTGCATGGGGCCACGCGGATTTGAACTTTTGGCAGGTCATCAGCAAGTCCCCGCAGCGGCTGGTGGACTTCAACCAGAGCATGAACACGCTTGATGAGGTGTTGCCGGTGACGGGTATGTACGATTTTGGCTGGATCGCAAAAGCCGAGGGACCAGAGGATAGACCGCTCATTGTCGATGTTGGCGGCGGGAAAGGCCAGGCTCTCAAGCGTATCATGGCGGCATTTCCAGAAATTCCGTCCAAGAGAATGGTGCTCCAGGATCGAGAGGACGTTATTCAAGAAGTCATTGACGCCCACGAGGCGGGTTTTGAGGAGGTCAAGAAAATGCCTCATGATTTCTTCCAACCAAACCCCATCAAAGGCAATGAATTCTTCTACGTACTGGCCTTTTACTCAACGCTGCTAACTCAAGTACAGGGGCGCTCGTCTATTATATCCGGCGCTGCATGCACGACTGGCACGACGAAAACGACCGTACCATCCTCGCCCACCTCGCTGAGGCCGCGGCACCTGACTCGAAAGTCCTTATTACCGAACAGATCATGCCGAATCCACCCACCGCTCTTAACGCGTGGACAGATCTTTGCATGATGAATCTTGGCGGTAAGGAGCGCACTGAGAAGATGTTCGGGGAGCTCGTCGCAAGTGCTGGCCTAAAAGTGATTGGCGTTCATAAGAGCTTGGCGACCGATGTTGCGGTCATTGAATGCGTTAAAGCGTAACTGGAATAGAAGCTACGTCAAATACAATTCTTGTCTCCTAGCTTAGTATAACGAGCTTATCCTGCGGAGCGTAGCGTAGCAAAAATTCAACGGGCAATAACCCAAGCAGCTGTAAGAGAGGATTAGTACAAAAAATAACTATTTAACGGGTAATAACCCAAGCGGCTGTAAGAGAGGATTACTACAAAAATTAGCTATTTTATTTGTTCTGTATATATATTAGTACTATAAGACCATGGTGCCAGAGTTTGAGAGTAGTACTAGTGGTGGTTGTTAAGCTATTGTCGTCGCCATTTTGTACTGAGATTTGCCTCTGCCAAGAAGAAAATTATATACTAACCCAATCGAGTTTTTGTCTAATTAATAAGCCTGTACTCTTGCCTAATCGAGTTTTTGTCTAACTAAGCTACTTTCAGACATCTTCCCGCCTACCTTCCACTAGTCCCCTTTGAGTTTTTGTCTAACTAACCTCTTTTGGCCATCTCTCCTTTATCTTGTCTAGGCTGCGCAATGGGTCGGGTTAACCCTACCCAAAAACCCTGGGTCGGGTTTTTGGGCGGGGTCAGGGTGGTCCTATTTACCACCCACCACCCACTGGGTAGGGGGCAATTTATAAGGGTAACCCTATGGGCACCCAATGGGTTGTCCCACCCACTGGGTGACTGGGTTGGGTCACCCTATTGGGTAAAACTTGGCGCCAAGCAGGCCTAAATAGACTAGTTACCTTCCTAAAAGAGGTTACATAGGGTAATTTCTTAATTTGAAAATATTTCTTTATAGGCCTTAAACTACTATAAGTTTAGTTAAAAGCCAAGAAACACCCAGTGGGTGCCCACCACCTAACCCTGGGGTTTTCAGGGTTGGGTAGGGTTTTTAGAGTCTTAGAACCCGACCCAAATAGGGTTGCCTACTTTACCACCCCACCCATTGCGCAGTCTAATCTTGTCCTCCTTACTCCTCCACAATTATCTGATCATAATAGCCTTACCCTATAGTCCTTGATCTACAATAGACTGCGCAATGGGTCGGGTTAACCCTACCCAAAAACCCTGGGTCGGGTTTTTAGGCGGGGTCAGGGTGGTCCTATTCACTACCCACCACCCATTAGGTAGGGGGCAATTTGTAAGGGCAACCCTATGGGCACCCAATGGGTTGTCCCACCCACTGGGTGCCCACAACCCAGCACCCATTGGGTGAATCTTAGCATTTACATGACCTGCTATGTAATATTAAACACTAGTGGTTTTATTAGTATTGTTACTACCTTTGTTACTCTTAATACAGTTAAGATAGAAGTTATTCTCTTTGTTAATATATCTGCATTTATGCGGTAATACGCTATGTCTATAGACCAATACATCTGAATGTCTCCTCTCTGGAATACTTGTTCTCAACTTCTCATTGCCAGTCTCTACTTATGTTTACCCTTTCGCACTACTCCTGTTAGCCTGTTACTTTATCTCTCTATATAGACGGTAAGCCAGTTGCATATCCTTTAGCATAATAGTGACCTGATTAGTTGTTACGGATCACGACCACAACCCGACCGAGGCCAGCGACCGCAGGGGCGCTTGGCCCTAAAGGGAAGGTTACCCAGAGGAAGGACAGACCCCACGGAAAACTGTACCTCAGGGACGGGGAACTGCCAGGGAGTCACATGATCAAGCTCTGGTGCTCTCCTTGCTCTGTTCAGAGCAACGGAGCACACAGAGCAAGACAAGCTACACAGCACTATATAGAGGGACAACCTGTCCCGACATTAGGTAGGACTTTTGTAGTCAACTTTATATATTAATTCGCTCTATACATTGGTAGTACAACTGCTACTATTAGTTCCTACATTTACTTTAGCCTAGCCCTGACCCTGATACTATCCCACCAGCTACTAAACCCAGTTTGGACCTGACGCTTGGAGCGGTTCATAACACTTTGACTACCCTGTAATAGATAGTATTAATTATGTCTAGTATTTAATCCCTATCCCCATCTAGATCTGTCTTAGGAAAGAGAGGTGGTACTATTAAGGCTGCTTCTAGCCTCAGTACCTTGGTCTAGTCAGAAGGAGATAGTAAGCTTAAGGCCAGGGTAGAACTCTTTAGGGTTAGGGTTAGGGTTAGGGTTAGGGTTAGGGTTAGGGTTAGGGTTAGGGTTA